ATGAGCGTGGTGTCCTCAGATTGTTCATCCTTTTCGCTATGGCGCCGGCGTCGGCCCGGCTGCTGTGACGTAGCTCACTACCTATACTGGTATACCGGTACCTAATAGTAAGAGTATCTGTACAATCAATGTCAATCATGAATGATTTCGAACATCTACAGCTACATGGGCTAGTACCTATTTGAGCACTGCACATCCGATCTCTGATTGCCTGCAACTTGGTTTGGCATCCAATGTCTGTCCGGCCATCTGCCCTGGAGCAGTGTGGAATAGGATGCCAACTGGGTATGATGACGGTATATCGTATCAGAACAAGTCACCTCGAACAACTTGAGTACTGTATCTGATTCTCAGGCTCAACCAATCACAGTACCTTTCAGAGACTGCGCCGTTTGTGCAACATAGGGCCTGAGAAAGGTGGAGAGACGGCAAACTCTCAGAGTCTTTGTCATCCCTAGCTTTCCTCTCAGAGAGTCCTGGCCGACCTGGGTGGTATCGATTTCAACCCGCAGCAGTGTCCATAGCATTGCGAAGCCAGTATCAGGATTGCATCCAGGTGGCCGCCAACCATGGGGAAGGAGCAGACAATTGTGTAAGCCACCTTGTCTGAACCACCAGATCTGCTGATTGCAGCGGACTTTGCAAGGACTCCTACCTTTTTGCAATATTGAAAACAAATGTTGGGACACGTTTGTCACAAATGAGATCGAAGGCTGACCCCAAGGCAGACGTCAAGGTAACAGGAATCTTGTACATCCGGGCAGAGCTTTCATTGAGCTTTTGAAAGTCCACCCCGTTCTTCAGATTGCTAGCGCTGCACCACTAAAGGCTCAACAGAACCTTGATCAATCTGTCAGGTCTTCTCCTTGTAGGAGAGAAATAACCATGCCACTGTTTGAATGAGGCCTCGATTACTAGGTGTACAACCTACTTGCCAAGTCAACGTCATGAGTCTCTGCGGGTGAAGCACTCAGTCAGCAGAGAGAGCCAGATAAGCTCCCAATAAGTTTCCGCTGACTCATCATTGCCCTCTTTGATCTGCAGGATCACCGAGGTTCTGTCGCCCAAGGGCGGCCCTCGTCAGTCTCCTGCGCACCGCACTAAGCTGGGCGAGATCTACGCATTCAACAACGACATCCGGCATAAGGGGGAGCTTGTGGGCTTCATCAATGGCCAGTGCATTGTATCGGCTGAGGTGTCCCCAGGCATTGATGAACCGTACTTGACGTGCACAGAGAGCGTTGTTTTCAACAAGGGGGAGTTTGCGAATAGCTCCCTGACCCTCTCGGGTGAGTAGCCCAGCTACGTCAGGCCAGCCCTTGGTTGGGAATCCTGCTTTAAAGGAGGCAGCTTTATTTACGTTAGTCAATTCTGCACAAGCTGTTGAGGCTCTGGAGCTCTGTTCGAAGAGACCCTTCAGGCAAGCCACCGTAATAAGTGGATTTGCTGCTTAGGTTGTAATCAACGCCCCATTCATGTGATGGTTGATGCCTTGCTTGACGTAACTTGGCTGATCTGACTCAGAAGTATTCAATCTTTCATCAACAAGGTTCTTTAACATCCTAAGATAAAGTTTCATGGTGTTGCATCGCGGTACTAGGCCCCACCACTTGGCCAGCAAGAAGAATACAAGTCTCGCTTTCTTTCCTTGCATGCAGGCTACTTCAACATGAAGGAGTGCCCATCACTTGCAATCATTGGGGGGACTGGCCAATTCAAGTATGCGTCTGGTGAAGCCACAATCGGAGCAGATCCCGCAGGCGAGCCCATGTGCGTTCAAGTCACCCTGTCATTCCATTGTGCGGGGCCCTAAACTAAGGGTCCAAGTTGAGTCGTTGCAGGTATGTCAAAACAATTTTGTGGTCGTCAGTACCATGGCACGATTATGCAATTTTCAAACCACATGGCACCAGCAGCCGTTGTTTAATTGGTAAAAAAGAAAACCATTCCTTTTTGATGTCCCATACAAGCTCTGTCTGGACGCACACAAGAGTCGGTTTGCCCAATGTTCAGACGATGAGTCCACATTGATAGTGGCACCGCTGTCTCATGGGTGGTCAATTCGAATCACCATGAATGCTGCAATGACGTACATTTTCTGGTACGATTTGAAGTGCGTTGCATGAGCTGAGCAAAAAGCGGACAGGCTCACAGTTGACATGGAAAACATTGGTTTTCAATCACACTTGTCGGGCCGCCGGGCAGGCTGTGTCAAATACTCCCGAGTGACTCCGATTTCAAACGTACCTCTGTACGTCAGGCCTTGCTAAATTTGGTCTGTCGTACAAGATCAACCGTATGTATTCAACGTAGTGTCTGTGAAAGGATGGCGGCTGAATCTTTCTATAGTTGTATAGGGCTGGGGTGTTACTTTTATACCGCTTCCCAATCTGTCCATAAGAGTGAACGTTCCGGAAGATAGTAGAAGATAATTGCCAAAGGTTTTGGCTCGCGCCATTATCATGATGAAGTGCATGTGCAACGCCACTGTGATGCAAACTCAATTCCATGCACCTAACATGCAAATGAAAGTGCATTCGACTATATTCCGATACCTCAGCAAAGGCATGCGAGCTCGCCGCTGCAGATCGATACAAACTCGGCCTGTTTCTGAAAGCTTTCAGCAGCTATAGGGACGAAGATTGAATACTAATGATGGCCGTCGACCTACCATAAGCCGCCCTCGCGACTCAGCCAGAACGACCTCTACAGATTTCGATCCTAGGTACGTATGTAGAATCAATGTTCCCAGCCGGCTGCATATGTGCCCAGTCGGACTGAGATAATAATGTGCTTAAGGACTTCATTCTTATCAAAGTACATGTATTGTATCTCAGTCCAAAGATATCTGGAAGTTCTTTGTTGTACCCGGATCTGCAAAAGCTCGACACGGGCAAGGACACAGTGCAACAATGCATTTCCGATTATCAACTTAACCTACCTAGCTACGCGAGCATGACATAAAGTACAGTTGTGCGGTCCTGCGAGCGACTCCTATGAGCACGGCTAACGAGCTGATCCATTTCGACGAACAGCCAGCTAGGACGCTATTGAGGCAACGACCTCGACATTGTCAGAGAACGCCGCAATCGTGTCACGAAGTTGCCGACACCCTCTTCTTCTCCGCTCCCCGACCCTTTCTCGACCATCTCGTCGTCCATCGTCCCGTCAGCGGTGCCCACAGCTTGGCCAGCCGCTGCTCCCTTCCTTTCCTTTCTTTGGCTTCTCAACTTCTCAACGTCGTATCGCTTTAACTGCTCCCGCTTGTGCTGGTCGAAGTCGCGCTTCATCTCTATCACCGCCGGGGGCATCGTTTGGATAGGTTCCCCGGTATAGTTCTGCATGAATGACAGCCGAAGTTTGATTCACTGCCTGCCACTTGAACTCGCTCGAACATAACGTCGCGAACGGGCTAACAATCAACAACCAGACAGGTAGCACCACAGCACTGTTTTCACAGGTCTGCAGCAGGCTCCTGCACTAGGGCCCGCAGCAACCTGTCCGCGACGCACATTACATTGGTCAAGTACGTCTTCGTGTGCTGTCGGCCACACTTCCAGCAACTCGAGCAAACGGGATCTGTTTTCGCACGGCTGTGCGGAGGGATCCCTCGCGCGCGGCCTCACCTGCAGCGCTTGCTCCGCGTACACCTGGTAGTGCAGCACGTGGTGGTCCGACGTGGTGGTGCACGACAGCACCAGCCGCTCGAAGCGGCCCTCCACCGGCGTCGCCATGCGCACCACCGGGGGCAGGCTGCTGCAACTGCGCACGCAAATCGGGTACCAAATTTTGACACGACGACCGGAACGTGTGCGTGAGAACCGTTGTCCAAGGAAACCTCGGAATGGAAGATCACAACACCACACTTCCGACTATTCACCTTGTCCGAGGAGTTCGCAGACTGACGCAGCAGTTCAGATGGAGGAACAAACCGGAAAGCGGAGGCCCATCAGCATCACCGTTCTTAACGGACCCCTTGAGCAAGGTCGCCACTTTGCGAGGTATGGCAAACAGCCGGCCCAAACTCGTTCGAAAATCTCCGAACAGGGGCTCAGAAAAGGAAAGAAACGACAGAAAATTCATGCGGTCGGTCGAGGACAAGTGCAGTTCGACGTTCGGAACCTACTTGCAGGGTTCCTTGTAGACAATGTGGTACAGCTTCCCGGGGGGGTACAGCCGCTTCGGGTCCGCCAGCATCTTCCTCTCGCTGGTGCACGTGTCCCGCCAGAAGCGGCCCAGGAGCACGAGCACGGTGCTGCACACAGCCGGGAGTGCATCAATGCGCCAGCACAAGCCGGCTGCCGGGCCAGGCCACTCCTCCGTGGTATTGGGCATGATAGTAACCAAGGGCATGGGGGTTACTCACTAAAAAAAGGTAGAATGCAATTTGCGAGTGTCGCCTGAGGAACTACTACAGCAAAGGTCTTTCCAGAAGTCAGAAGTGACAATTTAGCTGCATCGCCCCGCGCTTCCTTCGGACGATTCAATTCCGTTTCAAAGCTCGATGCAGGGCCGATACAAGGAACAAAGAGGTGCAGAGGGCGGTGACCAACTTACAAGACAAGGGAACTCAGGAGGAAGATCTTCATGATGGGCGTGGACGAACGGGGCAAGAAATCGTCCTGCAGAAAACCGGAAACAATGTTGACAAAATGGGAAAGCAAAGCATCGAGAGTAACCAAGGGTTGCGCAGACAGAAAGTTCAGATTCAGAAACGAGTTGGAAGGCTTCCGCATTGCCCAAGTCTCAGATCCTATAGGATTTGGATGTTGGTTGATTTTCGCTCGAGTTTGCCTTGAGGCCGCTCCTCAAGTTGCTCACCTGCAACACGATGCTTCTGATGACGTCCGAGTAGCGGACCGCCAGGTTGATGGACATGCACCGCGCAGGCGCAATAGCAAAGCACCGGATCCTGGCCCTGTCGATGTTGCCAAACTTTGCAGCGTTGTTCACCATCAGGATGGCAAACAGGGAGGCAACGCCGGCCCCTAAGGAGTGGCCCACTAGCGTGAACGTGTAGTCATCGCCGTTCTCTTTCAGTAGGTCGCTGATTCGGTCTGCAATGCCAAGGAGGAGGTATCTAGTTGGAGCATTTGCAACAGATCATCAGGGAACATCTTTTGGAAGGTACAGATTGAACTCTGACTGTAAGGGAAGTAGGAGTACGATCAGCATGCTGGAGGCAAGACTTACCATAAGTGGTCGAATGCTGGCTGCATCATGAAGCTTACCTCCTTCATGGTCCATGAGCCACTTCGCAGCCGAAAACAGACCACGGTGCACGAAACCCCCATCGTATGCCTTTGAACCAATCCGTGTATCCGCCAGAGTGACATAGTCATGCACGTTCAGAAGGTTGAGGCCCCTCATACAGAGCACTATGTCCTTTCTGGCATGGTCCTGCACACAGGGGCACAAGTACGATATCAAAGGAGAGGCTACTTGCCATACTTTGCAATTGAGGCTACGCAATCCAATTGTCTGTGTAGATCTCTGGGGCTTTGAGAGAGACATCGAAAGAGAAAGTGATACGCTAACGTGGCCAGATGCTTCTTACTGCCCACACAGGGTCATCTTCCAGAGCCACAGGAAGGTGTTGATCCTCTTCTCACCGTGAACATGTAATGTGGGGGCACGCGTCCATGTGACTGTTTGTCCACATGGAGAGTAACATTCTCAAGTGACTCAATCCCAGTGCGAGTTTGCAGCCGGTCTAATGTGGTTGCATAAGCGCCGGACACCTGCAAGTTATAAGAAAGCCCCCATAAACATGTGCAACTCTTTTGCAGTTCTGGGGACTCAAGTTGGATAAGAGACTCTCTGCAAGTCGCGGCGCGTTGGCCAATCTCAGGTGGTGATCAAGGTCACCTCATTAAGGACCACTCGGCCCTTGAGTTGTGTCACAATGACAAATGTGCATCCAACATAAGACCAGGCGAAGTGAACAGACTTACCAGGCAGCAGTAGTGTCTGATGTCCTCAATGTCCTCAATCGATGCCTCAACCCACTGCTGACTATCTTTACTCCCATGGCGTGCACACCTGATGAGATAGACACATGTTACGCTTCGAAACGCTATCTTTCTAAGTGGAACTAAATGTGCCAATGCCAACTACGCACTTCAACAAGGCAAGGCAATGCTGCGACTTGGTTGCACGGAATATAGACAGGTAGCTCTGGTGCACCTTTCATGACGTACCTTGTCCAGCACCAGCGGAAGCATGTTCCGGCACCGACCACTTCTAGAAGGGGGAACACCAAACACGTGCAAGTGGCCATGCTGCTGCCACCCCATGCAAAGCCTTCTCCTTATTCAATCTCCAACCAGCATGGTGCAATCTGCGATGCATATCATTAAGAAGCCTGCCAAAGATGGTCACTGTTACGAAGCCCCGTCAAAAAGAAAAAGCCGCCAGTGGGCAGTATCTGCATAAAGCTGTCCTTCTTCAGAAACGTCTTGGAAGCATAAAGATTCAGACTCCAGACCTCATCCGCTACCAGTGTACTCTCAGCAAAGTCTTCTTGACCAATTGAACGAATCATCAGCTAGATTGATTTGGTTGCTCGTGTAGCAGCTTAGCTCTCTCAGGTCGTAGGACCAGCCCTGAGGCCAAGATCTTGCACACCACTGATCGATCGTCTCCGGCCTGGCAGCATGAATTACCTGCTTGTGGAGTTGGTAGAGTGGGCATCCCTTTCTGCAACCCAGTACGTGGTCAAAAGTCTGTTCCTGGCCAGTCTCTTGAGAGAGTTGAGCGGCCGGTATAGCTGTTGTGAAGTGCTCCCCGAACTTCAATGCCTGACTAGTCCGCCAATCCCCGTCAAAATTAAACAAATGCGACTTTTGCCACGTGGTAGCACCAGCCGCATCTTGGCTGCATTGTCATGGGCACTACATTCCTATTGTAGCTTTGCCAGTCATGGGGACTCCTCATGCACGCGCCAGTACTGTTGTAGGTGGCACAAATATGCACACCGAATATGTGACATTGCAGGACTCTGCCAGCCCGAATCACAGATGGCAAGCCATTGACATTGGTATGGGAAGGCCTGCGAGCAGCCGGGTCCGGCCCACGCATGTAGGAAGCTTATGGCTGGTTGTACAAGGCAATATGATGATTCCTTGTTGACAAAGGGACAGACTCGATTGGTCAGCTGCCACTTGCACTGAAGAGAACACTCTTCCCTTATACAATCGCATTTTCCAACAGCGGATACTTACCCCCACCGCATCTCCTTTACAGCCGAGATTATTCTGCCAACTTCCGCAGTTTATGCTTGTGACACCATTTCTAAGTAGCTGTACCTTTGGACACATGACGCTTGCTTATCTCCTTTCCGTGAAGCCAACTTGTGGTGGCTCAAGTACATGTACGAGCTATTCATATGCGGCGCTGTGACTGAGTACAAATCCGCAACGTTTTCAATTTGAGGTCAATCTAGATGATCACCAGACCCCAAAGGTGCTCACGTGATGAGTAAACTCGACTTCGAGGCGTGCAACCCATCATTCGGGACATGGCACAGCCTGCACACAGGGACACAAGAAGTTTGCCTGATTTCGCAGAGAAACAAACATGCCTTTCCGAAACATGCGTGACCTCCAAGCGCAAAGGCAGAATGGAAGACTCGCCATCCCCAACGGCCGACTCTTGATGAGAACACCCTAATAGAAGCCATACAACGGTTCTGTCGAAGGCTGTGACGGACCACAAGGTGACTCTCACCTCCAAGTGCCAAATGTTGGCGGCATATTCGGAAATGGTCCGATCGCTGCAGGCAAGACAAGCAAAACATTTCACTCAAAATTCCAGCCGCTGGAGACTTTTTGGCATGCCAAAGGCAAGCTTGTGAATTGCACAAGAGGCAATAGCACAAGCCGCAGATTTGGCCAGATGATTTGCGGTTGACAACGCATTGCAGCCGTGGCACGGAGGAGGCGGGCTTGCAGAAGTGATCACGAGTATGTTCAGAGATCAGACCTTCCACGATGCAGACATCCCTCTCGAAACAGGCACAGACAACAGACATCAGACCGACAGGGTTCAAATTTCAATTTCAAAGACAGGGTTGATGCGAGTAGCAGCACACAGTGCCACGTTTCAAGTCTAAGATGCTTCTTGACTCAATTGCCCTCAAAGCGCGTCAGCTGCCGTTCTGTCCAGGACGTACCTGCTGAAGCGGCCCATGCAGGAAGCGCTGACCTGCGCAACAGCAAGCCACCACGTGCTCAAGGGGGGCCAGGCAACGAGCGAACAAAAATGCAAGCGGCCGAGAGGCGGCTCTTACAGAAGTCAAGGGTCCGAGACGCAACAGCCTCTGGAACGGTCGACCTAGAACTGCACTTATTACGCGCCCACCGTATCCAGACAGCGCTACAAGGAAGCAGTCAAGGCTGAAAGCCGATGCAGGCTCGTCTACATGCGGGGCACAGGCTGTAGGACACATATTGTAATAGCTGTGCGGAGTACTCTCGGAGGCAAAAAGCAAGAGACGGGCACTCACAATGCTGCGGTGAATCCAATCTGCTTTGTTGACGAAGACCCGGTCGACCTCCGCCTGCACGAAACCCCCAGAGCATTAGCAGTCACAACCGATGCCTTGGAGGCCCCCAGCGACATGTACATCTCATTGCAAAAGCAGGTGGAGCGTCGAGAAGCCCCATCTGCGAAGTCAGCGCGCGCGAAGCAACGAGTCAAGCCCAACGCCTGAGGGTCGTGATGGGGGGAGCACGGGCAGCGAGGCGGCACCTGTGCCTCCAGGTAGGAGGGGAAGTCGTGTGCGAGCAGGTAAAAGTCGTTGCCGTGCTGCAGCGAGTCCAGGATCGCGCGGAAGTCCGACGCAGGCCCAAAAGCGCCCGCCTCGATACACGAGTAGACCTGGCACAGCACGGAACAGTTAGAAAATCGCTCGAACCAAAACCTGTCCATCTGAAGCCGGCTGCCTCCCTTCCTCTACAACGAGCGGGGCGTGCCAAACTGCTCTTCGAGCACAAAACCATGATAGCTGAGGCGCACTGTGGACGCCTGCTGCCAAAGAACATGCAGTCCTCTGCAGAAGTTCATTCCCCTGCCAAGCATTACTTTTCCACACTAGCGCTTTCTGCGTCGAAAAACGCCAAGGCCTTGTCGAGACTGTGGGGCAAGGGGATCCCCTCACCTGCTGCAGTCGTTCGTCGGTGGGTGGCGGCTGGTAGGCCATCTCCCGCCGGAGGCCGTCCGTGTCTTCGGCTGCTGCCCCGAAGACAAACATGTTGTGCCGCCCGATGGCGTCCGCAATCTCGATGTTGGCACCATCCATGGTGCCCAGAATGAGACCGCCGTTGAGGGCGAACTTCATGTTGCTGGTCCCTGCTCACACACAGCAACGCCCGCACAATCAAGCACAATCGGCAGTGTTCGCGCGCCCCCCGATCAGTATGATGCATGCGTGGGCTTGTCTTCTTTGATGACTCCTTGCTCAAGCACCGGCAATGGATGGATCGACACCCTCCCTTGAAGCTGACGCGCACAGCATTTGGCAGTCGGGTCATCTTTACGATCCTGCTCGGGCTCGTGCATTCCCGCGTGTGCACATGCCCGGAAGCAAGCAAAGGCGACCGACCGTCGACGATTGCAACGCCACAAATCTCGGTTGCTTTAGAACGATAAGCCCACACCATCAACTGCTCCTCCGCTGCATGTATCCAGACCAGCAAGGCTGTTTAACAACTGGCGGCCCACCTGAGGCCTCCATGCCTGCCGTGCTGATGTGCTGGCTGATGTCGCTGGCGGGGATGATGACCTCCGCGAGGCTGACGTTGTAGTTGGCCAGGAACACCACCTTGAGCAGCGGCCCCACGTCGGGGTCGCCGTTCACAACTGCGGCCACGCTGTTGATCAGGTGGATCACGCGCTTCGCCAGGTAGTAGCCCGCTGCGGCCTTCCCCGCAAAGACCTTGACGTGCGGCACCATGTGCGCGCGCTCCTCGGGCGACGCGGCCTTGATGACGTTGTAACGGTGTACGATGCTCAGGATGTTGAGCAGCTGCCGCTTGTACTCGTGGATGCGCTTCACGTGCACGTCGAACAGGGCGTCCGCAGATACCTGCACCAAGCGGCACACAGCGGCGAGCTACTTATCACAACAAGCGGGAACAGTAAGGGGAAACCGATCGAGTAGCGAGCAGCGGAGCAGAGTCAGTTACTGGCGCCAGAAATAAGTTTGGCCAACGGGCCACCCTATAAGCTGCCCTAGGCCTAGACCGTACAATCATTCTACATTAAGCAGAAACAACTTCAACCAAGCCGTCTTCGCTCCTTCCAACTGCAACACAAAGCTGTCTTGACACCGTATGAGTCGCAAGAGGGGAGGCGCCATTTCGCCAATGTCAGAGAAGCTGCCCCGCATGCCCGCACCGGCTGCGCCCCTCACCTCCACCCCGCAGTGCCGCTGGATGTAGTCCGCGAGCCGCAGCTTGTTGACCCGCTTCGACGCGGCCCACTCCTGCTGCAGGTCCGGGTTGGCCGCGTGTGCTTTCAAGATGCGCAGCCGCTCGATGTCGGTCACCCAGCCCTGCCCGCCGAGCCACTTGGTGAGCAGCGCCGCCAGGCTGGGGTTGGCCAGCAGCAGCCAGCGGCGCGGGGTGACCCCGTTCGTCTTGTTGTTGAAGCGCTCCGGCCACATGTCGGCCAGCTGCGGGAAGAGGCGCGTGCGCACGAGGCCCGTGTGGATCTCCGCGACGCCGTTCACGCTGTGGCTGCCCACGATGGCCAGCACGGCCATGCGCACCATCTTGGGGAAGCTCTCCTCGATGATGCTCAGCGCGCTCAGCCGCTCCGTGTCGTGCGGCCACCGCGCCTCCACCTCCTGCCAAATTAAAACAGGACGAGGTCAGCCAAAATAGGGTGACGGGGCGCTAAGGAGGAGCCGGGTAGGATCTCGACAAGGGCTTTTGGTGCCGCACCTAGATCTTCTTCAAGGAACCACACGAAGACCCGTCCTCAGCCACATCCTTAAGTTATATCACTTTTTGCCAAAAGGGGTAAGGAGTTCATAGACTTCCGGGTAACAAACTTCTCCTCGCATGCAATCCTGTCTCCTCTATAAAAACAATTTCGTTCAGGTCTTCAGCCCCTCAAGGGCAGCTTCGTTGAGAGCGACGTCGTCTCCAGGAAGTCGTCAAGCCACAAAAGAACGTCCACAGCTCTGCCCTGCCCCTTTGCACCTAATTCTCCATCCGGGCATACAATGGTGTACCTGAAGGTGGCGGTGGTTGATCTCGTAGATGATCTGCATGTGCCGCGGCAGCAGCCGCTCCAGTAGGGGCACCGGCCACCGCTCCAGCGCCTCAGGCAGGATGGTGTGGTTCGTATACGCAAACGTGCGCGTCGAAATGGACCACGCCTCCGCCCACTCCAGCCCCTGCAGGTAAGAATCATTGTAAACGAGAGCGAGAGACACGGGCTGCGGAAAGGGTTGTTGTCTGGACACAGTCTTCTTGACAACATCGTGATAACCAACAGCCAGAAACGTCCCGTCACGCCATTCAGACACCTTCGCGCAGTGTGCTTATCCCAGCATACGCCGGCTGAGCTTTGACTTGACTACCCTGCAATTTGTTGGACAAGAAACGCCTGATTACAACATGCTTCTTTCACAAACGGAGTCCTCCAGCCAGGACCCACCTCGACGTCGAGCATGATGCGCATGAGCTCCGGGATGGCGATGGTGGGGTGCGTGTCGTTGAGCTGGATGGCCACCTTGTCCGGCAGCTCCGCCAGCGGGCGCCGCGACCGCTTGAGCCGCCGCACCACGTCCTGAAGCGTGGCGCTCACGAAGAAGAACTGCTGCTTCAGCCGCAGCTCCTTGCCGGCATCCGTGTGGTCGTTCGGGTACAGCACCGCACTGATGCTCTCTGCGCGCACGCGCGCCTCGCTCGCGGCCGCCAGCTGGCCTGCGTTGAAGGCGTTCAGGTCGAACTCGTCCCACGCACAGCTGCTCCACAGCCGCATCGTGTTGGTGTTGCGCGTGCGATACCTGCGGCCACACGCAGCGAGTCAATCTTTAGTGCAGCGGGATGAAGGCTGAGTGGAGAAGCTAACCTCGAATCCCTTCATACTCTTGAGCACGTTATCTCTGATGGGCTGCATAAAGTGCTGCAATACCAGTCCAAGTGCACACTCCAGTAAGCCGGCTGCACTCGATCCTCCCAGGCCTTCAGCAGCAGCCCATCATCGTTGCTTTGCGCAAGGGTTACGTCTAGATCTATGGTAAAAAAGGACTCAACGAGGGAGGCAGGCAAAAGCGGACGAACTATGAATGTCGATAAGCGTATGCTTGTGCGGACATCTGGCGCAAGGAACAAGCGCTTGCTTCTAAGGAGCAAAGCGATCGCCGAGGAAAATCTAAAGGCTGCTGTGTTTTCCCCTTCGAAATGCTTCACGGAAAATGTTTATTGGAACCACCGAGGGCAAGATCTGCGGAAGAAGGTGTGAGCATGAGCAGAAGGTCTTATCAATAAATGAGCTTGTTTATACAACTGAAAGGATAGCGCCACCGCGGCCCTTCCCGGCTGACTTGTTGGTCTGACTTTTCACGCATTTTTCATTGTTACTAGTCCTTACCCTGGGATGGGGCTATCGAAGGCCTGCGCTTTGACAATCTCCCCGCCCTCCCACTGGTAGCGCAGGTTGCAGCCCTGGCGCACCGCATGCACGTGGCCGTAGAAGCGCACCGGGTAGCTGATGTCCAGGCGCTGCACCTCCCACGGGTTTGTGTGCCCTTGCAGCCAGTAGTCGGGCACCTCGCGCTGCTGGCCCCGCTCAATGCGTTGCTCAAACATTCCGTAGCGGTATCGCAGCCCATAACTGCGCAACCGGGAAAGCCGCTCTTGAGGAAGGGCGATTGATCATGAAATGTGTCACAATTACACAATCGAATCTACCCTTGGAAATTCTTTCACATACACAAAGGCTCAGCACTTGAACCAACCCACGGTGCAGGAGTACACTTGAAGCCCCTACTAACTCAGTCGGAGACAGCGACTTACCCCCAGGCAGGGTAGTTGAGGGTGGCCATGGAGTCCAGGAAGCAGCTCGCCAGCCGCCCCAGGCCGCCATTCCCGAGGGCGGGGTCGTGCTCCTCCGCCGCTAGGTCCTCAAGCTCGTAGCCCAGGGCTGCAATGCCCCGCGTGTACTCATTCTGCAGAAAGCACAAAAGGCCACTGACTGATGCCCGCTCATTAAGGGGGAAAGTACGCGCTTCCTATCAAGACCGGTCGCACATAGAACAAAGCAGTGGTCCTTAGAACTAAACAAGGCCTGCTTTGTGCATCACTCTGAGCATGGCAGGATGCTTAGTAGCTTTGCCCCAGAGCTCAAGCTTCATCGCATCGTGGTTTCCATCTTCAAGTCCATGACTTGATACTGCAGATGTCCCCTATAAATGATACTGTCTTTGACAGATTGGCGCAATCCTGCCCAGGGCTAGCATGTGTCTTACCTCGACTCCCAGGTTATGGATGGTATTCTGCAGGCAGCGGCCCACCAAATATTCCAGAGACAGGTAGCACACGCGCTTTGGGTCCTGCGGGCAGTAGAAATCAGTCAGCCCCACCACCTGATGGACACAGAAGAAGCTCATGCGAAGTATCTGCAGATGGGCCTTTGGGGATAGAAAGAAGGGTTTGAAGGCCGAATAATTGGGATTGGCCGTGAGAAGGGAATGGCATGCCTTTATTCCTTAGGGAAAGAGGCGCTACTAAGATCTGATGACTGCGCTCAATACTCACCTTAGTGGTATAGTAGCTCTGGGTGTCGGTCCACCTTTCAATCAGCCGCTCCCGCACGCTCAATGCTGTGGCTAGGTATAAGTCTGGTGCTGTGAGAGGCTGATGCCGCCGGGCCAGAGTGTACTGCACATGGCGCAGCACTGATGCCTCCACGGGCTCAACCTTGAGGTGCTCCTGCGCAAGCGCGTGCTGCCGCTTGCGTTCCTCGACGTGCAACTCCAGAGGCTCATCCTCTGCAGGCGCCGGGGGTTTGGCCTCTGGGTAAGTGGGTTTGGTCTCTGGGTAAGTGAAGGGCTCGGGCGACTTTCTGCCACCTCTGATGATCTCAGCTTGCTTGGAGAAGGGTGAGGGTGAGATTGGGATGAAGCTGGATTCGGCTGCAGACGTGGCGTTTGAATTTCCCAAGAAGCTGCCCTCGCGGCTGAAGCTCCGGCGAGCGCCCCCCCCTAACTCGTTGTTATTGAAAGACAAGGACACCTTTTTGACGGGAGCGGAAGGGCTCGCATGGCCGTTACTGCTCATAACTGCCTTGGTGGGGGCCAGGCAGAGGGGCGGGCATGGACAGGGCCCTTACGCGGACCTTCGTGGAAATTTGACCTTAGTTTGGCCTCAGCATTGTATCCGCCCACCTGCCCCTGGGCTGCTTTACTTCGTCAATTTCGGATTTCCGTTTCTTCATGTTGACAATGCTGAGCTGCTGACCCTTGGTGATGCCCAGCCAAAGCCGAATGCTCGTTTTGCCCAAGATCCCGGGAAGGACAACCGATTGTACCAGTAGAACTGCGTTCACAAGGACCACAGAGACCCAAGCTCGGTGAGAAAACTTCAGTCAAGTAGATGCAACTGTCTCTCGGCAATAAGTCCAGGTCTAACGAATGAGTGGTCACTGTCGCCACTAAAACAAGGTTGCTTGCATTCTCTGAGGCAACGGTCTTGATTATTTCTACATTCTGGACCACAGTTAGGAGAGCAAGTTCTGAGCAACGTCATCTTTCTGGAATGCGTGTTAGATCTCACGTGACAGCCTGAGGGACCTGTCTCCAAAACTTCTATCACTAGGGCAATAGTTCAATGTAATGGGGACTTCACATGCACAGCTAGGATATTGGTTGCAATCGAACTGAAGACTACATACAGCAGCTTGAATGAATGTGGACCTCTGCATATGCTTCGAATGCCTTTGCTAATCAGGAGTGGGTCAGCACATATCGCAACCAGAATGCCAACATGCGCAGCGATTGCTCCAGGGGGCCTTACACAAATCCTTCTGCAAACCCACAATGGACCACTTACCTTGCGAGAATGTCGGCCCTCAATGGCGTATTAATATCTCGTCAACCACATCAAGACCTATCTGTCCTAAATATCTCCACTTCCTGGATCTCAGCTAGTCAGCCATCATGGAGAAAGGTGCGAGTCGTACGTCACAGCCTGCTTTCTGGAGTCTGGAGAAGACACAGAGCCAAGTCTACATGTGGATCTCCGAGTCTCCGACCACCCCCAGATGCTTTTGCCACGAGATCGCGCGCTCCACGCGGACTGCGCCGGGGGTCTATTGGCAGTACCTATATAGGGAACTGATGAGGGCCTTACTTCCCCCCAGCCGTTCTTTTACGGGAAAGATCTGCGCGCGTAGTTTTCAACACTACGCGTGAGCATTGCATGAGGGGGGTTGGCTGATGAAACTTGGTCACAATGTGCATCTGGATTCTGGCCGCTAGGCTAGCGCGACAGTGGACACTGGAGAGCATTTTACCACTCGCCATTTTACCAGTGCTTGCACAAGTTGCAGAGGGGACAGAGGAGACATAATCTCATAAAAACTTCTGGTAGGATGCTTCTGTGCTTCATCTTGAAGTTCCATCATGTGGCACTGGCAATGCGCCCTAGTTTGTCAATCCAGTTGAAATCATCACTGTGGGGAGGAGCAATTTCATGGGGGTATCATGGTACCCATTTCGGGGTCCCAGCTTTGCGCGGATCGGACTTTTCTGTGCAATAATTGGGTCCTGATTCTGCAGGCACAGGTACACCACCCTGGGAAATGCAGCTGCACACCACCCCACAGATGCAGCTCCTGTTTACAAATGCGCTAGAAATGCTTTTCGTCATTACAGATGAGAATGAGAAGAATTCAGCCAGCCTAATGCAACTTTCTTATAAATGAACGCAAACCAGCAAGACATTGTGAGCTTGAAAGACGTCCAGAGATCCGCGTGTTGCAGTTCCACGGAAAGTTGCAAAGATGCTACTTTCCTCAAATGGCATCAAATTGAGCAAGCTGGTCCATCTTTGCAGGGCTGTGTGATTGTGGTCTTGTTGGCTATCGGTTGGCTCTATGCTGCTCAGTGTCGGTGAGTCTTTCTGCTTTCATTCTTCTTAGGCAACCAAGGTGCAGGTCTTTCAGTCCATCAAATCTTCTTTCTACTTCTGGCTATAACAGATCAGAGGCCTTCAAATAGCTCAATTTTATGCCTGAAGGCCACTGGACAAGATCTGACAATGATGTTTTGCTGGTAATCTCCAGCTTGTCCCTTTCGTAATTCAACCCCAAATCTGTTTATATGTGCTTGATAAGAACCACCGTTGGGTCTGCAGTCTGCAGGAGCTGGAGCGGATTCGCAAGAGCGAAAGAAAGGGGAACACACTTGCGTTTCTGAGCCATGATGGAGGTGGTCTCTCCTACAAAGCTCAGTCCGGGTTGCCCAGTGTCTCAGTAATCCTACCTGTGAAAGGCATTGGGGAGCACAGCGTTAGCAACTGGGAGACGCAGGTACCAGCTGGCTCTCTAAGCTGACGCAGACAAGATCTTAGCTGATGTTGCCTGCTTGCGATTGCTGGGAACAGGTGTGGGAACAGGCCCTTGCTCTGCTGCGGCATTTTGGGCAGTGCAATCACTCATTGAGCACCCTGGGCTGCAGCTGACAATCACAGCTGCCTGCTTTCTCTGCAGCTTGCGACTCTCTATGGAGGAGAGATTGAGTACCTGTTTATTGTAGAGGATGGTGCGGATCCTGCTTGTGAAGCAATCACCAGCCTGATAGAAGAGCTTGCGGTGAGGAGGACTTCCAGTGGATTTCTTCCCTCACGATACACTCAGGACAAGGACCCTTCTTCAGCTCATTCGTCTTTCCAGCACCGACATGGTGCCTGCATGAACTGTCTTGGAAAGTGAAGTATCAGAACATGCAAGCTCTTGTTCTGGAAAGTAGATGCCTGTGTCAGAAAGGGCAGTCCCAATTTGCCTTTCTTTACACTCGAACTTGAGCACGTTTGGAATGAAGCTCTGATGCTGTTCCTAATCACGACCTGTCCCAGGATGACGTGACAGCTCATTTGGTGATTGCGGGATGGGCAACCACTTGCAGCCAGAAGATCCACAACCAGCTGGTGAGCCGCGCATGTTCCCATCCGTCCAGATTTTGCTGTCTGTCTCTACAGTGCTTTCACTTCCCCGGAAAAGGAAGATGGGAGCTTAAGACTTTCAGAGGTTACTAGTTTGTGCTGCTCTTTCGTGCTGCCCCCATACCTGATGCCCTAGCCAGAAGGCGTTGCAGGTTCGGTTGCTTGCAAACAAGTTGTTACGGGGCATGCACACTACGGGGTGATCGACCGGTCAATCTGGACTAGTTAGACTTTGTTGAGGTGCTGTTAGACGGTGCCTTCGCCAGATTGCCGCACAGCAAATGAAGGCCCTATGCAGCCCCTCTTTCATTCTCCCTTTGAGCCCCCGGGTGGACGTACCCTCTGCCGCAGATTGCCCACATGTAATGTCGCCGTTGCAGGCGGGTGTGGCAGCCATGTCCAAGTCGTCCAAGTACGTGCTGTTCCTGGACGACGACATCCAAGTACATCCAGGCACAGTCGGCCAGCTGGTGGCGTGCATGGAGAAGGAGCCAGAGGTGAGCCCTCACCTGGCCTTCCACCCTCACAAATGTTTGTCATCAAATTGTGACCGGCAATGAGTGCGCCCTTGCTGTGGGATGTTGTAGGTCCACCTGTGTAGTCGTTCGTTCACGAGTTCAGATTTGTAAAGACCCTCTTTCTCGGGGAGACGATGTTAGTCTTTCTGGTTAGTTTCGAAGTTGTCGAACATGCCTGCAGGAGCTTATTCGCGCTTCACTTGTGACTGTCAGGTATTCATGGTGACGGGGTATCCCTTCGACATTCCAGACGGCTCCATGATCAACTACTGTTTCATGGAGTACCATCTAGTAAGCACACCGTCCCACCTGCAAGCACTTTCTTCGAGTTGGTCTTTAGACCACAGTCAGGTTGTGTCGTGCCTGTTGGCTCACAATCTTGCAGCCAGTGTAACATAAGGCCTCACACCGGTTCAATTATAATCACTCTCCCTACAAGGCTCTTAGTCCGCAGCTCGTTGACTGCTGTAGATTGATGCCAAGCTCGTGATATCGGTCATCTCTCCCTTTACAGCCTCTCTTCATCGGGTTTTCCACTGGCGGCCAAACGGCATTCGTTTGGGGCGGCTGCATGATGGTGAGCCTCTGCCACCATCCACGATCGGAGCCAGGCTTGCCATGTGCGTGCAACGAGTCTCTAGAGGCAGTTGACAATCTCCCTTCTTATACTCTAGCTTCCAGTTCTTGCTAGGAGCGTGTTGCGACTCACGACTCCCATGCTTTTTGACAAAACGGTGGGATAGTGTGGCAAATTCGTGCCCCTGTGTACCCTTTTGTTCGAAACTTTTGCCGCGTTCGTTTATCAGAGCTGTTTTTGAAGCGAGCAGGTCCAAAGTTCGACTGGCTAACATGGTTCAGAATTTTCAAACAAGGCAGGGCTGACTGGTCGACCTGCTTTCCCTTGGGTTGCACCAGATGCACGCAGACGATTGGCGGACTGATCGATACGGGATGGCAACAGCGTGGAAGAACGGCGGATATTCGGACGATCTTATACTGGCCTCGATAGCAGGTAGGAAAGAAGTGGCTTCACAACCTGTCGAAACGTATCCGGACGGAAAAGTTTCGTCGAGTGCCTTCAGCCTGCTTTTACACCATGAACCGTGCTCTTGGTCTTTGTATCATGCTGCTTGCCGGTGAAGAAGAGCTCTCTTGGTTTCGTGCTGTAGGTGCCTTGGGCGACCTTGCGTCCTTGAATGAGTTGGGACACAAAAATCAGAGTTGAAGCTTGGTCCACGTTGCGAATTGGTTGCTTCTACACGCAGTGTGGACTTTCTTGACTGCTGCGCCCTCTTTTCAGGAGACAATGGACGGAAAGTCATCTGCCCACCAATGGCGGTCTTCTTATACCCCCTGTCTGGCAAATGCACCGTAGGGAGGTGAGCTGTGGGATACATTTTGGCCCAGCACCCATTTGCAGTCGGGGCTTTTGCCCTCGTTTGGCCTTCAAGCAACGCTTGTCAAGTTGCATTCTCGACGCCTATTGGGGCGGCACATCCGGTCGACCTTTCCCCGCTTGTCATCCCGGTAAGGCACCCAAACTCGTTTTCCCGTTGCTGCAGGTACTGGAACTACTTGCGGCGCCAAATTTTCGTGCTCGAGACCTACTGTTCCCTGCACAACCAGATCGTGAACCGGGCGCTCTTCCTGGCCCACTGCTACCTCTCGTGGGGCCTTGTCCTGCCCCTCGTGCCCACCGCCGTCCACCTTGCATTGTCCCTCACAAGCCTGACGGCCCGTGGGCTGCGGCTGTTGGTTCCCGGAGACGAGCACCCCGGAGCGCCGGGCGTTGTCGATGGCACCAGCTGTACCACAGGTAAGCAGCGGATCTCATGAGAGCGCAACGAACCGGTCTCTGCCTACGTCGATGTACTATGTCGAGGTCCGCTCCGCAGTTGCTCCCGTTTTCAAGTATACTGTAAGTCGCCGAAAACAGTCTTGTCCTTGGCCACCCCTTGCCATCTTGTTCATGCTTTGCTGCGCATATCGACATTCGTTCGTCGACAAGGATCAGGACTGCATCGGCGCTGCCTGGTCTGGTTGGGACTCTGTATGAACAGAACCTTGCGAAGGTTTTGAAGGCGAGCCATCACACAAACCGCTGACCTGGCCGCCCCTGTGGTGCTCAGGGTGCGCCCTGGCCTGGGCTCTCGTGGGGTGCTTCTACCTGGCGTACCTGGCCCTCAAGCACATGGCGCAAGCGGTCATCGACCTTTGCAACGCCCTCGCGCCGGAGCAACCGCCCGTCTCGCTGGACAGCATCCGCTGGCCCATGGTACGCCCTCTATCCGCCAAACTGGTCCTTCTGCAGATTGGTTCATGTCTTCAAGCCTATATCGACTCGAGCTGCTGGCCATGTTGTGTAAGAAAGTCTCAGTTTCCTTTCGGAAGTCAGTGCCTCTTCGTCGACCGTGTTGGGTCGGATGTCACAATCGTGTTGCCGACGCGCCACTTGGTATCCAGCGGCTGATCTTTGCTTTCTTTGGGTTACCTCCCTTACAGAGGAGACCAGGGAGAGCAATCTCCTCCTCTATTCGTTTCCCTAGGTCAGGCGGGCACGCGTTGCCGCTGCTGGACTCGGCCTTAGTACCGCTGCTGTGGGCCCCCGCTGTGTGCAGGTGCTGGCGGGCATGGTGGTGGGCGAGTTCATGTACCCGCTCTGCGCGGTCTGGACGTTCGTGCACGCCCAGGTCGAGTGGTCCGGCGTGGTGTACACGCGCAGCAACGGCAAGATTTGCAAGGTGCGGCCATGTGCACCGCGAGGTGACAATCACCTAAGCCAGTCTTGAGAGGGCAATCTTGTCATCACTTTGTTGTTTCCCTTCTCTCAACAGTCAAGGATCTCCGCTAGAAGGCTGCTCCATTGCTGGACTTTCAAAAAGAAGGTTCCTTTGGGCTCCTTTGTGCAGGTGGAGCGTCCCCCTGGCAACTCGCTTCATAGAAAAGATTCTTCGCCGTCTTGGGAGTCTACAAAGCGGTACGGCACCTGGATAGCCAGTCTGTTGCGAATATACCTGTTGAGAAGAAGGAACTGTGCGAAACTGGAAGCTTAAGCGTTACATGGCGGATTAGAACATCCTTGAAAATGGCGCTGCTGGAATTGTTGAATCTATGGAGGACACGGCACATGACACGGCACATCACTCTGCTCGGATGACCACAAATGAAGAAACTTCTGCAACATTCTAAATGGATCTAACGAGACCAGATGGATTCACATGAGTAACGACGCTCTTGGCAGCAGCCTGTGCCAATTCAAATGGTCAGTGCCCAGTGTACTTCGGATTCCTTGCATGGATTTGCCTTAACCATATTAAGGCAGTCAGCGCCGGCGAGCGCGGCCAGGAGCCAATCAGGATAAAAGTTGCATAGAGCTTTAGTAGTGCATGCGGATCCGACTGCAATCATTGGTGCATCATGTGCATGGTATACGTATAATGATATATGATCGATATACGGCATGCATGCTGGCCATAATGATAGAGAAATTCTCGAATGGATTGCAAGCTACACTTATGTATCATGCCAGGCCTGGCTCGCGAGTTTAATAGCCGGGCGAGCGACGATCATTTGATTGCGATTGTATTACATGCAAAGATTTTCATTACGTCCATCCATTTCACCATTGCTCGGACTTGTGTAATTCGATCTGCAATCTCAATCTTCAGCCTATCGATCCTTTATGAGTCCACGCGTTTTCTGAGCTGTCTAGTTCAACTGGCCGGCTTCATTACAGAGAGCTAAGAGGCATCGGAACCGATCCGTAAGATCCTTTGAAAGCGCAGTCATTGCACGCAGGCTCAATATGCAGCTGGCCTATCGCGGACATCACCATTCGAATCTGATAGTGGTTTGCAAGCCCGCTAAATCACTGCACCAGATTGGACGATGGCTCACCAGGTTCTTCGCAATTCGGTCTTTGTATGGAGGGGGTTTGGATACGACTAGAATGAACCTCACTTGTGATCTCCTTACAGCACTTATCCCCCATTCATTTGATAGTTCATCATCTGTGGATCTTCCATAAGGGCCATCGTAAGCCCGTTTCTAACACCGTCAAGTTTCATCCGCAGGACGTCAAGAGCATTGAGCACGATTGTCTCCGGCTTCAGTGCTCCCGTGGCCTCAACTGTGAAGATGAAACTATCTTCCCGGGCGGAGATGGTCACTAAACCTGGGAAGCCCATGGCCTCCGCCTTCTTGATCACTTCCTCATCATAGGCGTACGCTTCCGCATTGACGACTTGCACCTGCATTCAATGCTCGCAATGTATTAAAATCATGCAGTCCTGGCACCTGGCGGGCCCACAACCAGCAATGGGTGCCACTCTTGTGCCCGCTCGCACCACTGAATACATTTCACTTCCATTCTGGAGGGACTTACTGAGTTACTCAGGTTTTTGCAGGGACCAACAACTGCTCTGGGGCGCTGCCAGGAGACAGTGCAGACTCGAACAGATAGGTAGACCCGCTCACATAAGCAAGGAGCCCCAAGTGCCACATCTTCAGATTAAGTCAGCCACTTTCATTCTCAACGGTCGAACTTCCAGGAAGAAGATTTGGAGTGACTTGGATTTTGCAGAATAGAGTTACCTGCCGGGTTGCCCGATCAATGTCAAAAACTTTTGTGGGCGAGGAGTCAATCCACTCTTGCTTCTGCTCCTCGGTCAGCGTCTCCATAAGCTGCTGGTTGATGATGATCTCCGGCTCAAACTGAAAGACCGCAGTGGCCGCGGGGTTCCACTTCGCGTGGTCCTTGCCGATGCCCTTGCGTGCCAGGCAGCGCAGCTTGACCTCCTGGTTCTTCCGTAATTTTACTATTAAGATGCCCTTCAACCTGCAAGTAAAGCACAAATAGTCAGGATGCAAGCCATGAAACTTTGACAGATGTGCTGTGATCAATCCCGTAAACGAACGTGCATCACCCACATGGGCTCTGGTCGTTTTCAACCACTTGTCGGGGAAGACCACTTGGTTCCACTCTAACTCGGGTCAGGAGGAAGCAGCTGCAGCTTGCTATGACCAGCCGATGTTCCAATGTTTCCAACATTATCTGTCACCACCTTCGATGCCCCTTTGATCTCATGTTTGTACGTTACAAACACGATGATACTCATGTACGCCCATCGCAAGGTTCCGGACATATGGCATTTCCAAGCACAAGGAATTTACTGGTGGTGCTGTCAGAAAGAAGACAATCTCTCTTCTCCTGCAAGTTACAACAGCACACCTCAGTGACCTTCCAGCAGCTTGGCGCCCAAGGCGCAGTGTTTGATGCAAAAGCTGTCAGAGTTCTCCAAATGCACACCACCTACAGTTTCTCATCTTCCTCCATTGCTTTCCTCGCTGCAGCCACATCCGCTGGTTCCACCGTCTCATCGGAGGTTTGAAGATCAAAGGTGGTTACATCCAGAGTGGAGTCCCCCTCGCAGCGCACGTCCAGAGTAAACTCCACCGAACAATGTTCGCATTGCGTGTCGCCATCGCACACATCGCAATCCCGGCCATACACCATCTGTGCTGCTCTATCACTGACCAGAGGAATAAGGCCCAATCGATGGGCAACGAACTCGTCATTCAAAACCGAAGAGTTTGCTTCAATCTCCACCAAGTCAATTGCAATTGTCGGAACTTCTGCAAGAATCACTCTGCGTAGAGCATTTGCAACGCTGGTATCTGTGTCACGGAGCTCAAACTTTATGACATGGTCGTCTACGCTGCGGATTCGGACTTTAGGCTCCCGTTTCAAGCCTGCCATCTCCAGCGTCCTACTGCTTAGACAAGCGGCTCCCCTCAAACTTGACGAGTTGGAGTATCGTTGCTATAGGAGTTGAGATTGGCAGCAAGGCAGTGACCAGGTTTCAGAAGGACAACAGTAAGACTTACACAGTGCGCATTGCATTCACCATTGATCAATCTAGAAATGAAGTTCAAAGAAAGGACTGTGATTCTGAATCTGATTTGCAAGCGCAGAGTTCAAAGCTTGAACCTCCAGAACAGGACTCCGCATTGAGTACGAGCATGATGGCAGCAATGCTGAAGATTAGGATTCCTAGTGGGGGCAACTCGGAGACCGCCTTGGCTGTTCCAACACCTTCCGATGACAGTTCTCTCAATCTGAACGATCCCAGTTGCACGAACGAGCGTCCCGAAGATTGAGGGCTTTCAGATGGGTATACCCTTGAATACAGTTGCGGACCAGTGCTGGCGTCCTCGATCCCATGCTCGATGACAGTTCAGCCTTCACTTCTCTCTGGCACTGGCAGAGAACACGGTTGGAAGCAGGACGATCGAAGAACAGGGTGGAATGCGCTTCTGCTGGCCTCCCTGCTCGCATCAAGCTGCTGAATCCAATTTAAAAGGCGCCAATTGTGTCAAGCGCACATTGAAAACAGGTGCAAGATCTTCAGACGTCCAAGATGGTGGGGATTGTTGCAAACGGTGCAACATTTGAGGACACGGAGAAGGAATCTGACTATGGCTATGTCAGGAAGGTATGGAATACAAAATGCAGGAATTGATGGAGTTGGGCCGCATCAGCAGCAAATTACAGGAATTTAGAAATCTGCTTTCAATTCGTTTGGAATGTGAGACGTCTTGTGAGCTCTGCAGCATTTTGACTACAAATCTCCAATTGCTAGATCCCTTATGTCAATTTCGGTTTCTCCAGGTCTCGGGACCTGTGGTTGTGGCTGACAGCATGGGGGGGTCTGCCATGTTTGAGCTGGTCCGTGTAGGCCATGACAAACTGATCGGGGAGATCATCAGGCTCGAGGGGGACTCAGCGACAATTCAAGGTTTGTACTTGATGCACGCAGTATCTACCAGGATTAGGAGGCCAATGCGCGAGCATGTTGAGTTTCATTGTGTTTATGTTCTCAACAATTAGAGCAATTGTGGAGATTGGATGGTGTAAAGAGTAGGGTTGCAGCAATTGCACAGCGCATCAGCGTTTCGTTTCTCTTTGAATGTGTCTGTTGAGGCCGGCTGTGTTTTGTCCCCAGCTCAGCAAATCTGCTCTGAACTTATTTGAAGCCATATTGATCTGCAGTGTATGAGGAGACGGCTGGACTTACCGTGGGTGATCCAGTCCTGAGGACCCGGAAGGTAATAATAGCACCATATTGGAGACTTTGCTTCTATCCAGTATTTAGCACTGGATCCTATGCTGCAAAGAGCTAGCGGACTGTGGCTAGATTTTGCTTTCTTTCTTTTTTGCCTCCAAAGTTGCCGGATCCTTTTGCGTCTTGTTGACACGTTTCCACTTTTTGCAGCCCTTGTCAGTGGAGCTTGGCCCAGGACTTCTCGGAAACATTTTCGACGGAATTCAGGTAAGAGTTGTCATTGATCTTCGCTTTCAAACTGCACATGGGAGTTTGATTGTCGCTGCATCTCTCATTTAGTGCAGATAATGCAGACTGTCTCTGTCTTGACCATTCCTGGGCCTGGAAACCATGCTTCTTTATCTTGCAGCGCCCCCTCAAAGCCATTGCTTTGGCAAGCAAAGATGTCTACATTCCTCGAGGAGTGGCAGTACCGGCTCTGGATCATAAGAAGGAATGGGAGTTCACTCCCAAGAACTTCAGTGAGTACAGTATTGGCAGTTATCCATCTCTTGAACATGCTGCTATTGTTAATCGGCCACGTACATAGTTTGCTGCTCAGTACAGTGCCGCCTCTTGATCCTTGTATCCTCCTATTGCTCTGCTATCTCGTTGCTTGGATTTTCCTAATCATGACTGTTCTGACTGCAGAGGTTGGGGACTCCATCACAGGGGGGGACATATACGCAGTGAGTGCTTGGGTCACATCATTGTTCCTTGGGCTATGCTGTCACCAACCGCGCAATACTGGTATCGTTCAACCAGCTTGCAGCTGTCACCAACCGTACAATTGCATACTTCAACATAGTCATGCCCAGCTGAGCCTTTCAAGTCTGATCAGGATCTTTGAACCCACAGGAGCCCGCAGATGCAGACAGATTGCTTTGGCTCATGAGGTGGCTTTTCCTGATGCAGAATGTCTTTGAGAACAGTCTGCTGGAGCACAGGGTGTGCTTGCCTCCCGGTGCGATGGGCAAGATTACATATGTGGCAGAGCATGGCAACTATGACATCACCGACAAGGTCCTGGAGGTGGAGTTCCAAGGGCAGAAGAAGACCTTCACGATGATGCACGTAAGTCAGAAAGGCTGGCTAAATATCCTGCACCCATGTTGTCATCGAGAGAACCAGACGGCTGTCTGCTTGTCCATCCTTCGTGCTTTTGACAAACTAGATCAATTGAGTACTGTGAATTTGTTTTGTGCAGACGTGGCCCGTGAGGTCACCTCGCCCAAGCGCTCAGAAGCTGCCTGCTGACACGCCCCTGCTCACAGGACAGGTGAGCGATCCAAACTTGATTGTTGTTTAGGCATGGCTTAGTGATTGTTGTCGGACAATGATGTGAATGAAGGGAAGATTGACCATGTAGTCAAAGCAAATGAAATCCGCTTCTGACAGTTGCAGAGGTGTGGCAAGCCCCCTGGACTATATGTAAGCTTTTCAGATGGCTTCCTTCTACCCAGTGCTGCAACTTGCAATTTGTCTGCAGCGTGTGCTGGACGCGCTCTTCCCCTCAGTGCTGGGTGGTACCTGCTGCATCCCTGGAGCATTCGGCTGCGGCAAGACCGTCATTAGCCAAGCCCTATCTAAGGTATGCCCAGAGCTGAAGCATCATTGGTATCAGTTCCCAGTAATTGGCAGCTGATAGCACTTGTTGATGGTCGGTGGGTGCATCAAAGGCTTGGCCTACGGTTGATCAATGTCCCATGCGTTTCGTACAATGCCCTTTCTGATGAAGAAGCTAACGAGATCCGACTAAAATCTGTGATCTGTTGCAGTACTCAAACTCCGATGGTGTCATCTATGTGGGGTGTGGTGAGCGCGGCAATGAGATGGCTGAGGTGAGTCTTGCAATTGTCAATAGGCTGACGAGATTTGTGGCAAGTTGCGTGCTTGGAACTCAGCAGGCTTCTGTGCATGAAGAAACCTCCTCCTTATATGCTCTGGAGAGCTGTGTGCTCAATCGTGATGTTTTTGTGCAGGTGCTGATGGACTTCCCTCAGCTGACGATGACGCTCCCGGACGGCAGGGAAGAGAGCGTCATGAAGAGGACAACGCTAGTGGCCAACACGTCCAACATGCCTGTGGCTGCCCGAGAGGCCTCAATCTATACGGGTAAGTGGACTTTGCCAGTACATGCAGCTTGAAGTGTCCAGCCCAGTCGCAGCTCGTGTTTAGGCGAAGGGGTGACGGCTTATGAGGAATCTGATACTTTCCTAAAGCGATTCTTCTAGAGGCAAACACTTCTTTCAACACTTAGTATCTGCATCTCATTTTCTTATGGCTGCTCACCCAGAGGAGGCATCTGAATCAGGCGCACCATGCCGGTGTTGACCATGTCAAATCTGCTGTGCAGGTATCACCCTGGCGGAGTACTTCCGTGACATGGGCTACAACATGAGCATGATGGCAGACTCGTCCTCTCGCTGGGCTGAGGCGCTGCGTGAAATCTCTGGCCGCCTGGTAGGTCATCGTCGACCTGCCTGTGTGGGGTAGATTGCTTGTTTGCGGTTGCCAGCAATCTCATCGGAGCTACCCCCCTGCTCTTCTTATCTTGCAGACGAAGGGCAAGCTACCCGCTGACGGTGTGGCCGCTGTGTGTCGCAGGCCGAGATGCCTGCTGACAGTGGCTATCCCGCCTACCTGGCTGCCCGCCTGGCTTCCTTCTACGAGCGGGCGGGGCGCGTCAAGTGCCTGGGCAGCCCAGACAGGACTGGCAGCGTGACCATCGTGGGGGCCGTTTCGCCTCCAGGAGGCGACTTCTCTGATCCAGTCACTTCGGCCACCCTGGGTATCGTGCAGGTAGGAACAGACTCTGACGCAATCACAAGCGGCAACACTATGCTATTGGGTGTTTGAGTGATTGCCTGGATTGGACTGTTTGCTTACTGAGCGTGCGGGGTGCTTTGTTGCAGTGTTGCAATGGTGTCCCTTCTTGCAACGCTCCTCCCTCCTGGTGCAGGTGTTCTGGGGTCTCGACAAGAAGCTTGCTCAGCGCAAGCACTTCCCGTCTGTCAACTGGCTTATCTCCTACTCCAAGTACACCCAGGTGAGGAACCCGCATTACTGTCAATTCTGGCCGCAAGATGGTGATCAAACGTATTCGGTCAGCAATGACCTGTCCAAGGCTCCGAAGTGCGTTCGAGTCCGGTTTGCTTCTCGCAAGCCTCTTTGACGTCCCAATTTGCAGCATGTTGATCTTGATCTTGCTCTTGTGACTGTTGGGCAGAAGGCGTTCTCTATTGCACGCTTGAACCAGAGCTGTAATTTGGTTGAGGGCCGCATCGCGTCCTGATGCAATGTTTTCTGTACACACAGGCGCTCGAGCCCTTCTACGAGCGCTTCGACAATGACTTCATCTCGCTGCGTACGGCCGCCAGGGAGATCCTGCAGCGAGAGGACGACCTCAACGAGATTGTGCAGGTGCGCTGTCAATTGCAGGACAACTGACTGCCACCCTCTTTCGTTCCCTCTACTATGCTGTGGCCAATGCTTGCCATCCCCAGCTTTGACACTCGGTTCTTGCCAAATGCGCGTTGGACTGATTCTCTTGTCCCGCCATCCGCAGCTTGTGGGGAAGGACGCTCTGGCGGAGACCGACAAGATCATCCTGGAGACAGCCAAGCTGCTGCGAGAGGACTACCTGGCACAGAACGCCTTCACTGCGTGAGTCTCTCAGTCAGGCGGCGCCTCTTCTGTTTCAAAGATTGTCACCAGTGCTGGCTGATGTTGCCCGAAGGTGGCTGTCTCATCCCGGCACCGTATCTTTCCTGCTGGCCCTTGACGCGGCTGCTGGTGCAGGTACGACAAGTTCTGCCCGTTCTACAAGTCGGTCTGGATGCTCCGCAACATCATCCACTTCCACCAACTGGCCACCGCTGCCGTGGAGAAGGGGGCTGGGGGAGAGGGCCAGAAGGTTACCTATGCCGTCATCCGTCAGCGCCTGGGTGACCTCATCTACAAGCTTGTGTAAGCGTTTCTCCGCGCCCAATTCTTGCTGGGTTCGGTGTTCTGCTGGCATTCCCAGGTGGGTGGTGTCATTTTAGACAAGTACTGAGTCGGAGTGCCGAACCACGTCTCCGTCTCTGCAACAGGTTTCTTGGTAATCATGCAGGCATACGAGAGTGATGTTCTTTGTCTGAAAGTCAGTCGTTTGCCTTGCACTCTTGCAGGTCGCAGAAGTTCGAAGACCCTGCCGAAGGCGAGCCTGCCCTGGTTGACAAATTCAAGAAGCTGAACGAGGCACTCACAACAGCGTTCAGGAACGTGGAGGATGACTACAGGTAACTTGCAAGTGGTAAAGTGTAGCAGGGAAAGGTACGCCCAGCCCCCGGGGCCTGTGGTATGAAGACGAAGTCGAATGCCTCCTTCATAGGCGTGTTGTGTAATTACATGTATAGCAATCCCGCCAATAGATTACCTGTCGTTCAAAGGATTATGCTGCTTGGCTTCATGGTCGACTATGATCAGCCCTACTAGGTCTTCCTGCTCAGAGATTGGCAACAAAGGCTCGGAGAACCATTGATTATTCGATCGATCTCAATGGAGGATGACATGATCTGGTGCGCAATCTCAGTAGATCTCGTATGGTGCCATTACTTTCATTATCCTCCCAGCGAGATTGAAGCCCTGCGACATGCCGCCAGGCTGCTGGGCCCTACTATCTGAAGTCATGGTAGAGTCTTGACAAGATTCTCAATGCATGTTACTGATCAAAATATTAATTGACTCGGGAGGCACTTACCTTACCGGCCGTACATTAGTTGCAGGCTCGCATTTGTATATGTAGTGTTCTGGCAGGTTGGCTTAAGCATAATTGAATGCCAATCATTCATTTTATATGTGTGAAAGCGTGCATGTATGTGTAGTAAGTTAACATCTTCGATAAAATCATGCACACCGGTAGTTCGCGTGACCGTCCAAATATGCATGTGTATACGGTACGGTCACTGTACGTAGCCAGCATGGGCTTAGCGCATCATTGGTGGTATATACTGCATGCATGCCACATGGTGTGCTGCAACCGGCACATGCAACATTCACATTTATTGATACTGCTAAGTGCGCTCCAGCCGCAATGATGGCGCGAATTATATGGAGGGCTCAGGATTGCTCCCTAGTAACAATTTCACGATGATCTTGAATATTTCAATGCTCGCCGGCCGCCGGGCTACATAACCCGGCACAACGGTCACTGTGTGGCCAGTGGCCAAAGAGACCAACGATTGAATGCCATGCATGTTCAAAAATACAGAGCTGTCGCGTTGGTCGCCCGGTGGCTGTGTCACTGGCATGCAGTGCATGAGCGTGGTAGAGTGCATATGGTGTCAAGAAACGAGCATATTGCACATGATACAATGTTAAGATCTGATTGTATGACGGTACGATATATTGTATGGATGTACGTACAGCAATGATATTAAAAACCGTAGGCTACTGCATGAGCTTAGTACCACCGATGTCGCATGGAAAACCGGTCCGACTGTGCAATGACTGCGTGATACTTGAAGATGGTTGAATGTTGCCGCTTGACCAAACGAAGTCTCATTTTCGATTGAGACGACCGCTAAATTCTTTGCCAACTTGTTGTAATCTGCTCTATTCTGTATCTGTAAGCTTACAACGCTGCTAAGCTTGAGCGCACCATTTCCTGCACGACCTTTACTTTGAGATCTCCTTGATAGAGTAATAGTGGGAGAGTTGGATGGGGCTTTCAGCGGACACTGGCCGTTCTTGAGACCACAACTCGAGATTCACGCTGGTGGCCTCCCAATGAACGAAGCAGATTGCAACTTGATCAATCTCAAAGTGGTTGGCGATTGCGAGGCCCGTTTCGCTGTTGGACAGCGTCCACACCCCTGCCAAACAGCCCAGATGCTAGTTAGGATTACTGAAAAGCTCACACGACCTTGTTCCGTCCCTCATCGAGTCTATTACGACGGTAGATTACGCGTCCATTCCTTAGCTGCGTTTATTGGCAATTGCCTTTGCTCGCAAAACCTCTGAGCAGTTACATTTGCAGCATCGGAGTTTTGGTAGCATGGTCTTAGGAGGACGATAGCACATTACCACCAATCGGTAGTAGAAGGCCCGTCTGACCGTTTCAAAGACTCACCCAAAAGGTATCAACATCGACCGCGACCCAGTCTCAACACCCTTAGCAGAGATGGCAAGGGCGAGATAAGGCTTGTAACTTTAATGCCCGGGTTCTGTAACCGAGGTTTTGTGGCGGCTCACCGTTGGGCCGGTCGTCGCCCCGGAGGGTCGCCTCGCCAAACTCGGCGGTCAGCTCGACGTCGTCCCCCCGGACGGACTTGAAGCTGATGACCGCGTTGGCCGGGTTGGCCAGCTTGAAGCTGGGGTGGGCGCGCAAGCACACCAGCCTGCATCGCACGCACCGCTCAGCAAATGCGGCTAGCTCGAATCACGTCACCTTGTGTCACGTAAGATTCTCGCTCTTTCGCCGCTGCAACCTCTATTTGCTGGGTATGCTGCAAGCAGATTTCGGAGAGCGGGCTTGCCGGCCATCGACTTGGTACCGCTCGAGGTAAGCACGAATGGGAGGTAACCAAATGTGTTTTACGCCTTCTAAGACATCGCGGTGTGGCTCTCACCGGGAAAAGCCGCCGGAGCCCGCTCCGATGCTGCGGGCCTCGATGGCAGAATTGATTTGGACCACGTCGGGCATGCCGCGCGGCACGGCAATGCGCCGCGTCAACGCGAGCCCCCCTCCCACGTCCGCTTCCAGGCCAACAGCGTCCTCTCCGTCCAGCTGCTCAACCTCCCGGCTGCGCAGGCAGACACGCAAAGGAACGGTCAGACGAAGGCGCAGAAGTGGAGCCCACGAGGCAAAACAAGCGCGTCAGGGAGGACCCGGCTGAGACACCAAGTCGGGTCCGGCTGCCGCAAGCAACGAAACTGCTTGTGTTGTCCCTTAAGCAGCTGCTCTCTGCTTCTCATGACCGTGTTCCCGAGGTCAGCCTGCAGCCCGGTGGTGACAGGCGCTGCGGTGCTTACGCGGTGATGCGGTACGGCTCGGTGCAGCCGGGCGAGCGGTACTCGGTTCCCGTGTACTCCTCGTAGCCGCCCTTGTCCAGCGTGCCCGCCAGCAGCTCCCGCCCGCTGCCCGCGTGCACCAGGCTCACAATGCGGCCGCCCGCCCAGGGCGCCACGCGCAGCAGCCACGCGCCGCTCGCCATCTCCACGATCGTCTTGGTCGTGCCCGCGCCCTTCACCGGCTCGTCCTCGCCGGCCTCGCTCAGAGGACCCGCCACCGCTGGACGCAGGGCAGCGAAGTTAGATCAGGGGAGGTACTGTTTTTATTGGATCAAGGGTTGCCATAATCCGCTGTCGACCAAGAAATTCTTGGGTGCAGGCTCTTCCGGCGCGGTCAGCTTTTCGAAGCGGAATGTCCCGAGAAAGGGCACTACTGCTGCGGTCAAGTCAAACGAGACGCCAGTGTTCGATATCCCACCTTAGCGAGACATGGTATGTCTCGAGGGGCTACAAGAGCTGCCCGAAAAGGCACTGGCAGGCAGATAATCCTGAAGCGGACGCAAATACACGGGCCGATGCTGGCGCACCTGTTTTTCGCTGGTTCTGTTGCGCGGCGACCATGGCCTGCAGCTGTTGGGGGCTGGGCAGCGCTACCGCAACCGGTTCGCCGTCCCAGCCGTCGCCGGTGACCTCCACGCCGTCCTCCAGCAACAACCGCACCGCCAGCTTCCGCCGAGGCCGGGCCCGGCTGCCCTCCGTCTTCTGTACCCGGACCGTGACCTGCCCGGACGTGCTCACGGCCTCGTACGTGGTCAGCAGGTAGCCCCCAGAGCGGTACGCGTACCCCTCGTTTTCGTCTTCGAAGAGCAAGCCCTCCGCCGCACCTGGCAGCCAAGACAGCCGTTACGCTCGTGTGGATCACAAGTAGAACGGTAAAGTTGCCAAGACATCAGAGGCCTACCCAGAAGGAATCTGGGAGTGCAACAGGGACAACAGAAAGAGGGCGTAGGCAAAAGAGGGACGAGACGGGGAGAAGGGGGTCGGGCCGTCGTTGAGACAACACAGCAAGAGGGACAGAACCGCACAAAGGGGGTCAAGCCGTGGTACATTTGACTTGATCACTGCCAGGCCGCTCAACAGGTGCTCATCTGCAGATTGTCCACCCCTCAGAGGAAAGAAGTGGACGGGATTTCGGAGAATCACATGAGCTTCTGACGGAACTCTTTGCATCTGGCCTGCTCATCAGAGGAGCTTAGCAGCGGCTCTTCGCAGCCCGCCACGCACCGTTTTCGTCCAGGCTGACGATGAGCGTTAGCGGGTCGTCCGGCGTGCTCTCCGCCGTGTGCTGAATCGCGCGGCCCGCGGGCACGATGCCTCCTCCCCGCAGCAGCAGCAGCGGCAGGTCGGGGTGGAAGTCGGCGAAGTCAAAGCTCCGCCAGGCGCCCTTGGGAAGCGTCAGGCGGGAGCGGTCCGCCGGGGAGGCGGGGTCCGTGGAGGCGGCCACCAGCAGCGGGCCCAGCAGGAAGCAGTCCTCCACGCCGCGCAGCGTAGGGTCCGCCGGGTCTGGCAACAGCCGCCCGACACTAAGAAAATCAGATGAGAATTGAAGGCTCAAACCAGATCTTGATCATCAATTAATGAGTGCGGCCACTTTTCATCCGCAATGAATCATGGACGTGTCAGCTCCCAAGAGCAGATTTGCATTCCAACTAATGCATGGGTCACCGAACATCGTCAAGAGGGCACGACATCCAGAGAAGTTTTCTAGTCGCTGGAAGCATGGATGGAGGCAGGCATGGCATGCTACGAAAGCAAGCATCGCGTCGGGCACCTGCGAAGAAGAGCGGGCTGGCGACGGGCAGGCCCTGCGTGTGTGCTCGGTGGAAGAGGGTGTAGAGGTGCGGCAGCAGGCGGTACCGCCGCAGGATGGCCGCGCGGCACACCGCCTCGCACTCGGCGCCGAAGGACCACGGCTCATGGTCGATGGTCCCGGTCTCGGAGTGGCCGCGCGCAAACGGGAGCAGTGCGCCGATGCCCATCCACCGCCCGTACAGCCGCGGGTTGGAGTCGCCCACAAAGCCGCCGATGTCGGGGCCGGAGAAAGGCTGCCCGCTCAGGCCCTGCACGGAAGAGAGGCGCGGTTAGTGAAGAAGCAGCCGTGATAGCGGAGAAATGATTACAAGGTGCCGTCTTCGGCGATGACGTCGCTCAAAAGAGTTAGTGCGCAACAACTGAGAGCCTCCTAGATGGAGGGCAGCGAGCTTGCACCAGGCTGGAAGCAACGTCAAGCTCGCACACTCCTTTAGGAAAAGCTGTGCTTCCGTATGGTGCGGCGCTCGCGGGCCGCCTCACCAGATTGAGCACCATGGGGATGCTGAAGTGCAGGTGCTCCCAGTTGGCCAGGTTGTCGCCCGTCCACGTGGCAGCATAGCGGTGGCCCCCGATGTAATTGGCGCGCGTCAGCACGAAGGGGCGCTGGTCGGGGCGCGCTTGCTGCAGGCCCTCGAAGGTGGAGCGCGCCATGAGCATGCCGTACACGTTGTGGTAGTGCGTGTGCGCCTGCCGCCCGCCCAGGCCGGGGTCGCCGCGGTGCACGTTGCTGTCCGGCATCGTCTTGTTGATCACCTGCGACAGGGGAGGGAGACCTTCAGGAATGGAGCGTTCCGAGGAGAAAAGCGCGTCAGCCGTGGCCCCCTTTTCCTTTCGGGTTTCTTTACTCAAATCAAGGGTTGATTTAGAGATCGAGCAACCCTTTCTCACTTCGTTTATGTGGGAAGGGTCAACAAAAGAATGGGGACAGGGAAGCAGCGAGGAAGCCGATGTTCATAAGGCGGAACCGAGTCCCTTTCTCTTGAGAAGAGTGTTGCCCTCAAAACATCTGAACTGCTCTGCTGCATCTTCAAACAATTAATCGAGAAACTATGCCAGGGCCCTGGGAGACTTTGCTGGAAAGACTGTGCTGCACTTTAGCGGCAGACTGTGCACCGCGTGCGGCTGACCTTGAAGACTGCGGGCTCGTTCATGTCGTTCCAGATGCCGTCCACTCCCTCGGCCGCGTAATCGGCGATCAGGCCCGCCCACCATTGGCGTACGCGCTCGATCGTGAAGTCGGGGAACGCGCACGGGCCCGGCCACACGTCACCTGGCAGCACACAGGGGGGAATGTCTTAGCAGGACAGCCATGGAAAGACAGTGAGATGTCAGTCGAGAAGTGGATGGGACGAGGAGGCGGGCAACTGCAGCCGCCAGCTTCTTCAAGAGACTGCCGTACAGACGAGCATGGAGACGCTGTCCCTCTCAGCGGGCCACTTTGCAAAAACGGAATTCCTAGTAGATGAAGTAAAGTGCACACACGTGTAACGAGCGGGGCGGCTTGGCGGGACTGGGGCTGTGGGTGCGCATACCGATGAAGGGCTTGCCGTCCTTCTTGAGGATCCACGCGTCCTGCTGCGCGCCCGAGTCGTAGGCAAAGTAGCCCGGCGTAGCGCTGATGCCGGGGTCGATCATCCACACGGCGCGGAAGCCCTGCTCGTGCAGGTCCGCCGCCAGCTGTTTCGGGTCCGCAAAGTTGAGCTGCACAGGACGCCATCCCCAGGCATCAGAGCGGAGTGGGACCGGCCGCACAGTCAGCACCTCGGGAGCGCACATCTTCAGATGCCGACGCCTCGCCTCAAAAGGAACACAGAGAAGCCTGAGTAGGAGCCAAGCATGCAGGTCTAAGCAACCAGGAAGCAGACAGACTGGCCGCCAAGAAACTGAGAGAAGGGGGCCCACCTTGTCGAATGTGAAACACCGGAACTTATCCTGCACACAATGAGCGGCTCCGAAGACAGCTGGGTTACAACGAGAAGCACAAGTAGGCCCAAACGTACGGTCGACCGAATATCTATCTGGCAAAGATAACCGCACAGAACGAGGGGACTGACTGGCGATAAAAGACTGTCAGGTTCTGTTGTCTGAACGAACGAAACCTCCAAACATGGCAGTCCGGTCTGAGTCCTTTGTAAGGACGGACGCCGCGAGCTCACCATGTAGTCGATGTCCATCCAGATGACGTCGCACGGGATCTGCTTCTCCCGGAAGGTGGCCGCAACCTGCCACAGCCATGGCAGCATCGTTGATAACTCAGCAGTACCGCACAGTGGACTCAGCGGCCATCTCAACGTGGAGCAGATACAAACAAAGGCCTCGAAAGCATGACAGGAAGCAACGGCAGTCATCGGCGAGCGTACCTCGCGCACGCGCGCGTCCGGCTCATAGCTCCAGCGGCACTGGTGGTAGCCGAGCGTCCAGCGCGCCGGCATCGGCATAGCACCTGCCACGACGGGCATGCAGTTGGTATCGCAGCGAGCGGGGGGGACAAAGACAGGGTGAGGCTGACCTCCTTGACTCTGTCCGCAGTCTCATAGCTGAACCGACACTGGTGGTACCCCAGTGCCCAGCGGGAGGGTAGAAAAGGAAAACCTGGAAGCAGCCAGAAGACGCATATGGGCCCAGCAAAACAAGCAAAAACTTTTATGATGGCCTTTGGTGTACGTTCGAGGGTTCCCCTAATAATCCGAGCCCCAATTTCAAGTCCGTTGTCAACACGTTAATGTCATCCGCAATTTTGAAAAGAGCACAAAAACCGAAGTGTTCAAGCCGTTGTCCTCGATTCGACCCGCCTCGACCAAGCAATCGGACGAAGCAACTTCATTGCAGGTCTGAAGCTCCACTTTCAAGCGAAGGCCTGGAGGCTGCAATTCAATATATCGTCAATCTTCAAATATTGATTGTCAAGCCGACTCTATGAAGCGAAAACTCTGACTGTTGACAATTCGCAGGTTCGTTCCAATATTCTCCAACGGTTAAGACTAAAATGACGAAGACGCCCCAAGCTTGATTCCTACCTGTTGCCCGCGCCAGAGCCGCCACCACCTTGTCCGGGCTTGGGTAGGGGCCGAAAGTGATGAGCGGGTAGGGGGCGCTGGCAGAGAAGCGCAGCAGGCCCTGTTCGCGGAGGTCCAACTGCAAGCAGGGAAAGTGGGGCTTGAGATCCAGACTTCGACAAAAAAAGTGAAATGCAGATTGAGATTGAATGGGATCTTTAAAAAAATCTTTTGGCCGGTTCAGTCGAAAAATAGCTACATCGAAAAAGCTGCGAGCTTTGAAAAGCTCCTTGCACAAGTATAACCGTCCCAGCTACAGCTCACTATGGCTATATTGACATCAAGCAAGGGTGGCACTTTGGGGAATCCTCTATTGCAGGACCTGACATCGCCCTCAAGCTGCGCGCATTCTCACCTCGCATTTCCTGGTGGTGTCGGCCAAGACGCCCAGTGCGGTCCCGTCCGGCAGCAGCACGAGCACCCAGGGGTGGGACTGGTATAGGCTGGAGGTGGCACGGCCGTAGCCCCAGGCGTCCGTGTTCCACGCAAAGATGCGAGTGCCGGACCGCTCCAAGGGTCCAGACACTTCACCACCACCGTAAAAGGAGGTGCCCAAGGGAAACTGGCCAAGAGAGGAAAGACACAGATCGAACAGGGGGCATGTATCTGAGAGAGCCCACTGGATCTTTGCAGAAGAATGTGTGGGACCTTACGGCGACTCAATAGGGGTGTCAAGCTCATAACATCCATAGGCACTCCTCAGTGAACTGGCTTCCATGCAGTAAGATGTGAACGAGGCACACGGAGCCACTCTACTTTCCACACCAGCAGCAACATGCATGGAATGCAAGCGGCAGCCCAGGCCTGCCTCACCTCCATCTCTGTGATCTGCATGTCATTCTTTTCCTTGCAGCGCGGGACAAATGCTGCACCGTGTCTGCCTGTGGCTCCCCCTTCCAGTGCCGTCTCCCGCTTTGTAGCGTCGGCAAAGGATAAGGAGGGGAAAGCATGCTTCCTGGATGCTTCATCAGCATCCCACCGCAAGACGTGCTCCTCAAGAATAGACATGGGGAGCATCTTCCGCATCTGAGACGGCGCCGCCTTTTTGCCACCTTTTGGCGCCATGCCAGAAGTGTAGGGAATTCCTGCGAGAGCATCATTCTGATTCAATGGTGTTGATGCATAGGTTGTCCCTCAAGCTCCTGACTCTGGTGCTGGCCGAAACTGGCAGATATGCAAGCGATCTCAGCAGCTACACCCCTGCAGTGATACTCATATGCACAAGTTGGCTTCATAGAACGTATGCAGCCTGCTCTAGTGTACTTAGGAAGTTCTCATTGATTGGCTTCAGAGCTGCATTCATAGACGAGTGCAAACAGGGTATGCCACAATCACTGACTGGTCACTGCACGCTCGATATATCCTCAATTTCAGATGGGAATCTGAATTGTTCATCAGAATCAGAGAACTCAAGAATCAAATCTGATCTGTCTTGAAAAGCATAAATTGAAGTAGTCACCTTCAACTCTTTCGACTTCTGCTAGAGAAGTGCAGCGAACGCTTCCTTGCAAACCGCTTGCTTCGGTCCCTTTTGTGTAAGCGGCTTTTCTCAATTTTGTTCCAGAGAAGATGCTTTGATTTCCCCACAACTCACACCACCTGCTAGCTCCTTTGTTGCGCAAAGGGGTTGCAAGGAGAGCTGCCTGCCAGTAATCCCCAGCACGTAATGCTGCAACCTTAGGTATGCTGGGGAAAGGACTGCACTGGCCTTTGTGGATTGTACAAGCGCGGAGCATCTCAACCAGCAGGTTCAACACGGCAAAACAAACCCCGATCACAACTCAACTGGCTGCTGCATGCAGCTCTAGCTGAACAATGATGTCCGCCTACAGCACAAAAGAGCTCCCCGCAGCCAGGTGCCTGCAGATCGAAAAATGAACGCACTACTGTATCTGCAAGCTAGCAGATCTGACAGTGGAGGCATCTGGAAGGAATTGGGGGCAAAATTGGGGGCACAGTTGCACAACTCGTTCCGGACTCGTCTTCTTGCAAGCTAGCGACCTGAATCCCAGCCAGAGCATGCTGAGCCAATGCGGAGGCCGTCCTTCACCATGTGATCATTATTGATGTGTAGGTCGTCGAGCCGGTACGCACCTTTCCGCAAACCGGGTCACATGAGACGAGGTATTGCCGCTGGCAAGCAGGCGTCGGTCAGCCTAGGACCGACCTAAGTATCTCACTTGGCGGCCGGTACCGTTTTAGAAGAAAGAGTGACACTTGGCACTTTCGCATTGATCCGACGTCATACTTGTTGTTCTTCAGGCCTCGCCCAGCGGCCGCGCGGTGGGCGTACAAGATGGGCAGGGCGGCCGCGGCCCGCGACCGACCTGCTCCTCGGAAAATGGGGTACCCGGGTACCGTCTGAGCATATGTACCGGCCTCATCAGCGGAGAACCGGGACTGCTATTTAACATAATTTAAGTATTAAATAGGTCCTAGTTGCCGCGACTTGAAGTTGAACCCATGCACGACCTTTCGGCCGATTCGCTCCTCGGGCAGGCTCTTATTTTGCCTGCATACGCGACTCATCTATTATGTCCCCTTGGTCAGCATGAGACGGATGCTAAGGGCTGGTGGGGCCACTTGTAGCAGTCGTCCTGCCAATCTCGTTTGGGCCAGCTGTGCTTTTGACGGTGGTAGATGCCATCCAAATCCTGTTGAAACAATATTCTGGAGAGTATTATTGCCAAGGCGGTCAATTGGGGGGACAATAACAAGGAATAGGAGAATGGAACTCGGAGTAGGCAGCAAAGCTGCCTTCCAAAGGAAACCTGAAGATCGGTCACGTACGGAACTTCTTCAAGGTGGCACCGGTGATGTGGAATGGCCAAGCATTGCGAAGAAAGCTAGCTTGGGGTCGCAATTGACGGTGCTAGGCGGTGGTGATAAATTGGATCTCTTCACTGTTCAAGGAGTCTTCTCAGAAGCGGAGTGCCACAGGTTTGTGGAGGCAGCTGAAACTAGACGCTTCCAGCATCAAGGCAGCCGGGGTCCAAAGTTTGGAGAGGTGATGGTCACTAGTGGTGGCAACTGCACTGGTTGTCCCACCACCTTTTTCCTATATTTATTTTGTCTTACCAACCTTGAAAGCTTCCGGCATCCACTGTGCTTCATTCTCTTGGCGCCGCTTACACAGAAGCCCAGCCCAAGGCCAAAGCCAGGCGTCGAGAGCCCAGTTACCAACGTGACACTCAGTACTGGTGGCAGTAAGTTTCCTTTTGGCACCGTTTGTTGTTTACTCTGGGGTCAAAGTTGAAGAGAAATTTCTCTCATTGTAGGTACTTGAATGCATGTTGCTGTTGGAAGGTTGGTAGCCGCCCTTTAACTCGTAAATAAGCAAATAAAAGGCACTGCAGGGCTTTTATGCAGCTGGTTGTGCGTACAGGCTTACAGAGACAACGGAAGGCTTGCTGTGGAGGATGCAGACTTAGCGCAGAGCATCTGGGACAGCGGTTTAGGCTCTTTGCTTGTCAAACTACTACAGGTGAGTACCATTTCGACTCAGCGTGCTGGCGCACTTGTCTTGCTACTAAAAGCTTGTTTTTTCAACTCACGTACACCTGTCGAAGACACAACGAGATTGACATCTCCTTGGCCAGGTCATCATGACAGGGACACTGGCTACGAAGTCTCACAATGCACAGCGCCATCACTGCAGATAGAAGGCAAATGGCCCAGCAAATTCAATCCTAACGGTAAGCACATTCGGATTGATTGCTCTCAAAGTTCTTCTGCTTCATATCATGTCTCAGTAAAGCTTGCACCAGAGTCTGATTCGTCTAGATGACCATTGTGACGGTTGTGATTACATCGTGCTTGTGTGAAGGGACGATACAGTTCTAGAACATGCCTACACATGGACCCTGGTCATCAATTGTGGTGTTGCAGTGCGCATATACAAGTATGAGAAGGGGCAAAAATTCGGCAAGCACGTAGACGAGAGTGTTCGAGTCGATCGTGGCCTCTATACTGGGTATACACTACTTGTCTATCTTTCGGGAGGGAGGACGACGGCCCCAGAGAAGGAAGCACTAAAAGGAGGAGAGACAGTCTTCTATGGACGAAGAGGAGTACAAGTGGCCAAGGTACGTCCTTTGGAGCAAGATGGTCGACTTTGACATGTCGTGCACAAGGCTTAATACAAAAAGGAACGAATTACCTTGAGAATGCTGCTTTGGAGACTCGATGCCTCAACATGACTACGTATTCTCAGGACAGAAAGGCTTAGGCCATTCCGTTTCCTCCTAGCAGGGTCGAATTGCGAGGATCATCTAGCTTGTTTTAACAAATGTTTGCAGGTGGCCCCAGAAACTGGCCTTGCTTTGCTGCATGTCCATGGGGACAGATGCCTTTTGCATGAGGCCAGGGAGGTCAAGCAAGGAGTCAAGTACGTGCTGCGGTCGGATGTTGTTTTCGAGTGAGCCCATTAGTACAGACAATCGGGATAAGTTTACGCAGATTCTGGAACACATCAAGGAGTGGTCACTGAATAGCAAGAGAGATTGCTCAAATGACATCAGTTCCATGCTTAGAGATTGCTCTCTTAAGTTGTGCATGCGGGCATGCGACCAGTTAACCGACCGTTGTACCTGATCACAATCATAGTGTAGGACTGGTATAGTACCAACGAAGCAAGGTGGACATAGTTGAACCAGATTAACTCGGGCACAAGCAAACATGTTGCTTTCTTTGCTAGTTACCAGTCTATGTTGTTCGAGGCAGATACAGTCATTGCTGAATCAAAGAAACTACTTGACAAGGTCATGATGGAACTTGAAAGCTGTTCAATCACCGGTTCCGACCTTGCTGCCCAACGTGGGTGCGCCATTTCATGCATAATCAAATGCAGGTCGATCTCACATGCTTGGAATATGTTGTTTTGCATCCTATATACCCGGTCAGGACGGTCTAAATTGTAGACTGTTTAGAGCTTGCTTTTGCGTATACATGGAGTTTTTAAACCTTGACGAAATTCAGGCTGTCTAGTGGGCAGGAGGTACCGGCGGAATAAATGTAGTCAATTGAATTGCCATACAGTCTCAATTCTATATAGCTGTCGGATTATCATGAGCACATGCGGCAGGCTCATGGCATGCCGCATGCATACGGTTCACATGCCGTCGACCGCGGCGCGCGCGCTGGCCGCGCCCGCCGGGTATGTAATTCAATAACAATGTACGCTCTTTCCATGCATGGTACGTTGCGCATCATGAATTGAGCTACTCACTTTTGATTATGTCGAGCCGGCGGCCAGCGCCAACGCGTTAGTATACTTCAACCCAATTCTGGCCGCTACCTATGGGTCACCTGCTGGCACGCGGGCCTAGCTCTGCATATTTCCGTTTCCACATATGGATCATCCGGCCAGGCATGGGCAACGAGGGCGCATGCATGGGCCCGGGGACGGGGCAGCTCTGTGTACATCTATGATCACTGAGGCACGTCCATCCGGCTAGTGACCATCACGTACTACAATGGTCAGTGTACATTGCGTCTGCCATACAACGACATTGCACGCGGCCAATGATGCGTCAAGACGATCCGCAGGCCATATATGATGCTTTAAAATGGCCTGGCCCGGCACTGTGAGCAGTTGACAGCCGCTTAGCGAGATATAATACAAAAGTTTGTCACTGAGTTGCAATGTAGGTCTTGAACTAGGTCCGGTGTGGCCACACATGATACATGCCGAATTGAATCGTTGACGGTTGGACTGAGAGCAGGGGGAACTTTTTTGCCATGCACTGACTCACGTGATGGCATTTTAGCGGAAGTCTTTAGCTAGCTCACCTTGCACTGACCCACAGTACCAAAGAATGGTTTCAAACCAGATCTGAATGACTGGCAACTCTCAAAATTCAATGATCACTTTTGGTTGATTAGACTCACTTCAGGCTTACCACCTGCGCATTAACAAGCGGATTGTCCAGATCTGATCCTCGATCGTTTCGACCTATCAGTGATGCGTCACGAATTGTGCATATCTCAATAGTGCATATAACGTGCCAGGCAAGGGCGGCCCCGACCCAGCCCAGCCCGACTGCTTTCCGAAGGTAACCAAAGGATTGTCTTGAGGCATCAGCCTCAAGCAGCTTCGACCAGAGTTCCGAAGCTTCTTGCAAGATTGCAGGGGTGACGTGTCGTCAGTCTGTGCTTTCGTACCGTGGCCAAGCGCTTGACCCTGATGCTACGTGAAACCTGGTTGTGCGCGCGTCACTACGTCAGCCTGCCACCTGCGCCTACATGTGGCCCGAAATCGTCATGAGACCAGGGCCGCGTCCTTTTCCACTTTCCAGGGTTGCTCCAGCCGCACTGCCGCGGTGGACGAGGCGGTGCCCTTGCTGCCGTGCACGGCCGCCTCGAGGACCTTGTACTGCTCCTCCACTGCGGCAAACGCTGCGGCAGAGTAGACGGCACGGGCCTGCATCCAGCACGAGTGCGGCATCAGGCCAGCTGCCCCACGGCCCCCACGCAGCTAGGCCAGCTGGCACACGCCTGCACGACTGGCTGCCTGCCGTGGCGTGCCGCTTGTTTTCTCACTTCCACAAGGCTGGCTCCTGAGGAGAATACGGCCGGGTTCTGGTGGGGAAAAAAGATGCCCTTGGAAGGAAAATGCTGAGATCGAGACGTCCCGAGCCCACATCTTGAGCCACACTCGGGGTTACGTAACGGCCTCAAAGTCAAGAGGGAAAAGATTGAGGGCTCACCTGTTTTCTATCCTCGATCCCTTGACAGACCTCCTCGAAATGCAGTTGCGGCCCCACGGACATGCCCACCCCATGGTAGTTGGTGATCCGCTGCTCGCCCAGCGCCTTGTCCAGCTGCACGCGAGCACGCACACGACGGTCGCATCAGCCGCGAGAATGCAGGACGTCCCCATCGTGCACATCCAGAGCATGGATCATTGCAGAGTCACCACGGGTACGCAATGAAAAGTCACCCAATGACGACGAGCTTGATGCGCCAGTGTCCACAGTTCTCGTTGATGCCTTGTACAACAAGACCTTGTTGCGGCTGGCGCGTACCGTGGGCGGTGGCGGCATGATGTCGTGGCACAGGACGGCGAGCGGGTACAGGTGCCCGGGCACGGGGCTGTCGTCGGACAATCGCCGCATCAACTCTACCGAAGAGTCGTCAAACGCGGCCTGCACATACATACATTCAATCCACGTGCTGAATCAAAGGACTCAAAAAGAACTTAAGGCACCTATTCCATTTTGGCCGAAATAGCTCAGCTAAATATTTCCGTGGAAGATTCTCAGACATGATGTGCAGATCGTGCCGGGTCGCCTGTATACCGGCAAACTTCCCCCCAATGTAAGGTCCGCTGCGCTTACCGGCACCCACTGTCCTGTGGCGGGGTCTGGTCGATCCCGGCCCCCACTGGGAGCGATCCAAATGAATTGTCCCCCCGCCCTGCAAGCAACAGGCACACTTTAAGCTTCATCGCATGCTTCGTCCCTTCTTTCTGCACGAACCTTCCAGTGTCACTATGTCGATGCTCTTCGAGGCAGCAATCTGCTGTCAGAACGAACGCAGAGACGAGTGCGACGAGGCCGGCCGGGCGCTCACTTGAAGAGGCGGGCCATCTCAACGAGGGTGCGCCGGTTGGCCTTGGTCTTCTCGGCGGCCAGCTCGGGGACGTCGTTGATGTGCTTCTTGGAGTACACGCACAGCAGGTTCCTGCCGACACCACGCGACGCATCAGAGCACGCATCCCACTCAATGCAGCCTAGCGGGAAATACTCAACGATATTGGAGACTTCGTGCAATCGAAAGGAGTCCTCGTGGCTGATGTGACAAGTACGGTAAGACGACTTAACAAAAGCGTATGCCGATTGGAAGAGTGGGTGCCCCGTTCAATGTATCCTAGCCTGCCGAAACTTGGAGTCGAGCGCTGACAATTGGCTCGTAGAGTGGCGCAGGAGTCGTACCTGCCCATGCTGAAGGGCTTGGCGAAAGGGTCGTGTACCACGCGGTCACCAGCAACGTACGTCTGCAAAAGGTGGCTCCGGGTGTGCTTGATTCGTCGTTGAGGAGCGCTGTCATTCGACCCAAGTTAAGGCAACAAATACAGCACGCGCGGTCGAAGAATGGAGCCGCACGTGGAACAAGGGTCCCTGCTAAATGAAACCCGATTGGAAAACTTGTCATATGCCCCACCAGGAAGGTCCAAGGGCTTGGAAAGCGCACACGCAAGAGCAGGCTGCCGCTCTGAAAGCGACTTCGAACGTCGCAGCACAGTTAGCTTTAAACAAGCGCCGGTCGACTTCCTAGTTCGTGCACAGACGAGGGCCCCTCGGCTAGAATATGATCTTCGGAAACCCCATGCCAGGTGCATGGTGTCGGAGTTCTAGCCAAGTGGTGCCACCGGACGGGGTCGCCTCACCAGGTTCTCAGCCAGGAAGGGGTGGGAGTGCTCCAGCAGCAGTGCGATGACGGCGGGGTCTGCCTCCGTCTGGTGGTTGGACAGCAGCACCACGTTGTGGCCCGCTCGTAGCTGTTCCTCCATCGCATCAAACAGGTGCAGGTTGCCCAAGTACGACTCACTGCACAACAGAGTTGCAAGTTGGGCGAATTTACAATAGCAAAGGCCCCCAGCAAGTACCACTCCTTTTGACACACTTGACTGGGGAGAACAGTGCAGTCGCGCTGAGGGAGACGGTGCTTGTCAAGAGTTCGTGAGTCACTGAAAGCTCCGAACATGTGTCAAGAGTACGTGCCGTCTCCTTCATCTCAGTTCACATGGTTTCTGCCTCACACAAACCGAGATTGGGTGGCGGAAGCATCAGCGGAGATGCCGAGATGCTGGAGGATCTGAGTGATCTGAATGTTAGGTCAGTGACACCCACCCACCTGAAGTTGAGGAGAGGCCCCACATACTCCTGGCCAAAGCGGTAGTAATCGTACGGTTCTCTGATGGCAAGGTGGTGCGAATTGAATGTGAATGGGTCCTGCAGCAATGGTATTTGCGCAGGATTGGAAGAAGCTTCCGACCAGGTTCACTGATGTACTGCGCTTCAGCATGCTGCCAGCGTCCTACAAGAACATTCATGTTCAAGGACCGCCTTCGAGCGGAATTACACTGTTGCAAGGTATCCCCGGCTGTAACGAGTCAGCTGAGGTGCGAAGCCCCCGTTGAACTGTGGCTCACCTCGAACTGGACCATGATCCGGTCAAACACCATAGACATAACACGCACTGCAGTCTCTTCTGCATCCGGCCGCCCGCTGCTAAGCATCTGCGCACGCAGGACAGGTGTGTCAGAACAGCGGAGCTCGCATGTTCGCTGCCAAGGGGTGGCGACGGCCACCCCAAGCCCTCGAAAAGCACCACATTGCAAGATGGTCCCTGTTGCACTGGCTAAGGGTGTATGTTGTCAAGGGGGACGCGTCTTGTGCAATGTGGGCTGTGCTTCGACTCCACCCCACTCAAGCCTGCCCCTCACCGCTTTCTTGTAATTGTTGTAGAACAGCTGCATTCCTGGGCCCGCCCGCGAGGGCAACCGCTTGGCAGCAATCTCGGCTTGGATGCCAGCCAACAACTCTGGAAGGAAAACAACGCTTTGACCAGGACGGCAGATCAATCTCTACAAAGTCAGTGATCGACATTCGAAGTGTCTTCCATCGCCGGATGCTCACAGGAGCTCTCACTGCTTACGTAGCTACGACATATTGCGACTTTCTTGAACCTTCACAATGTGCGATGTTGTCGTCGGCATAGCAACGTTCCTGCTTGTCAAGGGACTAGACATCTCCAAGGCCAATATCGGCAGAGTTCCTTCAGCCAAGGTGCTGATCTGCACAACAAAGAACCGCCTCACCTTCTTCCGTTTTGACATTTTGAAAGGACTTTGTGTGAGCTGGCTTTCCATTCGCGACTGCGGGCTCTGCCGCTCTTGTCGTGTGCCCAGTACTGTCTACATTATGGTGACCAACATGGTGCGCGGGAGTCTGCACTTGCCTCAGCAAGAACTGTGCCGCGGGGCCTTGGTGGTATGCAATGCTGCCTAATCTTAGGCTGCTTATAGGACCGGAGCAAGTCTTGAAGTGTCTTTGCGAACACGACTGCTTGGCGGCAATATCCAGTGGCAGCTTGAAAATGCTTCCCACACGGCAGCAAGCTGTCAAGGCCATTGTGGAGTCCTTGTGCAGCGAGGGGACCCAGCACTAGCAGCTTGCGGAGAAACACAGTATCTCCTGCCAATGTCCTGTCCTCCGACGAGTCCTAGCTGTCAGTGTGTCTAGGACTAGAGTCCGGACTCCGGGCCGTCTCCTCTCTTGCAAGCCAATTTGAATCTGATGCAAGCAGCCACCGGCCGGTTCAAGTATGGCATTGGCAGAGGCCTGTACTGTTAGGCAGGGGGCGCGCCGAATTTGCGTGTGCCCCGGTGCTGACATGTCAACCATTCCGGATTTCAAGGTCAAAATGTGTGGATGAAAAGGATCCCAAGCTCCACGTGTAGACCATTTTGGATTCTGAGAATCTGAATTTTCCTCCGATGCCGACTCCCAGGCAACGACAACTGGCACCAATCTGTCACATACATCATCATGGGGGTACATGGGGGTACATCATCATGGGGGGTTTGCCAGCTACCTACTGTAACTGCTGCATGATCGAGCGGCTACAGCTAGGGGGAGCGCCTTTGCCCTAGGCTTTGGAACCTCATTGCAATGCCCCATGCCAGTATACAGTATAAGGTAAAAGACATTGTTCCAACACCCGTGTGCAGCCTTGGCGGCTGATGGCATTATGGCGTTGGGATGGCTTGGCAGGCGGAGGCTGCATTCCAATCGGTTTTGTCTGGTACCCTGTGTAGATAGTCTGAACCTTTAGGAGTAGAGGTCCTCAGGGGAAAGCGTGGAAGTTTTATAGGTAGTTGAGAGTGATTGATGTACAAGCAGACCGTCTTGGCATTAACACATATCTGTGGCGCATCAGCTGTGGGGTTGCTTGTTGCTGCAAAAATTGAGTTTGAGGGATGCGATGCTTCTGTAGCTTGTAAGCTCAGCGACTTGTAGAACCTTGTAGACTGAAAAGTAGAGTCTGCCACACCATTTTCGTTGCCCGTTTGCTGTGCTTGGCGTGCACCATGGGCAGCGACCTGGAGAACCTGGGCGTGGCTGCGGGCATCAACCTGGGGCTGGCCACCATCTTCATTGCGGCCTACAGCGTGGCCATCAAGATGCCCATCAACACGCGCGTCTACTTCCCCGCACTCCTCCAGGTGAGGGCAGTATGCTTCACACTAGCTGCTACACGGAATGCTGTCAGCTCTGCAAATATTGCAGGGTGCCCCCAGGTGGGCATCGGACTGGCGGTCCATTTTGTGCAGGGATGCTTCTCCTGTCTGCATTGTGAGAGTGGTGTCTCCCTTGCGTGCAGCGCGACCCCAGCAAGTTCAAGGAGACGGGCAAGACGGGCCTGGAGCGCTTCATGCTGAACCTGCGGCTGCTGGACTGGCTGCACGGGGCACTCAAGATGCCCGAGGAGGAGCTCATTGCTACAGCCGGCCTCGACGCGGTGAGGGGCACTCTGGGACTCATGCTTCTTGTCAGGCATTGTTGATCAAAAGATTGCCTGCCGTCAAATGATTTTGCTGCTTCCATGATCTTGGCAGCCTCAACTGACTTTTAGTTTGTTCTTGTTGCCCAGGTGGTGGTGCTGCGCGTCTTCTTTTTCAGGTGATTATACATGTATGATTGTGGAAAAAGTAGTGCATTGGACCATTGATGGCACAGTCTGGTGTCCTTGTTTGTTGCACCCCTCTTGACTCTGCATATCATATTTCAAAACCAGCCCACTTTCAGTAAGCATTCCTCCCATCGCACTTAGTCAGACCAGAGAGTACATGAGGGTACACAAAGTCAGTCGGCTCATCGCAATCTAGGGCCGCCACTTAGAACGAGTTGCATCAGCTGAGGGCGACCTCCACTTGATAAAACTGTACAGTTGAAAAAAGATATACAGGACTCGAAGCCTGACCCTGCGTCTCTTGCTGTTTGTGTGGCCAGCATGAAGATGCTGTTCCCCATGGCTCTGTGGGGTGCTATCGTACTCATCCCCATCAACAAGACGGATAACAACGTCCAGTGAGACCAGGCTGGCTCTCTTACGGCATGCTGCTGTGACATGCTTGGCGCATACTTGCCCCACTTACCCTTCTGCTTTGTGTCTCCTTGCCCCTGCCCCCCACTCCTCGTGCCAGCCCCCGTTGTGAAATTCCTGCTCTACTGCAGCACAAATTGCTTTGCACAAATGGTGCGATGAATCGGGTGCTCACCGTTTACACAGGCAGCAGCATGCGGTCAACCCCAAGTCCAGCTTTAGCGCAGTGGATCAGCTGAGCCTGTCCAACGTGCAGGACAGGTCCGATAGGTGAGCCGGTGAGGGCCTGGGGCATGTTCTTCACGAAAGAGAGGTCTCAAAAGAGAGGTCTCGTTGTTGTTTTCGTGCTACTTCCTTGACCTCTGATTCCTTCTGCGACGACAGCAATCAAAGTCCGATTTCTCAACCAAAGCTCTGCTTCTGTGCCGCAGGATGTGGGCGCACCTCCTTTCCGCCTACATGTTTGCCTTTTGGGCGTACTACTGCCTCTGGAAAGTAAGCCCCTTGCCTGGCCTGACCCCGGTCGCTTCAAGCTGGCTTCCACACTGCTGGCTTGACCGCCTGCGATTTCTTGCTTCTGCTACTCGGTTGCGCATCCCTCTCGATTTGGGATCGGTTTCTGTTCTGCATTCTTGCTATCGAGCAGATTGTGGGCGCCTCTCCCCTGGTTTCAACCTGTGCTTGCGCGCCCCCCACTGCAGGAGTACGAGTACATCACACGGCTGCGCCTGGGCTACATGGCGGACCTGCAGCCCCAGCCCGACCAGTTCACTGTCCTCACCACCGAGGTGCGCACGTGTTGCATGGACTGCCCAAACACGGGCTTGTTGCAACTCGAAGAAGTGTACAATTGGTATGGTCACATAGTGCTCGATCTTGCTTGGCCAACTCGGTAGGTTGGGTTCAAGAATTGCGAGTTGAGTTTGAAAAGGGGAGCTTGCTGTATGCAATGCTTCTGTTGCTTCAGCAGCGACACGAGGCGGCTCAATCCCTGCTTTCAAGGTCAAGGGCTCTGAACAAGGCCCCTTCACATTCCTTGGCGCTTTCAGATCCCGAAGGTGGACGCACAGTCGTCAGAGACGATGAGCCAGCGCGTGGCGCGCTACTTCCGGGTGCAGTACCCGGACATCTACTTCGCGCACAACGTCGTCATCAATGCCAACCCGCTCTGGGCGCTCGTCAACAAGAGAGACAAAACAGGTGGGCTGCGGCCCCGTGCTCCACTTGCATACTCCCAAAAGCAGCTCCTTTTACAACCTCGTTGCTGCACAAGGTAGAGTGCTGTTGATCAATTCGAAGAGACTGCAAACACCTCCTCTCGTTTTGCACGCAACAGGAGCGGAGCCGCAAGGCTTAGTAGTCGAATCAGAGTGCAGAGCAAACCCGCGAAAGTCAGCCCCTGCTTGGCACGATGCTGGAAGGCTAACTGCGGCGTGTGGTGCGGTTGCAGCCAACAAGGTGGACGCGCTGCGCATCAAGATGGAGCGCAAGCCGCGCAAGGGGCGACCCATGCACCGGACGGGCTTCCTGGGGCTGCGGGGGCCCAAAGTCGACTCCATCGACTTCTACGAAAAGTGAGGCGCCGGCTTCGAAACGTGCCCAGCAAATGGACGGACTACTGGCTAATTTAGAGTGCGATTGCATTGAAGGATCATAGCTGTTTGAGTGTTGGTCTGGGAGAATTCCAACTCCAATATTGACCACCTCCGCATCCGAAGTTTTCCTAAAGCCCCCCTCACGTTCTCCTTGATCAAGAGCAATCCCCAAGGTGGATTATCTGGGCTCGAAAAGCATAAGAAGTAAGTTGTCTCAATCACCCTCCCATCACCAGCCGTCCTGGGTCTCCTGATTTTAGGCCAATTGTGTCCTCCAGGGAACTGTCGCAGCTGCGGGAGGAGGCGGCCACGGAGTCCGGCATCATTCAAAGCAGCCAGAAGCGCGTTGTCAATGCCGCCTTCGTCACGTTCCGCAACCGCTGGGGGGCAGCCGTGGCGGCGCAAACGCAGGTTTCGAAGAACCCCCAGGTCAGAATGACGGCAACATACATATGTCAGCATGTATAAAATGGCAACATGTAAGCCGATAAAAAAGACCACTTTTGTAACGAGATGCTAGCGTTAGTAAAGTTGGAGTTCGGGCCATCAAGGGCTTTTGAAGCCGGCTCACTGCTTCTGAACAGTCAAGCATTGGTGCGCCAGTCCATGCCCAGTGACTCCTTTTTGCTTCACATCAACGGCATATCATCAGCCGGCCTTTGCGCTGACGGTGTGCGGGTGCTTGCGGGTGGCGCAGCTGTGGATCACGTCGTGGGCGCCAGAGCCGCGCGACGTGTACTGGCCCAACCTGGGCATGTCCAAGTGGCACCAAGGCCTGCGCCGCCTCGCTGTGGGGACCGCCGTCTTCTTCCTGGTAGGCCATGCCCACGTGCCACATCAAGGGGAGGTCTAAACGGGACTTCCCAGATCGTTGTTGAAGTAGGGGAGGCCCCTTTGCACACCCTAACGCTTTCGTTCCGATTGGTCGATTGCATTCTGGCAACGTCTTCTTTTGCACCGCCGTTGAAGTGACAACAAGAGCGTCCGCTTTGACACAAGGAACAACGAATCGGACACCGCATGCCCTGAGCGTGCTCCCCGTGCTGTGCGCTGGCAGGTCTTTTTCTACATGGTCCCCATCTCGCTGGTCCAGTCGCTCGCCAACCTAGACAGCCTGCGCCATATCGGCACCCCCGTCAAGGAGATCGTAGACGTGTGAGCTGATCACCTCCCGTTTTTCCTGCTTGTGCTTCATATCATACCGACCAAGCTGTGCCTTTCCTGGCAGTCTGCTACCAAATATAGCGCCGTCCCGCTATGAGTAACGAATCCGCTTCTTCTGTGCCGCTTGCCGAGGTGACATCACGATCGGTAGTGCTAACCGGGTACCACTTCAAAGTAGGCTGCCTTGTAACGCCCCTTTCGTACTTGATGCGAATGATGCCATCCGTCGCACACACACAAGTCTTCGCGTGAAAGGTGGCCGTATTGCCCGTTCTTAACGCCCCTAGTCGCGCTGCCCTGCCTGACCACATCGGCGGGTGGGCGTGTTGTGCAGGCCGGTGATCGCGGGGTTCGTGAGCGGGTTCTTGCCGGGGCTGGTGCTGAAGCTGTTTTTGGCGCTGCTGCCACTACTGCTGCGCACTATGAGCACCTTCGAGGGCCACCCCTCGACCAGCACCATCGTCAGGCAGGCCGCCATCAAGGTCTACTACTTCCAGCTCGTGAGCCACGCCTGCACCCTCCGCTGTCGACCCGCTCATTCGGCAGAGCACCCAATCACCGTTGCCTGCAGACACTGGATGCAACAGACTCTCAGCGCTGGGGTCGTCCAGTCGAAAATGTGCATCTTATGCGCCCATTTGATATTCCTTTCTCGTAACGTTAGGGAGCCTTGTGACAGCGCTCCGGCCATGATAGAAAGCTTTTACGTGACTCTTTCTGCGATGCGCCAATTGCTCCGCCCTTTTACGTGACTCTTTCTGCGATGCGCCCATTGCTCCGCCCTGAAAAGTAGGTTGCCCTGCGCGCGCGTGCAGGTGAACGTGTTCTTCGGGAGCATCCTGACGGGCAGCCTGTTCGAGCAGCTGCGCAGCTTCGTGTCGCAGCCGACCAAGCTGCCGGAGACGCTGGGCAACGCCATCCCCACCAAGTCCAGCTTCTTCATCACGTACATCATGGTCGACGGCTGGGCCGGCTTCCCTGCAGAGCTGCTGCGCCTCTTCCCCCTCCTGCTCTACCACCTGCGGGTTGCGCTCTTCGTCGTCACGGACAAAGACCGCGAAAATGCCATGAACCTGCAGCGCCTCCACTACGAAGAGCTGGTGAGCCGTTGCACGGCCGCTGCTTCAGGAACTTCGGGGCATCGGCTGCCTGCGGCCGTCAGCTTGGGTTGTCCCTCCGGGTCCGCTTGGCTGGAGACCTGCGGAATGGGGAGTTCGTGGCAAGACTTGCAAAGCCTGTCTCCTATTCTCTCCGCTTTTTCCTGGCGTGCCTTTCTTAGGACCTCCCAAAGCAACCTCCGCCCCTGAAGGCTCTGGAGAGCTTTCTGGTCGGCGCTGCCGCCTGCCTGGTTGTCTGACGCTGGCCGTTGCGTTGTGCGGTGCGTGCAGCTGCCGAGCCTGCTGTTCTACATTCTGCTGGGCCTGGTGTACGCGCCCATCGCGCCGCTGCTGCTGCCCTTCCTCCTGCTCTTCCTCGTCATCGGGTCAGCACGCGCACGCGCACCGGCATCTCCTGCTGCCTGTTTCGTCAAGGACACCTAATCGCAGTGAAAGAGTCGTCAAAGTTGCTGCATTGGCGTCCCACTCCCGCCAGCATCCCCGCCGAGTTGACAAGACGGGACTGACGGAGTACCAGTTGCAGGCATCAATGGACTCTTGCGTCCGTATCGCTCATCATAGAGTCCTTATGCGACCATTTCCAGAGGATGCAGTAAAGCTTGCGACTCCAAACTTGCGTTAGGGAGGTGTGCTCGGCCTTCTGTTGCTCCTTGACTTGGGGCAGAGTAAATCTCTGGCCGCAGCGGTACTGGCTCCGCTTTCCTGACGGCGTGCTGTGTGGTGTTGGCTGCTGGTTGCAGGTACGTGGTGTACAAGAACCAGATCATCAACGTGTACGAGCGGCAGTACGAGAGCAGCGCGGGGCTGTGGCCATTCGTGGCTAATCGTGTGATCGTGGCGCTGCTGGTGGCGCAGATCACGCTGCTGGGCGTGCTCTCGCTCAAGCTCGCCTCCAAGGTGGCGCCCTTTGCGGTGCCGCTGCCGGTGCTCACGCTCGTCTACAGCGTCTGGCTGCGCGACCGCTTCGAGCCCAACTTCTCGCGCTACCCCCTCGAGGTAACGCTCCTATCACGCCCGCAGACGCCAAGCGCAACACTGAATCGCAAACGGAAGATTTGATCGTGTAACTACGTGCTGTGGCTTGCGAATTTGACAGCACACTGAAGGGAGCGACACACCGAGTGTCGCCCTGGCGTTCATCCTCGCAAGAGCAGCTCGTGATACGCTCCCAATCGAACACATTCGGTGGCATCTACACTGCTCCGCTTCAGAGGAGCATGCTCGAAACGGCGAAGCAGAGGCCGACAGTCGTGCCGTGGCTTACTGTGCAGAGCGCGAACGAGAAAGACGTGATCGACAGCGTGAAGTACCCGTCGTGGGACCTGCGCGACATCAGCGACGCGGCGTACACGCACCCCGCGCTCGCCAAGGGCCTCACGCTGGACGCCGCCATCCCCAGCGTGGAGGAGCTCAAGGAGCAGCAGCTCGTGCCCGTCAAGGCCAAGTACCGCCGCGCTTCCAACCCCGCCAGCGCCGCCTCCACGCCGCGCACCTCGCGCGCGCCGTCGCCCACGCGCAACGGGGCGCACGTAACCACGGAGGACGAGCTCGACCCGGGGGACAAGGTGTAGCGCGAGGAGTGCACGGTGCGCTTGGAGTGAGCAACGCATGATCTGGTGCGATCGAACCCAAACAAGTTGCAAGGGCAGCCGGCACCACAACGGTTTGGTTGTTTGAAGGTGGAGGGAGAGGAAACGCTTTTCGCGGGTCATCAACCAAAAGCCTGCGTCCTCGGTCCACGTTGTTCTGATTCCCAGGGGCATGAAACAGACCGCCTGCATCTGCCACGGACTTCCAACAGGGTCTGAAACGACCTGCACGCAAAAGCTTGTTTACATAGGAAAGGGACCACGACTTGCTTAAATACTATAAGGTCTATTGCTCGCTTAACTTTCGATTGTTGTAGCCAGTGAGTTGCGGTTCAAATATCAATCACCTGGCTTTCTACTTCAAGACCATTTTTATCACGTTTTGTCCTTTTTGAATGCAACACCTTATGGACTTGCTTGATGTCAAGTAGAGGGCTCTAAAGTTCAATCCACAGTCATGAGCATGGATGCATTACCAAAATAAGTTGCAAAGAGGCCGGGCAACCAAAAGCGATTGGGAGTACGTACCGAGCATCCTAAAGCTTGAACTTGCTGGTGCCTTTACATGTGCACATGCATGCAAGACCAGTGATTGCAAGCGCATGAACTTAGGGCAAGCATTGAACTGAATCAGTCGAAATGTATATTGTACGGCAATTTCATGGAAAATGATCATTGATGACCTACCTCGCATCTGGCATCTCATGCGCCTTAATGCAGTGCAGCTAACTAGTTGCGCTGAGCAATGTAAAATCGATCTTTCGGTCAACTTTAAGAATATGTCACAAGGACGGTACGTGCCTTAGCTAAAGATGCAGTGCATGACAGTGGGCTCCAGAGACGGCCCAATGTGCAAGGGCACTCGGTAGCAGTGGCCAGATGCAGAGCTCCAGCCTCACAGCCTCCGAGGCTCGAGCCTGTCCTCAGTGTTCTGACTCCTGAGTCCTGACTCCCGAGTCCTTCCGAGACTCGCGACGACTTACGACTTACGATTCGCGCGACGACCGTCCGATCTCAATTGGCTTAACTCGCAGCATCGGACGGTATACGCCCGACCATATCTCGGAGAATCTCCCAGACAGAATTTTGGCCCGTCCCTTTCAAAATCAGAATCCGATGTCGAAGCGCAAAATCCCCAGGGTCAGTCACCCTACGGTAGGCATTTGCAAATTGCTCGGTGGCCGCGCCTCTATGTACGGTACGTCAGTACATATGTAGTGTTGAGTCTTGACAACTGCCACCGTCATTCAACTTGATGTCAGTGTTGCGCAAAAGCATGTGGAACATGCAGCGTAAATTATAATGCAGCATTCGCTCACGCATGCAGGCTTTTGCGTAGCTGCGGTAGCAGGTGCCAGATAGTAGCCTCCGATCGCATTGGCATGGGTTCCCGAACGTGTTGCCCGGCTTTGTCCCGGGAGCACTTCCTCATTCACGGGGTGCTGCGGCACCAGCATCATGGGCAAGCTGGGTGCGCGCCATGCCGACCAGCCCGCAGTGTCCTCCGCGCAGGCCCGCCGTGGCAGCCAGCCCCCACCGTGTGCTGCACGAGTACGGTGCGGTGCCTGACCGGTGGTGCACAAGGGCGGGGAGAGGTGGGGCAAAAAGGCCCCTCGACGGTGGTGCTGCATTCGCGAGATCAGGTCCGCCAGCGGGGCACCATTGTGTGCAGAGCAGGGGCGGGCGCCACCAGCAGAAACAACATCAAGGTATGTTCCTGAAGCGGGCTGGGAGACGTATTGGAGCTGACCCTTCCTTTTGGGACTCTTGAATCTGCATGCTAGATGCCGCTGCACATTCCGAAGTCTCACGACCTGCTCTTGTCAGGTGGTTGTGGTCGGTGTGGGGTCCGAGATTGGGCGTGAGGTGGTGCGGGCTGTGAACAAGGCACGCGGCATGGAGGTGGCCGGCGCGGTGGATCCTAGTTGCGCAGGGCAGGACATTGGGGAGGTGAGCATCCCACCCCTCATTTCAAATGCCCATTGCGGCCTGGGCTCCAGCAAGCAGATGTCTGTTCAGCATTCGGCGCACATGCACTTGCAGGAGAATTACGATGGTGTGTCTTTCTCTGATGGGGGCCACTGTTTCTTGGCGTGCCAGGTGGCGGGGCTGGAGCCGCTGGAGCTGCCTGTCCTGAACGACATCATCATGGTGCTCAGCTCCATCTCCCAGGTGGGGGCCGCCCCACCAGCGCAGGACCCTTGCACGTATTGCCTGGCAGCGCACGCTGCCTTGGGCGTCCTTCCTTGTTGTGCCTGTGGCTGTGATTGCCTGGCTGGCATCCGGCAGCCTGACACCCCCAGCTGTGGGTTCTTGTCTTGTACGCAGAGCAGGCGCGCGACGACCTGGGGGTGGTGGTAGACATTGGGGGCGGCGGCACCGCTTACGAAACTGTCCGCCAGGTCGGTCCAAGCCCCTTCAACCTGCGCTGTTTTGTGTAGTTGGCTTCCCTTGCGCCTGCCCACGAGCATGCAAACCCACATCTTGCCATCAGCCCCTGATCATCGCTCTCCTGCATCCACACCTCGTCTGAATGCACTCCCGCTTCCTAACGCTGCTTGCCCCCCTCCTGCTGTGCTGTGCAGGCGACCGCCTTTGGGCTCCGCAGTGTGGTTGGAGCCCAGGACCTCACACCCAAGCAGCTGTCCACTCTCATTGACTTCTGTGAAAAGTCTAGCATGGTGAGAACGCTGCACTGGATGCTTCACTGCTTCTACTATTTGCTGGATTGAGGCACCTTGCCATCACTTCTTTTCATAAACAGTCATGCCCTTCAAAGTCTATGTTCCATGGTCTGTGCTTCTGACCACATCTGATTCTGAGGATGGTCCCCATGCCATTCTCCCATTACACGGCCGCCCCTCTCCCTGTTGTCGTGCAGGGCTGCGTGGCCGCGCCCAGCTTCTCCATTGGCGAGGTGTTGCTGCAGCAGGCTGCCGTGAATGCCGGCTTCTACTACGGGGAGGTCGACCTGGAGGAGCGCCTGGACCCAGCGCAGCAGGTACCGCTGCCGCTCAAACCCTCAATACCTGAGCCACGCATGCCTTCATCCGAAAGGGGGTTGTTGTGCAATGCCGCCAGGCTGGCCCGTTTAATTCCCCGACTGAAGTGTTTGCTTTCTTCAGGAGGTGCCATCTGCCAGCGTGCTTCGTACTGCGGAGGCTCTCAAGGGGCTGGGCCGGGAGTTCAACACAGCCGCCGAGGATGCGCCGCTCGGGCCTGACGACGGCCTGCTGCAGCGAACAGACGCAGGGGAGGGCCTCGTCATTGCTAGCCGCAGCACGGGCGGCGCTGACATGCGCTACAGCCAACACTTGCGCTTTGAGGGAGCGGGAGAGGTGAGGATCTGCAAGCCCTCGGCAACTTGTTGGATGCCGCGTCAGCCTGATGCATCTACGCTGGATGGGTGTGCGAGCTGTGCGGTCTGGTTGACGCCGTGGTCAAAGGGGCTGAGCCAGAGGCGCATCTGTGGAACACTCGCCGTGCAAGCCCTGCTTTGATCTGGTGCTGTTGCAAACATCTCCACACGATGTCATATGTGGCTAGCCAGTTACGGCGATTCTCTTATGAACGGGCATTCACGGGAGGCATTGGCCTTCGCTCCTTTCGGCCGTCCAGAAGCTTGCTCTGCGCAGCTGCTCGAGTCTGAACCTTCCCGAGCATGTCGCTGTGGCGGGCTCCGTTGCCTTTCCCCTCACCTTGCGGCTGCCGCTGCAGAGCCTGGAGGTGCGGCACACGGTGCACAGCGCGCGCGGGTACATGGCCGGCCTGCTGCTCGCCATCCGCAAAGTTGCCCGCCTGCGGGTGAGCGCCAAGAGCGGGGGAAACTTCTCGTGTCAGCTTCCCTCAATGCAACGTGCCTGACGTAGACCTTTCCACACTGAGGACCCAGTGTGAAATTCTAGGCATTGCCGTGACTGCTTTTTGTCTCCAGCATGACCGTTCCTCGAAGCTTACGGTGTAATCCCTGTCATTTGACTGCAGTCGATGGTGTACGGCCTTGAAAAGATCCTCTAAGGAGGTTCATCGACTCAATCGGACCCTCCTCATGCAACTCGAGCTTCAATCCAGTGACGAACTTTTGCATGAATCAAGCGCTAGCATAAGGTGGACTGTTTGGAGTCAAGAGTAATGCAAGGCTCTGTGTAGCAGGAATCAGAACGTATCGATCAGACGGGAAAAATGTCATTCCTGAGTCGGTCAGGCGTCATTCATTGAAACAAATGCAGGCCTAGGAAAGCTTGTCACGCTGGCGCCGCAGATCCCGAGGGATCTGCAATGGGGACGGTGCTATTCTTGTGGTGCGCACATGTTCGACGTTCGCGCATGATTCGGGCGTCAGATTCCAATCCGGCTAGCTCAGCTGCAATCATCACTGAGCAGACGGTATATTGTACTGGCCAACCTGCACGGCTGCCATGGCAAAGTTCTCATGCATGGGCGCCAGCATGCATTCAAGCTTACATGAGAGTATCGCACATCATGACATGATAAATCCAATTGCAATTTCTAATGTAAACTTTGTTCAGCATATGCTCACAATCGTCCGGATGGCTAGACCATGGCTAGATCACTTCTCGCTGCGGGTTTCACATCATGGATGTGGTCCAAACCTGGTGCCCGTTCACCAAATGCGGGTACCTAAAACGCACATATATGTGGGCGATGTGCTTCGGCTCGGTGGCGGACATGTACAAATGCGACCTGGGCCGATCTCAGTACCAGGGCCTCACGGCGGCTGTGCTAGCCCAGGGACTGCTCATTGAGTTAAGTGCAAGCCCAAGGAGGATGCGGCGCCGGCGAGCGCGGCCGCACATGTGCGCACCAACACCCATCACAGGCAGTGACACTCGAGCCATTGCGGCGGCTGCGGCGGAGGCACTGCCGCGCCGGCCCACGATCGACAACGCGCCCCGTCGTACTATGTGGCACGGACAACATGCAAGAGGCCTCGCCAAATTCATCTACGACCGCCTCGTCAAGGGCAAGAACCAAGATCGGGGCCGGGGGGCCGCAGTAATGCCAGCTAGGCCACTGGTGAGTCTAGCGCAGACAGTCGGACCATATGATCTCATTAGCCATAACGCCATTTCGCCATAGCCGTTAATTTGCATATAGCATACCGCGAGTCATTGATACGAACAATTGGCCCTTATATGCATGTCGGATGTGTAGGTTGTAGTCATGGTTGCATGCTTGCCAGAATTCTCCGTAGTGAATAATGACGAACATCGATCGACAGCCTCGGTTTGGGATATATAGAACTTTTTGGTAGAGCCGAGCTAAGTCCAAGTCAAACACAATTCATACATGTATGCCATGAGAAGCCTACGGCCTATTTGGCTACGGCGAGTACGAAAAGAGACCATCGACATGACTTGCAGCCGTAGCAGGCTGCAGATCGTACTCGAGTATTCGACGAGTACTCGAGTACGACGGTCGACTCATTGTATATCCCAGTCTCACCGGAGTGTTGGCCGATGGCTCAGCGTGGCTCAGGGTTTATAACAGTATAAGTGACCATCACCGCCATGCGCCCGGAAGCGCCGCATGCATCTCATATATATAAGTGCCGCGGATCCCGTAACCCAGAGCTTGATCTAATTTGCATTTGGGCCAGCTAGCGCAATGCATGCACGTACGTGCACATCGATGCACCATGAGCATTTGCACGACGGCATGCGCATGCATGATGCAGCCCGGCCGCCGCGGCATATATGTTCATGTGACCACTCATGTGCAATCGAATCGACCATGATTGGGGAGTACGTAGCTCGGGACAATCATCCTGAATGATCGGATCTGGCATGCGCGTGACCTTCGTCTCGCGAGCAGCATAACCCAATCGTAAGTGAAGATGTTCGCAAACCACAATTGTTGATTAAACAGTCTTACCGTACAACCTAGCAAGGTGATTATTTAATTGCACTAACGTATATGGTACTGGCACACCGAAATCGGTGCAGTGGTGCTCGAACGTGGCCCTAATTGCCTAACTCAATGTACAGATTTTGGAAGCTAAAGCAGCTAACTACGTTACAATCCCTAAAAACTAGCTTACAGCTTCTATTTTTCTATCCTCTTTCAACACTCTATGCTCTTGCTCTAAACCCAACTAAGTTTCAATCTCGATTGAGTACAAGTCTACATCCGCTCGAAGCTGCTTAAACCATAGGACAATCGTTTAACGAACCGTCCTCCTTAAAATCAATCGAGCTATGTTGAATGCAATTCACCTGGTAGTCGGGGCGGAATCCCGTAAAAGCTCTGACTAGCTATACAAATCCTTTAATGGCTATGGCTAGCAACCTCCTCCAGCTCTTGGCACAACTCTGGTTTAAGTAAAGTTTCTGACAAGAAGCTCCCTCCTCAGCTGCTTTTGTTCCTCTCCTCACTTTCGGCCCCAACGCTCCTCCCCGTGTGCATATGCACATGATATCCAGCTACACCAGGTGCATCGCCCTCAAGTTCTCCTCGAACTCTCTCCCCACGCTCGACTCAGCCTTCACAAAAACGGCGGGGTAGCCCAGCGCCGCCTCCACCCGGAACGCCGTACCCGCAGGCGGCACGGCCCATTCTCTGCCGGTCCAGACGTGGCGCCAGCGCTCCCCCGCGTCGCTGGCCGGGAGGTAGACGGCCACGCCGGCAACGGCGCGGTCCAGCACGGGCACCACCAGCAGCTCCGTGCCCACCAGGAACTGCTCGTACGTCAGCCGCCACACCTGCGCAAAGTGCACGAAGGCAAGCGGCTTAGATTAAAATACGAGGTGCTGGAGACTGGCTCCGCAGGCAAGAGCCTGCCACTGGCCTGGATTTGACCGCTTGGTTCTAGGGAGAAGGCGACGGGCAGGTTCTGACACACTGCAGAGTGCATACAACGGCGAAAGTGTCAGAGGATGCGGCCGCGGAGCAAGTCTCTAAATATACCGCTACATTTTCGCGGCGTGGATCAGGCAAATCCTGCGACCTCGTAGTAGCAGGGCGGTCGATTCAGAACACCGTGTCAGATGCTGTTCAACAAATGCAGCCACGCAATACGTCACCAATTGAGTTGGCTCGTGGCAGCGGCGGACCTTGGGGTCGGCGGGGTAGTGCACGAACAGGTGGCGCACCACGGGCAGGCCCGTGTCCGCGGCCTCGCGCACCAGCTGGCGCCGGTAGAACGCCCACGCCTGGTGCAGCAGCGCGCACCGCCGGAAGTGGGCCAGCGTGCGCGGGCTCGAGTAAAACTGCACGTTGGCGCCCGGGATGTTGCCCTGCGGCGGACAGACAGGCCGAACGCCGTCAAAGCAACGGTGGACAACAAAAAACGTTTACGAGCGGAGATTCCATCGAGACAAATGCACACCTGGCAGCTGGGGGCTGTTGCGGCAACTGGTTGCGTTTTCTGATGTGCTGACCTCATGCGTGCGGAAGATGGTGGTGAAGGCGTTGAGCTCCATCCAGCGCAGCAGCAGCTCCTCGCTGCGCCGGTACCGGATCAGCGGGTGCACCACCGTGGTGTACCTGCGCCACCGCGGGCACCGCGCCGCTCAGACCGGCAGGACCGCGAGAATGAACTCCTACCGGCCTCCACAAACGAATGCCGACGTTGATGCTATATTTGAGTCCATTCTGGCCCGTAAAGGACGTTCAACTCAAAAGTCGTTGACGATGGTAGCTCGTATGACGACGATAGCTCGTAAGGAAGGTGGCACTAATGCATATGGCGTCCTCTGTCTTGCAGAATCCTTAGGTGCTGTTCAGACTCCGCCAAAGCAGCGGCCTCCCTGAGTTCTGCTTTACCGGACCTTACCCGCCAATGTCGGAGTGGTTGTATGCATAGCCCGCCAGGCCGCCCGTGAGGAGGCCGGTAACTGCGCTCTTGATGCCATCGTGACGCTGCCAGCTCACCATCTGGGCACAGTGCCACGAAAACGTTTCAACACACGCCCGGATGAAGGAACACTCTGCCTGGCAAACCCTGCTCGACACCAGCCGGTGCCAAGGAAGACCGAGACATACCCGAAGAAGCTGCCAAGGTCACAGTGAGAGCTACTGCAATCTACAAGAGTCTGAGCTTCCTTGAGTTCCTCTGCACAGACTTTGGGGCTGTGAGCCTGTAAATTTGACAAGTTGCCGCCACTAGGGTCGCCAGCGTGGAGGAAGATGGTGAGCAGGAGGATTCGGTCTGCGCGTCACCTGGTCGCCCAGCCAGAAGAGGCGCGCCAGCCGCGGGCTGCCCCGGAAGCCCGCCCGCATGAAGAACACTCCGTCGTCTTCTTCCGCCCCCGCCTCGAGACGCTTCGCGCTGCCCTCCTCCCCGCCATGTCCGCACGCATCTGTTTCGATGCGGCCCTTGTCCGCTGCCACTGCGCAGCTGTCCTGAGGCAACTCCTGATCTCCGCCCGCAGGCGACCTCTTCCCTGCCTCCGCTTCTCCCGCTTCAGGGTCGGGCAGCACGAGGGCCTCCAGGTTGTGTGCGGAGCGCGCGGCCGGCAGGGCCTGGTCCAGACAGTCGGCCAGGGGCACGTCCCCTTCGGGCACCGCCTCCAGGGCGGCCTCGCCAGCCGAGCCGCCAGCCGCGGCCAGCTCGTCGGCAACGGCCTGCAACACCCGCTCCTCGAGGAGCGCCGCGCCCCCTGCGCCTGCCGGTTCTTGCGGAGGCTGGGCTGGCAGGCGGAGAGGGGCGTGCGCCCCGCAGCGGCCCTCCTGACGCTCTGCGGCGTACTCCTCGAAGACCTCCGCGTTGAGGCGCGCCCACAGCTCGGGGTACAGGTTGTGGGCACTGTCGGGGGACTCGCCTGAGCACAGGCAGAGGACGAGCCGGATCAGAAGGCGTCGAGAAGAGGGACTCGCGACTGCCAACAAGGAACGACGAAACAGCTTGCAGATGGCAGTAAGAAGAGAGAGAGCGGCTCGAGGCCACGGCAGAAATGAACGTCCGTGCTTACCGCTGTGAAGGCAAGCGTCAAATGGGAGGGCCTCGCCGAAGTCTGCCATGTACCTGCGACGAAGCGGCCAGCGGTCAGACAAAACGGACCAGTTTCGAGCTGTGCGACCAGAGGTGCAACCGAGTGAAGAGGGTTACAGGGTGTTACTTTAAGCGAATTGGCCAGAGGAATCAACCCTTCCCATAATCATAGGCAAGCAGCATCAGGAACCTTCCTGCACTCTGGCAACTTGATCTGGCATGGACAAAAGCTCTCCACAACAACTATTGGAGGCAGGCGGCGCACCCTGCTGCGCCGCAGGTGTGCAGCATGGTTTTGATGACGTCCTTGAGCCAGGCCGCGGCGGCCGGGTTGGTGAGGTCCACCATGGCGGCGTGGAAGCTGGTGTTCTCGATGAAGTACGGCCCCCCCGCGCGCGTCGTCACCAGGTACCCCGCAGACAGCGCCTCCGCCAGCAGCGACCGCCGCGCGTTGGCCTTCGCAGACACCTGCGGGACACCGCTGACAGAGCGGCATCAGCACGCAAGTCGGAAACCTTCCAGCGGCCAGACTAAACGAGCAACAGACAGACAGTTCATCACCATGTTGTCCGACCCAACGCTCAGCTGGCTTGTGTAACCCACCAAGTCGCAGCTGGCAGCGAGCCATAAGATACTCCGAAACAGCTTGTTGTTGTTGCTTACGTCTGCGAGGTACGGGTTGACGTAGGTCATGATGCGGATGTTGTGCTCCTCGACATACGGGCGCAGCTGCTCCTGCCAGCCGGCGTAGTGGTCCGTGTCCAGCTCCCAGTTCCACCACAGCTGCTTGCCTGCCACGCCGCACAGCACGCGTCAGCAGCAGCACGGCCGCCAGGCGGACGGTGCCGACGCAAGGGACTAAACACAAGATCGAGAGTGCACATGTGGGCTTCTCAGCACGAAAGGCAAAAAAGACTGCCAGCAATGATGGGTTGACGATGAGGCAGGTGCTGAGGGGCCGTATGGAGGGGCTGCGTACCGAAGCTGGTCTTGCGTTGGCCGCACCAGTCCTGCAGCCAGACGGCGGCCACCGGGACCCCCAGCTCGGCCAGGCTGCGCAGCACGCCCAGGACGCGCTCAGTGCCGCCCTGCAAGCAAGGACAAACATGGCCTGCCTCAGCGGGGGAGCCACAGACAATGAGCACCCTGAAGGGGCCACAGGCAAACAGGCCAAAGAAGAATCAAACGATACGGCAGCCGTAAATCATCCCCACATTGGTGCATATGTCGGAAGACTCACTGAAGCAAACACTGTCGACCACTGTCATAAATGTGATCATTGGCTATGACCAAGCTCAGTGTGTTGAGTACCGCCACTACCTCAGAATCTCACAGTGAAAGATAAGGGGAACGAAAAAGGGATGCACATCACCTGCATGCCCACAATGGCCCCCGCGTGGACCCAATCAGGCAGGCGCCGCATGCGCCCCACTACGGCGGTGTAGCGCTCGATGAGCTGCGGCGGGGAGGCCCCCACGAGGACGCTGCCGCGCATGTCTGCTGCGTGCACGTGCACGGCCACCCGGTCGGGGGCAGTTAGGTCGAACAGCGCGGGCTCGTAATTGTCCAGGAACAGGCAGCGCATCTGGCTGGTCAGGTAGAACGGCACGGGCGCGTACGTGGAGTCGGGGGTCCCCCCGCTGCGGTGCGACGCAAAGTTGGCGGCCGCTGTGATGGGCTGGTCCCCGCGGCCGAGGCCCTGCTCCTGGACCAGCACGCTCACGCGCCGCCCCTTGCAGTCAAAGAACGAAAACTGCTCTCCAAACCCAAAGAAGCGCTCCGCGGCATTACTACTGTAAATGAGGCCAACCCGATTCAGGGGGGGATGCTGGGGGGTGGGGGGAGAATTGCTGAGAAGGGGCTCTAGGGGGTCCGATGGGCGCACGGAGGCAGAGCTCTGCCAGTAACTCCTGAGCCAAGCGAACGGGGCCCACGCAGGGGGGCCAGGTGAGAGCGGGGCACGGCCATCGGAGGAGCAATGTGGCAGAGTGGCTATATGGGGGAAAGCCGAAGGACCAGGGGGCAGCAGCGAGGGAGGGGCCACACGCAGGTGGAAGGTAAGACGGTGAGTGCCGGTCTCTTGGAATGTGAGCCAGTAGGGGGCCTGCACACCACAAAGACACAGTCAGGGCCCGCACCTACTCCTACTTCTCGGAGCTGAAGAGCTGGGGGAGGGGGACCATTGACTACTCAATACACATCTCACAGAGGCACGCACGAGCTGTCGCGACAAAACCCAAGCTTTATGCCCCTGCGTGCTCCATGCAGACCAGAGCAGCTGCGTAGCGTACCACCAGTTGGCGGGGGGGCCGCCACCAGGCCCTGCCGGCCCAGCAGCGCCACCGAGGACAGCCGCGCCCCCCGCCCACCCCGCTGCGCTGGCCCGCCACGATCGCGTGCGCAGCGGCCCAGTCACTGCACAGCACGCCGTGAACCTCCGCCCCCCCGTCCGGTGTGCGGCGCACATGGGTGACCACCTGATGTGGGAGGAGCAGCGCGGCAGTGTCGTGGATGGCGAATGAGCCGCGGGACTCTTCAACCAGGGCTTCGCCTGCGCGGATTGAAAGGCGGGGGGAGGGGTTGTCAAAGGACACTCAATTGCGGGGTACGAAGCGACAGCACAAGATTGGGAGCGCCGGCAAGGCTTCTCCTGCCCCAAGGCTGCTGTCACATCACTGCCCCCCTGCTGCCTGCAGGCTGACTGCAGGGGGCCCACTTCGGCCCGGTGCTCACCTTGCGCCGCAACGACAAAGCCACGGCCAGGGGGGGTGGCCCACTGCAGCTTGGTGGGGTCATCTTCATGGCGCACACTCAGACGACCCCCACACGCAGTCTCCCAATTAAGCACGAAGTGCTGGCCAATGGGCAGCTCAATGTCCCCTACATCCTGCTCGTTGAAGTGAAGGGAAGGGGAGAAGGCGGGAAGTGAGCGGGGGGGAGGGGGAAAGGGGGAATTGAGGCGCTTCCAGTCCACGCTGGAGGAACCCATGCTGCCAAACGCGGAAGACGAGTGGCTTTTCCTAGCTCAGGCTGTAGTCTTAGATCTGACAAGAACCGTTCGTAGAACTTTGCAGAAATCGTGGCGAAATACAAACCCGCTATGCACTAACCCTAATTCAAAATGCACTAATTGGCGCAATTCGGCGAAATTGGCGAAATACAAGGGCCTTCAGCTTGCCGCTTATGCTGCAAGCTGCCTCTTCCTTATACAAATCTCTGGAACGCAATATGCAGAACCTCCGAAGTCAATTCCCTGAGCCAAAACCGCGATAACGACTGCTCTCGGTCTGATTTTGACCAACTTTGGTCTCAAAACTGCTATCTTATGTGCATATAAGCGAAATCTTCTGAGAATTGTGCCGGGTTGGCGAAATAGGGGCTCTGGGCGGAATATTGGCGAAATGCGGCGCAACCCTAATTGGCGCAATCAATTAGGTTGCGCCACGATCTCAGGTCTACAGGGTTAAATTGGAGTTACAATATTCGATGAGGCTTAGTGGACCGTCATGACTCATAGGGCGATATAGGGGGTGTAGCGTAGGCGGGTTATAGGAATGAAATTAAGGGTTACAATATTAAAGGTTCTATCATTTTGACGGCAAGAATGTCATTGTGGGATCATTGGGCCTCGATCTGAGGACGAAGCGCGGCGCCCTGCGCAGAATTTGGAACTTAGAAGACGCAGCTAGCGCTCGAAATGGCATGAGCAAGTGATGCCACACACAGAAGATGACGTCGAGGGGGATCGCTTGAAGGCTCATAAGGAGTGGTGGTCGTGTTGTGGTTGGCTGGCTAGATAGAATGACCGCTCATGGCACCCATGTTATCTTAGGTGTTTGTTAAGTGCTGACCTCTCAACGCTTTGGCACCTGCTTGTGCATTCAGGTCGACTGGGGGAGATGCAGATTGGCCCAGATTGCGAGGTCAGGTTCTTGTCCATTGATCATAAGAAGCATGAATCCTTGTCGTTACGCAGTGAATCCAATCAATGCACCCTCTGTGGTTTCTCAGCTTGGATGTCCCCGCTGTGATTCCCTTAGCTCGGATGAGTGCGTCGGTTGGTCCATGACGATTCCGCCGCCTTCCTTACGCTTCAAATCTTGCATGCCAATCCCCTGCAACCTTTACAAACGCTGGCACAACCCGCTTGCTTGACTTCACATTAGGGTTTCAGGCCGTGACCTTCGAGCTCCCTCCCTGTGTGTGTCGCTTCAGAGTGCATCTCCCCGCCGGCGGAGCATGGTGCGGCACCGCGGCAAGAGCCCCGACGTGGGCGACACCAGCCTGGAGACAGGCAATGGCGGCTACCTCGCGTCCTTCAGCAAGCTCTCCGACGCGCTGCATGGCGACGCCCTCCACCGCAAGCCCTTCCACCCAACGCTGCTCCCGGTGGGTGCACCACTCCACAGGGAGCCACCACTGCACAGCTTGCACCCTCCCGGTGGTTCCGATTGGCTGTGGTCATGCCATGGCATCGTCTCTCCAGCAGCGCATTTTCCTTCGAGATGGGTGCCCCATGTTGTGCATGCTTGCCCTCTGACTGGCCCCCGGCGCATGTGCAGCTTTTGGGCCTGCTGGGCGCGCTGCAGCTGTGGTTGGCAGCGGAGTGGGGCAATCCGAGCGGCGTGGCCATTGGCTGCTGTGCGGTGCTACTAGGGCTGGGCTTGCAGCTGCTGCAGTGGGGCGCCAGGACGCGCGCCTGGGCGGACGGCCGCGGCAGCGGCCTGCTCAAGGGGTGAGCCACCACCACAGCAGCAGCCCCGCCTGCTTGCCCCGACTCGTCCCTAAACCCGGGGTATGGCATTGGGTGTGCTCTGCTGCTCTGCCCATTCACACCACCCATCAGCCTTGTGGTCAGAGCCGGCCACTGCCGGCAGCACTGTTTTCAGCTCTGCTGCGCAGCTTTGAGCGGAGCGCGCTTGTTGTGCAGGTTTGTGGTGCTGCTAGGCCTGCTGCTGCTGATCCGCATCGCCAGCCCTGATCCCTACTACGACCGCATCCCCGAGACGTGTGCGCTTGCCAAGGTGGGCCGCCGCCCCACCCGTCCTGCGACCTTTGTGTTGATTTCCAAGCAAGGAGCGAGTGATCAAAGTTAATCTTGCGACCTAGGGCCAAGCTCGACTCTCTGAGGACTTCGGCCGACTTGTCGTCCTCCCTGGCGCAGGCCCAGGGGTGTTCTCGTCTCTCTGTGGTGGTTCCCAACGTGCCCAACCCCAACCCCCCTCCAGATGGCAGGATCGCCATCCAAGATATTGCCAGGTTGGTGCCTACGCGTCAGCTTGCTCGACTTTGTTTCCTGATCTGCTACGAGTCTGCTTTTTGAGCTAGCCCATCGAACGCAACAAGGTTTCTGCTCAGTTCGTCAATGCGAGTCCCCTGCGATTGGCTGCCCTTGATGTCTCTTTTCACACTCGCCCTAGTGCTTACATTGGGCTGCCCGGCTGTCCAGCATGGTGCAGCGCTGGGCCGCGCGGCAACGGGGCGTCACGGTTCTGCACCAGTGGCCTACGGTGGGCAGCCCCACGGCCATGTTTATGCACCTGAGGTCAGCAACCAACTCAACTAACCTTCTTACTGCTGTGACCGAACTTGCTTGGGCTACACGACTTTCTTCAGGCCGACTGCAATGAGGCGAGAGCTGGTGCTCGCACCTCCAAACGCACGCCGGATGGGTCGCTGCTCCTGGTCCTGCCTGCCTGTCTCTCAAAAGAAGCTGGAATGCAGTTCGCCCGCAGGCGGTTGCAGTGGCATTTGTGTTGCATGACACAGAATATGATGATTGGCATGAAGAGGAAAGTGGGACTTGGCCTAGCTGCTTGCCCCCCTCCCAACCGACGCTTGAGTTTGAGAGCGGACTGCTGGGTTGCGTGCTGCAGGGCGGTGTCTGCATTCTGGGGGTTTGCAGACGATGTGTTGTTGACGGTGGAGCTGCGGGAGGGGCACAAGGGGGAGCACGCGCGCGCGGGCCTGGTGTACATTTTGGGGCACTCGCAGCTGCGGATAGGCAAGGTCAGCCCGCGCCACGCACACCGCCACCCTGAGCGGGTTGCTGCCTTGCAGGAGCTTCGCAGAGGCACAGGCGGCATGCATGGGTGTATTTTCGATTCCGGACATGGAGGAAGGGCAGTTTGAGACAAGCCTGGTGTGGAAAGGACTGACGAATTTTGCTTCAATTCATATGTTGGTTTGCTTGCACCAGGGCTTTTCGTGTTGGCTACTTTTCGCCCAAGCCTTGCCCGTTTGGCCCGCGTGCGGCAGGGCCTTGATGTCGTCCGACTTATTCCTCTCTTATGTGCAGTCCGACTTCGGGGTAAACGAGGCCCGACTCCGCAACCTGCTGTCCGATTTGCTGGACGACATTGCTGCGCTGAGTGGCAACGGGGACGACGTACAAAAATGGCGGGCAGAGATTTATGGTCTGAAGGGGTTGCGGCCAATCAAGGCCAAAATACCGGAGAACCCCTTGCGGCACTAGCAGGGGCTGCGGCTTGCTTCCTTGCCAGGAAGCCGGCAAGATCCGGCCGCTTTTGTGCAAACTCGGGCACCGAGCACGGGCATGCTTTTGGGGGGCCTTCTCTCGGGCGTTGCTTCGTTGCACCGCAAAAATACAAAGTCAAGTCATCGTCGAGTTGGCAGCTGGTCGATCCTGATCTTGAGCGGAACGCAAGTTGCCGCTCGAGATCCGGCAATTCTATCCATTAAACTGGTCGGAAAGTATGAAAGTCGACGGGAAAGCTGATGACGAGTTGGTCAAAGTAAACGTGGACACGTCATGTAAGATTCTGTGGACATTCTTCATTGGAAGGAGTCGACCGTCATCACATCCGTGTGCCATTGCCAAAAGAATTGCCGCCTACATGTCGTACTGTGCAAGCCTTCTATAAATACAATTAGCACTGAGGTCTCTCAACTCAGAGTCTCTGCAGCCCTTTCCTTTGCATCGGTGCACTGTGACAGCGGGGACGCATGACGCAGATGCGTATGCCATGCATGGGCACAAGCTAGCATGCCATGTGAGCGACTGAGTCAGCCTGCCATGAGCTATTCAAATCATCGAACGCGGTAAGATCGCATGCAAATATCCGCTCTGGGCATCTGCGCGCATGTGGGAACCCCTGCACAGCTCCGCCGTTGCGTGATGGGCGCGCCCTGCAGCTGCATGCCGCCATCTATATTCATGATGTTCTCTTCAAACGCCGTAGCCACATGGGCCATAGGCTTTCCATGTTGGCATATACGAGGCATATACAGGGGAATCGATGTTTCGGGAATTGAATTGAATTGAATGGAATTGAATTGAATTCGTCTAAATAGCTCTTTTGATTTTATCTACCAAATCAACTAAATAGCGTACGCTAAGTCACCGAGCCACCGAACCTTAGGTCTGACAACAGTATAGTAGTCTGACAATTCAGCTTACAATACCAAACTTGGTGTGCTGCACAAAACGACTCCGCCAACTACCGCGCCTTCAAGTCGACACCGGGCAGTTTGTCGGAAGTAGGATGGTACTAACTAGCAGCAGCAATATTGGTAGGGATGTAGACCGCGAAGAGGCACTGAAGCAATTGCGGAACGTGTATTGTTATGCATGATGTATCCGAGAGAAGACTCAGGTTGTGCCAAGTCTGTAATTGCAGTCAAGTCGAGGACGAGGCTCATTACATCTATTCGACTGCATGATCGAGGCATACCAGGATATCAAGCTCCAGTTTATAGGCATCTTTCCGGCCACAACATTTCTTAGCAAGGACTTAGGAGCCTTTCTCAACAGGCTTGGAAGACAAATACTCCGTTGCTAAATACATTCGAATCTATGCATGAAGAGGCCGGAGGAAGGAGATAGACTTAGCTAGCCAAAACTTCATGTTAGGACAGTCCATGCTATACTAGGCCTGTTGTAGCCCCCAAACGGACTTAATTAATCAAGCAAAGAACACAAGCTACCTACGGTGGGTTCCGGCCGAGTCGACTCCGACTCGAACCGCAACGAAAATGTGGGACCCGGTATCAATTCATGAACTCGGACCCAATTCTCAAGTACCGCCGAGTACGGTCGTTAGTACTGCGTACAACATTTGTCGCGACGCGTGACACCGGTCAATCAGATTTGTTACCGGACCGTGACGCGGTCGATACCGTCGACACCCACCATAGGTAGCTTGTGAATTATACTATATGCATTATGCCGGTCGTTAAACAACCCCTGCCCCGTACTTCTTATAGCTTTGGGGCCATCTTTTCATCGAAGGTTGAAAGGCACCGACACAAAATACGTATGCACATGCGCATACAAATACGTATGCACATATGCATATTTTGATCGCGGTTTGATTAACATATGCATGCGGAGTCTCAAAAAACTAATAAACCATATGTTAATTGCGCACATGACCATCTTTCCTGCGCCGTATATGCGGCCGCGCTTCCATGTATCGTTCTCAAGTGCAAACCACACATCTGACCATAGCCACTATCAGTAGTGCAATCACATCTCAGGCTATATAATTGCGATAATTTGAGCAACGGTGCATACGGTTCATCAATGCTCCAACTCGATCGAGCTTGATCCGACCGATCACTTTTAGTCGCGGCGGCTAAGTTCTGATGTGTACCTAGTCGGACGAGTTGAACAAATCATCAAAATGTTGCATAAAGATCAGTCCGACCATGTAGTCAATATGCGGACCTGCATGGTGAATACCAGGCTGCCAGACCTGCAAGGTGGTGTACCATGCCAAGGATGGTCGCACGCATATTTAGAATACAGCTTGTCCTTCTGCGAGACAACACTTGCATCTCTTGGCGACTTACTTGGATATACGTCACAACCCAGCTGAAGGGTTTCAAACACATTTCTCTAGATAAGGACCGTTCTCGAGTGAGTAGGAGGCTGGTCTGCGGTGTTCAGTACTGCACCGCTCTCCTCGCAAGGGCTTTGACCACAAGCTGTGGAAGGTCGTTATTTCAGTGCCGCCCACAGCTGCTCGCTGCGGGGCACCAGTCATCCAGTCGATGCTTCCTGCATGAGCGCCTACTCAGCGCTGCCTTGCCTCTAGCTAGGGGAGGGGTTTGCGCGTGCCTGGCGTAGCGGCGCCGCGGCCGGGCCCGGGATCATTGCGAGATGTACTTCTCGGCCTGGTCCGCCAGGAGCTTGGCGGAGGCCTTGGCGTCGTGGAAGATGGCCGCCACCTCCTCCAGGTCCGCCTGCACGCACACCGCCGCAACCGCTCACACCGCCGCAGCACGCGTAACGCCAGTCAACGATGGCCCTGCCGTACCTCGTAGTGCATTCTACAAGCATTCTAGCGCAAGGGACAGCGCGGGCAGCCCAGCCAGCGGAGGGCGCCAGGGCGGGAGTAGCGAGGGCGCACCTTGGCAATGGCATCGCGGCCGTTGGTTTTGGCCATGATGCTGGCGGGCGTGAGCAGCTGCACGGCGTGGCGCAGCGAGGTGCGGTCCCCGATCTCGCCCAGGTGCGCGAGGCTGTCCTCGTCAACGGCGATGCCCTCCACCTGCGCGCGGATGGCCAGGATCTGGACCATCTCGGGCGGCGTGTACGGCAGCGTGCGGATGATGACCAGCCGGTCCAGCAGGTCGACGGGCACGCCATGCGGGGACGGCATGTCGGTTCCGCGGATGTTGCAGATGCCGCGGTTGGTGGCCAGCACCACGATGGGCGCCAGGCTGCTCTCGAGCGCGCGGTTGAGGTACGTGAAGCACTCGATGTCCAGCATGTGCACCTCGTCGATGAACAGCACGCCGGGGACCAGCTCCGCCACGCCCGTGTCGATGTAGCGGTTCACCACCTTGTTGATCTCGCCGCGCAGCTTCTCCGTGATCTCCGTCTTCTTGGGCTTCATCATCTGGCCCATCATCGACAAGATGTCCTGCCCTCCCTGCGGCCGCGCATTGGCCGAGTCCAGGTCGTGCAGCGTCACGTCCTGCACGCGCGCGTACGGGTCAGCACGTACAGTCGCAGCCGACCTGCCCGGCTTCGTCTCGTCAATGCTCGGGAACTCAGGAACTCGGGAGCTCGGGAACGCGAGCGATTCGGCAAGAGCGGCGGTACCAGATTTCGACCAGCAAACGATCCGTGCAGAAAGACAATAGTGAAAGCAATCACGATAAAGAGAAGTATCGTTAGACTGTCATAAAGCCTCATGAAAGCTAAACAATTGAAGCAGAAGGCATGCCGAGAAGCAGGGCGGCCGAATGTGGAAGTCTGACAAGTGCCAGCCTCAGAAGCTGCAAGAGTCTGGTCGCAGCAACCGTGGATACTGATCACAGAGTAGGTGGCACATCTGCAACGACGATCAGCAGCCAAGGGGTGAGTGGCAGAGTGTCCTGCGGCGATGATCACCTGCACGATCTCCTTTTTTTTGTGCACCTCCCCCTTGGGCAGCGGCACGTACTCCTCCGCCTCCAGGTCGAACTCGGTGGCGTACGCGTCGCAGCGGCCGACGCGCTTGACGGCGCCGCTGTTGGCCTCCACGTAGATGACGTCGCCCACGAGGACCTTCTCCTTGAGCAGGCTGTCGTAGATGGCCGGGTCCAGCTTCAGCTGCTTCACGCCCTTCACCGTCTTCAGCCCAATGATCACGTGGCTCACCGCCTTGCCGTAGCCCCCCGTCGTGCTCTCCGTCTCCTCCGGCGTCAGCTCCGTCACCTGCAATCGCACCGGCGCAGGCAGCACGCGCGTCAACCCCTGGAAGGCTTCCACGTGAGTGGGCACCAGTGCGACAAACCTCATCAAACTGTCAAAGAACGGCGTCCAAGCAGTGGCCGAGGAATGTTGGGGGTGTATCACTGGACCATTGACGACAAACGCAGATTCGAGCAGCTTGGCTGCGTGCGATGGTCATTAGGATGGGGGAGGCAGTGCGACACGGACCTCGCCCTCATAGACCTCCTTGTTCTCCTTGATGCGCAGCCCAATGGCGCGCCGGAAGTTTTCCATCAGCACCTCCGTCTTCTTCACCTCCGACGAGTACACCTCCGAGCCAACCATGGGGCAGAACGGCACCTGCACCACCGCCGCAGCAGCGAGCCAGCACGCGTAAGGCAGGTGGCAGCGGGGATCATCGTACATGGAGGTCCTGTTGAGCAACGATACTTACGACTCAACTGTTCAAAGGTTTGGGTACACAAGACTGGGAGGCATTCAGCTCGGGTCGGTCCGAACAACTCTGTACAAATAGCCCTTGCAAGCGCCCAGAAGCTGGATGCACGATTGCGGCCTCCGTACCCACTGCTCTGTGCATGCTGCCTTGTTTTCGTGCAGCCCCTGGCTGGGGCGGCCTCACCTTGCTGCCGAGCTCCTGCGCAATCCCGAGGGCGAGCGCGGTCTTGCCGGTGCCGGGCGCCCCCGCCATGAGCAGCGCGCGGCCGGCCATCTTCTTGCCGCGGATCATGTCCACCACCAGGCCCGCCGCCTCGCGCGCCTGCTCCTGCCCCACAAACCCAGCGCCCAGGGGGGCCGCAGTGCCATCCTCCTGAGACAAAGCAAACAAAACGGGAATTGCAACACCTGTCAAGAATTTACATGCCCCTACCTCTACGGTCCTCCTGGAAGTAGTAGGCGCCCAATCCGCTTATCGATGTCTGAACCCGGGGTGCAATACCATGAGATAATCTTCCCTGTCCCACAAAAGAGAATTGAGCAGCTTACGTGTATGGCAAAGCACTGTGGCAGGTTTCTATTCTGTGGCAGTAGAATAGAATAGATACCAGGCGCCTGGTGCTGGCTGTTAAACGGGGTGGCTCTCCTTCCAGACATGGGGGGGTGGATAAAACAGTGCCCATTGAAAGGGCACGCACTAACAGTGCAACATAGCTTCCTGTGAGCTGGGCAAGATGTGCCAATCACCAAGTGGTGGTACGCAGCAACCAGCCCACCCTGGCGAATACTGCCCCACCGTGACTCCTTTTTGAGTAACATGGGGTTGTACTTGCTGCGCGGCCGGCCCCCCTGCCTGCCGCACATCCCCGGCGGTGGCGCTCACCTTGAGGCCCAGCCCCTTGATGTGGGTGTGTGTGGCCACCCGCTGCTTCTTAGTCGTGCTCTGCACCTCCTCGATCCTCATCTTGGACAGCCCCTCCTGCACGCTACTGCCACTTTGGCGCCCAGCTTCTGTCAGATCCTCGAAATTCTGGGATAAACCCTGATCACCAGTCAGGCAGCAAAACCTCGTATAGATTGATGAAGCTCAGCTGCTGCTTCTTCTGACTTTGGCCCTTCAATGGGAAGTGGCTGTTTTGCAGGAGGTGGTTATTACTGCAGCTCTACCAACTGAGGTCGCGGCGAGGCCAATTCATCCCAGACGACGAATGTAGAATCATAGGATTCTTCATCACCTAGAGACCCCTTTCAAATGTTCAGCTTGATTCTCAGCTCCTACTCCATTCTTTCTTTAACTGCTTGGCCAATGCGCCAAATCTTCCTTACTTTGCTCGAAGCTCGAGCTCACCATGAATCATGATGCCAATGGCTGCCTCAGCCCCTCACCACAATCACAATCAATGAATCATGGCGCCGTATTCCCACTCATGGACAGTGATGGACTGCATTGCACTTTTACTGCAATGGACGGTGTCAAAGCGCGTATGCTGAATCGACGGCCGGAACGATCAACTGCTTCCTGAGTTTGTCAACTAGGCGGGGCGAGTAAGTCACAGGTGTGGTTGACCATTGCCAAGGTTAGCCCAAGTAGAGAGCATCCCGGAGTCCGGTCCGAGTCGATCACACACACACGAGCCCGGTATAAATGGGTCGATTGAAGGGGAACGGAAGAGAGACCCAATTCATCAGCGACGGCGTACAGATCAAACTTGTAACTTGTAAGTTGTAGTGGCGGCATGGCCATATTCCAACTCTCGAGGCACATCTGACTCTCTGCCGACGGCTACGCCCCTCTGCACATCTAGCTGTAGAAGCTCGGTCAACATATCACTTGTACATGCTAATTGCTGAACCAAAAGTGGGGGACTCGATCCGAGTTGCCAGCGGCGCTACTTGCATAGAGTCCGCGCACGGTTTTGCGCCGCCATGCCTCCCAAAGCTTCTAAGAAGGGGGAGGCTCCGACAGAGAAGCCTATCCTGGGTCGCTTCTCCAGCCACTTGAAAATTGGCATTGTGAGTACTGGGCCAACTTTTCCGCTCCGCAACCACTTCAAAATGCTGACCTGTACCGAGCGGCGAGTGCAAGGGTCCTGTGTACAACGTCTGTCAGACGGCTTCCGTCAGACGGCTTCCGCAGACACAAGATATGGATCCGGAGCATTCTGCGCAGCGGCCGCGGTTGTCATGGGATGAGGCGCCTGCAGCAGCATGCGGCCGCCGGGAGGGTGGTGGGGGCAGGCGTGCAGCGCACCACCCACCCACCCATGCGGTACGGTTGATTGGCTGGTGGCCTTGGATAACAGCACAGAGTGATCTCCGGCGCTGCTCCTGGCTGACTGGCCGATGTGTGTGTGTCGCAGGTGGGCCTCCCCAATGTGGGCAAGTCGACCCTGTTCAACACTTTGACCAAGCTGTGCATTCCCGCCGAGAACTTCCCCTTCTGTACCATCGAGCCCAATGAAGCCCGCGTCATTGTCCCCGACGAGAGGTTTGACTGGCTGTGCCAACTCTTCAAGCCCAAGAGCGAGGTGAGGGAGGCCCCATCGCGCCACCAGACAAGCTGGGCGACTATCACCTCTGTGGCTGCTTGACTCCCTTCCTTCTTGTGATGCAAACAGTGATCTGAGGGCTCACGGGTCGGGAATGATTCTGATTGGTGGCAGCGCCCTCAACCGTCCTCGGCTGCCCGGGGTTGGGTTTCCCCCTTATCCTGCTTCGCGCTGTGTCTGCGCTGCCCCCTCAGACACCTTGTCCGCTATCCTGGGGTGCAGGTGCCTGCGTTCCTGGAGGTGCACGACATTGCGGGCCTGGTGCGGGGTGCCAACGAGGGGCAGGGCCTGGGGAACGCCTTCCTCTCGCACATCCGCGCCGTCGACGGCATCTTCCACGTCCTCCGTATCCTCTCCCCCCCGCGTCATGCTGCGCTCTAAAATCTGCTCTGCTGCCTCAGCTGCCGCTCTGTCAGCTGCCACTGCGCCTGCGCTTCCTCAGTCATTCCTGTTGCCCCTTGACTGCGATGATGCGCAGGTGCGTTTGACGATAGCGATGTGATCCACGTGGAGGACAGCGTAGACCCCGTGCGTGATCTCGACATCATCACCAACGAGCTGCGCCTCAAGGTCGGGTCCCTGCCACCCGGTACTTGTGGAGTCAATCATGGGCCATGATGGCTTGCCCAGACGTGTTCAGACTGGCGAAGGCCATCATATCTTAGTGTTTCTTTGGACAGCGGACTGCGATTGATTATGCTGATCTGCTTAGAAGTCAGAAATGCTGCTGAAATGTTTTGCTGGTATTCTGGTCTGTTGATGCACGTTGCTGGTTGTCTTCTTTTCTGGAAGAGGGTACTTGCGTGCGTGTGGCTGACTGGGCTTGCGCACGGTTGTGGCTGGCAGGACATTGAGTTTGTGGAGCGGCGCCTGGAGGAGCTGCAGAAGGTGCTCAAGCGCAGCAACGAGAAGGTGCTCAAGCAGGAGCTGGAGACGCAGGAGAAGCTCCTCGACTGGCTGAAAGACGGCAAGGACGTGCGCTCCGGCGAATGGAAGGCGCTCGACGTCGAGTTCATCAACACCATGCAGCTCCTCTCCGCCAAGCCCGTTGTCTACCTCGTAAGCCCCACAACAGCAGCGCCGTCATTGGACGTTGGCTCTGCCGTCACAGCAGCTGGTTGGGACAGGGCCCCCTGTTTCACTGGGTCCGCTGATCGATCCTGTGGTTGTACGACTTTTGTCCAGCGAGAAGCTCCAAGTTGAAGGCTGTCTCTCGCGCAGGTGAATCTGACGGAGAAGGATTACCAGCGGAAAAAGAACAAGTGGCTGGCCAAGATCCATGCCTGGTGAGGAGGCTTGCATCTGGATGCGACTGCTCTGTCTCGCACTGTGGCTGCTTGTAAAGACAAATCCAAAGCTATTGGGATTGCAGCCGATCACCTACATGACACGTGAATACATTGGCGAAGCCCTTGCCGCTGGTTTCCTAGTATGTGACTTGCGGTCTGCCGCGGCGCTGCAGGGTGCAGGAGCACGGGGGCGACGTGCTGATTCCGTTCAGCGGGGTGCTCGAGCAGAAGCTGGCGGACATGCCCGCGGACGAGGGCGCCACCTACTGCAAGGAGAACGACATTGCCAGGTCAGGCATGCGCAACGGCGAGGGAAGGGGCGCCCGGCTGTTCTGGCCACGCGCCCCTATACTGTTCGTCAAGGGGAGGTTGGCCCTGCCATATCGTAGGGCTGTCGTTGCAAGCACAGAAACCTGGCACGACGGCGGTGTCCTTTGTTGGGGGTGTGTTGGCCGCGGGCTGCGCAGGGCCCCGCTTCCTCTGACCCTTTGACGCGTGTGTGCAGTGCGTTGCCCAAGATCATCAAGACCGGCTTTGCGGCCATCCACCTCATCTACTTCTTCACGGCCGGCCCAGACGAGGTGCGTCCCATCGTGAAAGCACAAGCGGAGCCGGCATCCCCCCGCGGCCTCGGCTGGCACTGGCAGCGCTGTGGGGGGATTCTTGTCCAATGTTGCTGCAGGTTCCAGGGCGTCCTGCGGGCCGCAGGGTCTGAGGTGCTTTGTGTGCTGTGCGTGCAGGTCAAGTGCTGGCAGATTCGGAAGCTGACCAAGGCGCCGCAAGGGGCGGGGGCCATCCACACGGACTTCGAGAGGGGCTTCATCTGTGCGGAGGTGAGCGCAGCAGTGGCGCAAGGGACGTTCCGCCAGGCCTAGGTGCGCTGGCCGTGCTCTAGGAGCACCAGGTATACGGGGTGCGCCACGTCCCCCCGCTTGCATGCCATACAGAATGCCACCGGGATGCGAGAGGAGGCTGAGCGGCCGCTGCCACGTCTGTGCAGGTCATGAAGTTCGACGAACTGAAGGAACTGGGGTCGGAGTCAGCCGTTAAGGTAAGCGCGGCTCCCCCGTATGGGTTCAACACACAGCATATCAGCTTCGGGCTCCACAAGCCTGTGCTGGCGACAGCAAGGGGTAAGTCTGGTGTCTATCCACATCATCTTTGTGCAGAATACCGCATGTGATTTCGATTCAAATCCTTGCGGTGCTTTGATGATGCAGGCAGCAGGGAAGTACCGACAAGAAGGGAAAACGTACGTCATACAAGATGGCGACATTATCTTCTTCAAGTTCAACGTCACCTCCTCTGGGAAGAAATAGCGCGTCTGCATGCAATAAAGTTGGATGTGGTTTGACAATCCTAATATCATGCAATCAGTCTGGTATGGTCGATTTTGGCGCATGGAAATTTGGGATTGAACGTCAATCTGACGTGCCATACGGTCTGGTTGCCTTGCTTGCCGGATATGCGCTCTCTTGTCAAAGGCCGTAGCCACATGGGCCATAGGCCTCGATCCATGGCATCCATATGGATCCAAATATGTTGATCTACTAGCTCGCGTTCAATCTAGGTGGCACTCTGCAAGCGCACTGCGCGGCAAGAAGCATGATGGTAATGTTGCGTGTGTGATTTAAATCGATCCACTAAGAAGGCTGTATAACATCCTTAATTGCGGAGTGCCATCTGGAATGAACGCTACAGTTGTAACATAACATCCAGCCTTACTGAGTATAAGTTCGATCAATTGACAAAAAGCGGACTCTAGCTATTTTATTCCGGCTCTGCCCTTTGTATTCCACATTGACTCGCACGAAAAGGCCCTCGGTCGCGTGCATGCCGCTGCCCCCAATTAAGCCATGCATGGCGGCATTGGTTGTGATGACCTCTAGTGTGACCTCTGTGAAAACCCAGAATCAACAGATTCCGTTACGCGCATGCGCGCGCAAGTCATGGACCGTCTCACCCGGCGCGCCGGACGCTCATGGTGCAAGTGGCACGTGTTTCAATGGAACCCATCGGGCAGAGTCCGTTGGACGATCGATGAATTATCGACGCTAGTCATGCCAGTGATGCCAGCATGCTAGTATGGAGACTTCTTATGAACAAGGCATCATATGCGGCTGCCACCGGCAAGGCCGGCCCATGAGCTGAACGTCGGACTCAATTGCATGGACGATCTTACAATGTTGGAACCTTAGGGTACCGTCACTTTGAAGTGGCACCCCCTTAGGTATTCTGTTGGGGGGGGGGCCTTGGGTTGCTTCATCCAACTGAAGGTGGGGCCGGAGGGGGAAGGGGCTTCAATTGAGGCCTTTAACTTGGGGCGCAGCCCTAGCCGGGTCTTTGGTGCAGAATCTTCTTTTACATGCTATTTTATCCTCCTTTTGCCCACAGAATGATGCGAACATCTACCCCTTGAATGCTACAAAAATACACTTTTCAACGTGAAAAAGAGGCAAAAACATGTATATGACAGTGCTTTTCTTCAAACCTGTGGCCGGCCCGGTTGGTGGACAACTGGCTCGGGGCCTTGACCATTTTTGTGATAACAAGGCCGGGATCCGGGGGGGGGGGCTTGTGACCCTCAAGCCAAAGTGCCGTACTTAAATACCTAACCGGGTGCCACTTCAAAGTGACGGTACGTCCTTGTATACAAGTGATCTGCATTCAATTCGAAAGTATACTTGTACAAAACAAAGCCTCCGGGCAGCCATGCTATATATACATGCATGTTTCGACAGGCAGCACGGTACTACTACATGTACCTAGCTTCCGAAATACACAGGTCGCGCGCATTACTGCCACACGCATCTTATAATATGCATTGAGGAGCAAGTTTTGTATCAACTCGCTAGCAGAGTGACTGGATCTTGAGGTACGTACTTGCAATAGCCTAGTAGCCTAGCATAACTCATGCAATGTGCTTACTGTGAACTCACACGCAGGCTGGCACATGTCGGAATATTCTTGACTCACAGGCTCACTATATGAACACGAAAAGGCTGGTGCGGGACGACGGGTGCGCAAACACTCCCATAAAAGTCCAGAATGGAAAGGCCGCAAAGCAAGGCTTGGAAGGCGCCCATCAAGCAATCAGTCTATATATGGCCAAAGAGTCGTGGCGCTTCACAAGCACGGTTCCGTGACATGTGCAGTCTAGATGGGTTACCTTTCCGCTGTGGTAGATTTGCTTTGACTTTCACAAGCCGAAACTCACTGCCGCGACGGGCAATTGACACACTTCCCTTCGCTCAGTGTGAAAGAATTTCTTGTGCAGCAAAACTCGATTATGATTACAACCAAGATGATCATTCCTCTTTTGATCAAGAGCTCAGGCTTGCCAAGACGTATTCACTTGCAGAGAATCACAAACTGCTTGTATGAAGCACCAGTCTCTATACATGTACACAAGCTCCAGTCTTAAATGTTCGTCGCAAATAGCATCAACTAAGCTGGCGCCACTGATTCGGCTCTCTTCTCAACAGCAACTTGACTGAGTTGCTTGCCAGAAGAGCAGCCCACATCGTGTTCCTTGCAGACTCAAGTACTCGCGCTGTTCAGATTGTACAGATCCCTAAAACTTGGGCTCATACCTGCAACCAAATAAAGCCGCGAATCCAGTCACAATCAGGCACTACATTCGGTCCTGGTATGAGGTCTAGATATTGCCGGCGCACAATTTTGCAAGAGACTGCTCTACAAACAGAACTTTGAAGACCATGCCTGCTACAGCGAGCGCATCCATGATCAAGTGTCTGAAGGGTAAAGATTCATGTGGATCACGCGCATCAGCAAGACTCACCCGTTGGAGGCAGTTGCAAGAATGAAGTATGCAATTGCGTGGCCAATGGCACCCCATGCGAGGACCTGGAGGCGAGTGAGGCGCGTAAGAGGGGAGGTTCTGCAATGCTGCGCCAACCCATTTGGATGGGCGGCGCTTGCTACTGCGGCAAACCCCAGGTTTGAAGGACGAGAGAGCGTGAACATCTCATGGACAAGACACATGCCCAGACTTAGGTCCTGCATCCCCACTTCTCCGCAGACTCTGGTGAGCACTTGAATACGGGTCCTTCAGCAGCGGACTGGGAGCAGCTGGCCCTTACCTCGACAACACTGAAACCCTCTGGGTCGTTGCTCTTCAACACAGACGAGACCTCAGCTGCCCTGGAGTCACCCGCGTCCTCGTGGGTGACACCGTTCTGCAGAGCAAAAGCCTCTTTAGTGCATAGGCATAAGAAGATGACAATCCAAGTGACAGCTGGCTGGGACTGGAAGCCAAACACAGCAACAGTGTCCCCCCACAATGTGGACACTGAAAATTCACAATTGGACGGCTCATCGACGATTACGTCTGTACTCTTTCCAATGCAGGCAACTATTGCCGATTGAGAGATGATAAGTCCAGTCTGGAAGACACGGATACACTGTTCAAGAAGGGCCAACTGGACTAAGTGCTACCCAGGCCGAGTGTGCTACAAGTTGGTTGGCTACAAGAACTGGTCTGACCATCAGCAAATGCAATGACAGACAAGATGCTTGTGGGCGCAGTTTATATGCAACTGGATTGCCCTTTCAATTCCTATGCTGACCAGTCACAATCCAAGCCCGCATGTTCTGACCTGCACTGGGCGCCCTTGCTCCTCGTTTGTTCTCTTCCAGAAAGGGCGGAACGCGAACCTCCCCAAAGCCTGCACAGGGCAGACACAATGGGTTGAATCCACTTGCCATATCCTAGCAGGATTGAAGATTCTGGGCCAGGTGCTTGAAACCATGCAGGCCAGATGGCATTGCTTCTCCAGTGCAACTTTCAGGTCGCTTGCTCCGTCTGCCGCGTCCACTCACCAGTGACAGCGCGGTGGACCCTGAGATGACAATGGACGGGTTTAGGCACACCACCCTGCTGCTCTGTGCCACCCGCGGCAGCACCGCCGCATGGCTGGGGGCCACATTGTCTAGCCGGTTCACCTGACGCAGCCCGCAGCTAGGAGCGGCCAGGGCCCGGGAAGAGACAGCAGCGACAGCAGCCATTTTTTAAATTGCGTACGTCTTGCTAAAAGTTGGAACTGTAAACTGGGTCGCGACGAACAAGATGCAGAAGGTTGAATTGCTTGCGTCAAGAGTGAAGCAGGGATTCAGCAGAAACCTGAGGCGGAGACGTCCAGCAGAGCGTCTTCCTGGGCAATGTTCAAGACTGGGTTTGCTTCCTTAAGGTGGTTTCCTCATTCATCCAGTGAAATCGGCTTTTTCCTGTTTCTGTGCACAGATCGAAGGTGAAGTTGTGCCGCGAGTCTCGATCGGACGGTATACACAGCGCGTTATCTTGTACAAGGTGACTCCAACCAATGGTTGCAGCCCTGTATGGATTCGGGTTTACTGAACCAGGCAACGCGCTAACCCACCCGGCTCTACATTTGCAAAATGAAGATGGACTCGGGAAGGTGCCAGGTGGTCCGACTCCAAGCTGCAAAGGGAATTTCATGAATGCCTCTAGGTCTAGGCCTATGCGCGGTGAACATTGAAGAATAGCGCAGTTTAAATTGCACTCCGGCTGCTGTTGAGACAGGAAGCTACTGTTCGTCATATTCGCCTTGTCGCTCAGCTTGAGTGCATGGCAATGGAGGAGGATACTGGACGCAAATGGCTCCCCTTGGAGGCGAATCCGGACGTTATGAACGATGTAAGTGACCGCTGTCGAAGTTGCAAAAACTCTCCAGAAGTCTGCATGTGATTGCTTTATTAAGCCTTTAGAAAGCCTTGCAATCAGTCAGACTGGACCGCCTGCTTCTATCCATCTCTGAACAACATTGAAGGATGTCTCATTGGCCAAGTGGGTACTTGCAGTTTGCTCGGCGGCTTGGCGCTCCTCCTTCTGCCGCCTTTCATGATGTGTTTGGCCTGGACCCCGACCTGCTGGCCATGGTGCCGCAGCCCGTGCGAGCCGTCCTCCTGTTGTTTCCAATCACCGAGCAAGTGAGCAGGAGTTTGGGATGCTGGCGCCCTGCTTTTTTTGGAGCGGATTCATCTTTACGGCAGCATCATTGTTGTTTCAGCACTGCTCCTTGTTCTGCGTCTGCTCTAGCTGTGATTGAGGGAGAGGGTAAATTAGGATTAGGGTTCAGGGGGCAAAAGGTCTACCTCACTATGCTAGCCGATTTTAGGCCAGGTCAATTCAGACAAGGCTTCAATCCCTTGCCTGATAGCTTTTACTCTAAGCTTCCTGAATCTTCACCTATCCCCAAGCTAGTCATCAACTCGAAGAGTGGTTCTACAAAAGCAACTGGGTGAAAGTGGCCCAAAGGGTGGCAACTCGTTTGATCGACCGCCTTGCTTTTAGCGGGCAACTTTTACCAAAGCAACAGGGGCAAGGTTGATGTCCAGCGTTTAGATAAAGAGGCAGCCTGGTTTTGGACGCTGGGCTTTCCTCAACCACCCGTACCATAGCCCCTTGATCGCATTCTGCCGCAGTCAGACGCCGCCGATGCTGATGAAATCAAGGACCTGGCTGCGAGCAGCGCAGGGGCGGGCGCTGGCCAGAGTGTCTACTTCTTGCGGCAGACAGTGGGCAACGCGTGCGGCACGATTGGGCTGCTGCACGCCCTGCTGAATAATGCAGAAGCGGTGCCACCAGGTAAGGGCACCCCCGCTGCCTGATGGCAAGCACCACCACCGCCACTGCCAGCACCAGCACCACCACCACCACCATCGCCACCACCACCGGCAAAGCCCCCGCCACTGCCACCACCACCGCCATCGCCACCACCGTGGTCGGAGTCCACCGTGCTGCCCAGCGGAATGTGCGCAAGCTTGCGCTGGTGTACCTGTGTAGGAGATGAACCTGGGGATGTGCAGCCCCTTCTCGATGCTTGCCAACGTGGACCCTTGTGTCTTGGGTGTGCAGGCCATGGGTCGTACCTGGAGAGATTCAAGGAGAAGACAGCAGCAATGAGCCCCATGGAGGTGAGCCACCAGGAGAGCTTCTTGGTGCCTGGTTGTGGGCGTGGCACCATGGACTTGTCAAAAGGCTGGGTTGACTGCGTTGAGGGTCTGCCAAAACAACCCGCTCCTTCGACAGGCTGATTGTTGTGGCAGGTTCCGGTCAGCTCCAGTGTACTTGCATCGACGCTCAGGGCATGACGGGCTGCAGGTACAAAGCCTCAATTTCGCATGCTTGCACTAGACTTTCCCGTCTCGACTGCCCAGCCTTCTTCAAATTCTGAATGATGGCCGTCCTTCCGTTCAGCGGGCACACTTTCTGGAGGAGGACCAGGAGCTGGAAGGGGCGCATGAGTCAGCCGCTTCCACAGGGGACACCCAGGTGAGGCGCAGGCAGGGGGAAGGAAGGGGGGGGGAGGGGGTGTGCGCTCCTCCCAACCTGAGGGCGCCCGCTGCAGAGGCGTGGGACTTCATGGGGATTTTGTGCCACTTGCGATGTTCCATGCGGCGGACTATCGCCCTGATTGAGAGTAGGGGCTAAGCAACCGCACACAGATGAACGCCTGCACTCTGCCCCACAGCGGTGGCCACTTGTGCCCAGCAGTAGCGCTGTGCTAGGAACCCATGGTATCTTATGGCTATCTGTGGTGCAGGCCCCTGATCGGCACGACCCTGTCAACCTCCACTTTGTCTGCTTTGTTGAAAAACAAGGTAAGCGCAACTAAGTCAGTATCACTCCTGCTCAATGCTTGCCGCCGGGGATCCCTCGCAGCCCCCTCACGGAGTAAGAGGCGCAGCAACTCGCAATTGCAGGGGGGCGGAACAATCTAGACGTGCAGTGAGGGTCTGAGGCGCTCCTGGAAGCACTGCTTTTGACAAAGGGCTTCTGAACGGAGTCACAGACCCACGGCTTCTTCGTAGCTTTGGTTCTGGCCATTTATCAAGCACTTTGTCAAATTGCACTAGCAATTTTGGTAAAATGCATCGGCCCTGGAAGCTGCGGCATGTTTAGCCTTGGCAATGAGATTCGGCAGAGTTTTCTACCGATCATCAAAAATAATTCATGTCTTGGCTACTGTAGAAGTTTTTGAAGATTCAAAACGTGTGCCTCATGGAATTGAACTTTGCTTCCAGACTGCGGATTGGCAAATTCAGATGCCTTGGTGTTCGTTAGCAGATTGCAAAGCCCCAGGAGTACTGTTACATTGCTAGGCAAAGGGAATATCAGTCGTAGCTGTACTTGTAGACATGTCATGGGTCGCCAGAAGTCTGAATCTGGATGTAGCTGTGCGTTTCTTTGGCCAGGTATTTCGTGCTCTTGATTTTGCTCCACAGCTTTCCTTGGCGGCAAAATCAGTGGACTGCTGCAGGATACTCGGGGCACTGCGTGCTGGCCTCAGGCCTGAATCGGGTCAGGATTTAAATCGAAAGTAACTTGAGGATGAAGTTCAGCAACAGATGCAGAAAGAGAGTCCCGTTGGCCGCTGGTCTGGATGTAATCGACCTTTCTGTGGTCATTGCAGGGACCCTTTACGAGCTGGATGGACGGAAGCCGTTCCCGATTCCACATGGCCCTAGCAGTCCCAGCACGTTACTGCAGGTGAGCGCAGCAGCTGCAGACTGCGGGACCTGTTGCAGGCTTGCATGAGGACTGGGACGCAAGGAATGGGCATGAAATGAGCATGCATACTCACGCATTGATGTAAAAACAGCGGTCGAAGACACCCAAGAAGCAGGTCGAAGGCAATCTCTCTTGAAATGTTGAGTTCCCTTCATCTCTTGCAGGATTCCGCTAAGGTAGTTCAAAAATCCATCGCACGGTCTTCAGATGCTTTGAACTTCAACGTCATAGCCCTAGGTGGTGCCAATGAGGACATGTAAGTTGACTAGGGTCTAGGTAGGTCAGCTTCGGTAGAGTGGGCATGCACATATGTGACCACTTGGTCGAGATCATGACGAGGCGGCCTGTACGATGTTGTATACTACCCGCATACAGCGTTCAATGTGAGGAAGTTGATACACTGTTTATTGTCAAGCGAAGTTTGTACAGAGTGTGGAGAAGGTGCAAGCAAATTGATCCCTAGTTAGTCTAGGCTTGAATTCATGTAATAATTAAGAGCTTAAGTGTGAGTCCGGCAAAGGACGACTCGATGTACTGACGATAATTTCTCGCTTACCAACGCCCTTATCAACCCACTCAGCTTGGCACTTTGGTAGGGGCATGAAGCACAATCTTCAATGTTCTCTTTTCAAAAACCGATCATGGACTCGGATTTTTACTTGCGTGACATATGGGCCGCCCGTCCTGGTTTCTAGACTTCATTTACGATTGTGGCACGCGCGCGAGACGGTCAAGATCGGACTAAAGCGAATGATCCATTAATAGTTGCACCCGATACGATTACCGTATACCTACGTACTATCATATGGTGTGATGGTAACTTACGGTTTATTAACGCCCTGAGCCACATAGAGCCATCGGGCAAAGTCTAGCTGCCGGTGAGACCGGGACGGTACAATGAGTTGACTCTGCAGCTTGCTACGGCTGCAAGTCATGTCCAATGTCTTACTAGCTAGATGGCATGCAAATCACTCTCAATCCAATCTCAAATCTACGATCCATCTACGATCTCATGCATACGGGATTTAATGTATGTGTATGACCTACAAGCTATGCAAATGACTACGGCGGGATGGCTTCTACGGTGCATCACCCTAGAGGATATGGTCTGAACTAATCTAGTAGACTCTATCAAGCCTACTCCGGGTTCTTCCCCTTCAGGAAGCGCTGGTAGACGAGCGCCGCAATGTCCTGCATGAGGTCCATCTGGTTCATCTGACCGGGCGCGTTCTCCGCGCGCGCCGCCAACTCTGCCGCCGCAGCCTCCGCAATAGCTCGGGTATTTTCTGTGGCCGCGTTCACGTGCTCAACCACGTTGTGATGCATGATGTATCCTAGCGCTTCGGCCATATACTGTACCACTTGCATATTTAAAATCGATCTTAGAAATGTTGTAGTCGACTCCGTCATTGGATCCAACCATCCACGGCGGCCGACCGAACGCGAGCTCCGATCGAGTACATGTATGCCGCCCATGAGAAGCCTATGGCCTATTTGGCTACGGCGAGTACGAAAAGAGACCATCGAGCTATGGCGAGTATACGAAAAGAGACCATCGAGTCGGCCTCAGCTGAGCATGCCGCGCACTCTACACTGCAATGTGTCACTAGGCACGGTACTGCCCGCGGTCACTTGCACGGTATCATGCTATATATATGTTGCCGAGATGCATGACAACGCTCAGCGGCTTGCCGGTCACTGTCATTACACGATCTGACGCTTAAGACATATACATTGAATTAATTGCATGCAGCCTGCATGCAGCCTAGGGCAGAGAAAAGTTTCACGTCACACTGGCATGCAACGTACTTTAAGGATCACAGTGTGATATGCAATGATGGTCTCTTTTCGTTCTTGCCGTAGCCAAATAGGCCATAGGCTTCTCATGGCATACATGTATGAGTTTGTGTATGTCCTCTTCTGCTTTGCGATGGCTAGCCTATGCCTACCTACCAGAGGTCCGTAGTACACCGCATCAACGCTACAAGTCCTGCTTACAATGCTTCTCATCAATGTCCTTGGAATTTCAGTTGTGCTTATACTTGTTCTCAACTTGATCAGGATACCTTGGAATCTTGCAGCGCCGATTCGGGTAGGTTGAACATGGTAGGCAGGAGACTCTCGTGGCTTGTGCATTATGATGGCAAACTAGGTTGGAAGTGCATAACGCCGGACCATTAAAAAACCCCTGCCCCGTACTTCAAAGCTTTGGGGATCTTTTCTTTGGAGGGGAAAAAGGAACCGGCGGTTTACAAATCCAAACACTAGTTTGCAGGCTGCAGACGCTATGGGCTTGTGCTCTTGGCTTGTGCAGGGGCTTGTGCTGGTTGCCGATTCCAGCCGACATGCAAAGGTCACACACGGAACAAGCAAAGCAAAGGCGGCCCATCCCCGGCCCATTCAAATCAGGCCTGAGCAGCTGGGATAAGAGCTTGGGGCTAAAGTCCTTAGGCAGCTTGTCAGTATCACATACGGCGTGCAATGCTCGAGACTAGAGTGGGGAATGGAAATGAACGGCAGTAGCACAAGCGACAAAAGAAGAAAGTCCTCACCACATCGAATGAGCGGCCAACTTCGGTGATGCCAACACGGTCATGAGAAGGTGGGGGAAAAAATGATGATTATACGCGGCCCGAATTAAGTTGTAACCATATCTGGCACAGTCACTCATACGGTGGCACGCGCATAGAGGTTATAGCCAGTTCGGTTGTGAATCGCAACTTCGATCTGTGTATTGATTCCCATGTGCGGCGGCCCCCATTTGACGGCGCAATCATCGCATGAATGGGCTATATGCATGGGTTGAGCCTGTAGGTACGTTGATGTGATGAACTCGAATACATGATATACAACCAATGATGCCCTTGATTGAATTAAAAACCCATGTAATATTGCAGGCATGAAGAATAAGGTACTCTTCATACCGGGTATTCAAGTGGTACTGTCGGTTAAATGACAACCATTCATGACAATTATCTATACTTGATTGGAATTGCGAACGCTTCTGACAATTGTTGTCATGCATTCAGCTAGAATTATGAATCCATGATATGCGGCACAATGCCTACTATACATGTCTTCGATCGCGGTTCGCGCCTCACGGCGGCTGGGCGCTAGATCGAACGTTACATTCCCCATTTACTTTAGTGAGCCACTGTCACTCTGAAAGTGTGGGGCGGAGCTAGAAAATTTTGAGGAGGTTACTCTGGTCGCCAGCCTTTCAACCTTTCATCGGTAGTCCTCATCTTCCGAGGCCAATAGCTCTAGATCGTCCGGTAAGGATTTGATATTTAATCTATCTAGCGCGTCCGTCGATCCTTTTCGCGGCGAGAACTCCTTCTTAGCCCCCTTGAGCAACTTTTTGACGTCGACCCCCTGCGCGCCGCCCGCCCCTGCCGCTATCGCGCCGTCGTCCTCCTCCGCGAAGGCCCCCTTGGGCAGCGCCAGCTCCAGCTCGTCGTCCTCCAGCTCGTCGCCCACGTCCTCGGCCAGCTCCAGCGCGGCCGCCTCCCCGCGCTCCTCCTCCTCCACGGCCGGCACCGCCAGCGGCTCGTCCTCGGGCGTCAGCATGGCCGGCGGGTGAGGGCCCCACTCGCGCTCCCACTGCAGCCAAGCACACGACGCGGGGTCAGCGGTATAACGCCAGCAAGGACGGCAAAATGCCTGCCATAGCAACGCACAGGAGCAAGGCGCCCGCGACAATCGTACGCCTTGATTGTACGCCTTGATTGAAGATTTGCCCGGCCAGGCGCTTCTCTCCCCGCTCGTTCCTACTTCGAACCAAAGCTGCGGGAGCGTGATCCAAGTTCGCCCACAACCCAGCTGCCTCTGCCGACACTGGTGTGTAAACGTTTAGGCGCCCAAGCATGACATGCTTCGGACGGCTTCTGAGGAGACCCGCTGGGTGTGGGCGGCCTACCTTGGGCACACTGCGGTACTCCACAGTCTCGGGGATGTCGGGCTGAGGGGGCAAGAGGCGACCAATCTGCAAGGGGCGACCAATACGCTCAGAGCAGGTGAGGCCAGCCATTCACAGCAAGACCACGTGCTCTCAAGGGATGCAACAATAGACCATGCTTGCAACAAGGCATCTTCTTGCCGCTCGGGCTCTCGCTTGCTTCCAAACAGCAAACAAGTTGGTTTCTGGAGCCTGCGCAAGCTGGCCTTTGCCGCATTCGGCTACCCAAGGCCTACGGGCGGAACTGACCGTGTGGATGAACTCCCAGGCGCTCTGCGGTCGCTCCCACTCGGGCCCAGCAAAGCTCAGCTTCTCGTCTGGGGCGTTGATGAGATTGTCGATCTCGATGCGGGAGTCGCCATCAAAGTCTGCACATGCAACAAGGCAGCGCGAGGTTATGGGGGCAGCTTTGCGCGCAGTGTGGCGGGCCGCCCGAGGAGCCGCAGCCAGAGACCCGGAGGAAGTCATGACTCCACCTCCTGCGTCCGTTTGAAACATGAGACCACGCAAGGCAAGGCGTTTGACGGTCCTGACAATGTCAACCCGACGCCTCCCATTCTGCCCCGCATTCGCAGAGACTGCTCTCAATATCACAATTTTCTCTGCGACGAAAAGCGTCTCATGGTGGGGCGGCTCACAGACGTTGATGTCGTCCCAGGTCATGTCCCATGTGACGGGGTCGCGGTTAAACTGGATGTCGGCTGCCTTCATGTGCAGGTAGTCGCTCTCGCTTTGCGTGCGCAGGTACGCCGCCAGCGCGTCCACCTCCTCGTCGACGCTCATCGGGCCCAGCGTGGGCCGCCACTCGTCGTCGGGCGGGAACACGCGCCCGCCCTGAGGGCCCACGTGGTGGCCCGAAGCAGCGCCTGACGTGAAGTACCTGCCACGGGCAGATCTTCGCATGGGTGCCGAATCGAGCACAGTCGTTGTCATGCACTGTCAGCATGCCAGCAAGAGGCAGACCTGCGCCACCTTCTTGCGCACGCAGTGCAGGGCCTGGTGCACTCACTCGATGCCCATCGCTTTCTTCTTCTCCTCCTCGCGCTGCAGCCGCAGCTGCTTCAGGGACGGTTGGAACGCCCTGGCGCGCGCCGCTTCCGACACCAGCACCGTCCCGTCGTCATGCTTCAACGGCGGCAGCAGCCCCGCCTGGGCGGCTCGCACGGCGAACAGAGCGTACGGGTCGAACTGGCTGACGGCCGGGGCCGGGGGCGCGGGGGGCGGTGACGCCGTGAGGGCCAGCTGCGCAGCGGCCGCGTCCTCCTCGTCGTGGGTGGGCGGCTTCTTCAGCTTGGGCGCCACCTCGTCCTCCTCGAGCGTCATGAACGCCTTGCGCACCTCCAGGTCGCGCCGGCTGAGGATGCCGTGGCTCACATCGCGCGCGTCCTCCTGGTACGCACGCGCCAGCCCTTTCCCCGTCTCCAGCGCCCCCAACTCTTCCGCCCGCACCGCCACCGTCACTTGCCGACGTCGCTCCGCCTTGTGCGCTGCATACTGCTGCTTCGCCTCCTCCACGCCCCCCAGCAGGTGGAACCCCACGCGATCCGCTAGGCCCTCTGCGCCCGCCAGCCGCAGCTCGCTGTACACCTCTTGAGCCTGCACCGAGAGTCACACGTTCCTGTCTGGCATTAAGGTCCGTCAGGCGAAGGGTTCAAGTAAACATGGGAGTAAACCTGTTGAATCAGAAATCGACAGCACAGGGACTTCTCTTCGTCCATATGCAGATTGGACGGTCAAAACTGGTTGAAGCACCTGGAGAAATGCACGGAATTCCCAGCCTAAACCGAGGGACACGGATCCGACCGCTTTGAACCCCAAATCCTGCTCTGATGAGTCTTTGCAAAGGAGCTCTGTGCTAGCGCAGTGGCTACCAGCACGAGCCCTTCTGCAGCTGGGACACAAAGAGTGAAGCAAATCTGTCAAAGTAACGGCAAAGGGCATCCCACAGGCTCCACGTTTTGCTGTGTGCTTTTGTTGAGCAAAAATACACCATCTTTTGCCCCCCCAGCAGACTTTCTGCTTCCGGCACTCTCCAAATTGGGTCAGACGTCAACAGCAGCCATGGCGGATTCGGCTGAGCTAAGCAGCCACCGTTCAGGTCATCATTAAAAAGAAACAGAAGCCCACTGTTGCTGTGATAAAGATAAACTGGTATATGCCTGGTTGGAAACAACGCAAAAGGTCTCCCCAACAGCCATGTCCATGCTTGAGCTGGGTAAAATATGGAGGCTTGTTGTCCTTCTTCCTTCTCCTCCCTCCGTGGCAAGCCAGCCACTAATACAGTCGGCTTTCTCGGACACACTTGTTTACTGGCTTCATTCCTGCTTGAAATGCGATGGGGGCGCTCCAGGTAGTTGGCATTTTAGAGCCGCCCAATGGAAAGACGAGGCTTCAAGCACGGTATGAGCCACCCAGTGAGTGCGATTACTTGACCACTTCAGGGGACATAAAGTTCATGCCAAACAGGACGTTCAAGAAGCTCAGCCCTGAGAGCACGGGCAAAGCGGATACGTGACGGGCACTTCAAGCAGCCAAGCGGCTGACATCTGATCAATGCACTTGTGGATCACAAGGAAGCGCTCATGGAAAGAGCAACAATCTCTGTCGTTCTCCACAGCCTCTCCGTAAATCTCCCCTTACCGCAGTGCGCAGCTCCTCTTCCATGGCCCCGCACAGGCCGTCCATCTGCTGCTGCACGTTTTGCGCCACAGCTGCCACCTGGCGCGCCACGGGCCCCAGGGCTTGCGGGGCCACCTCGTCCTCCACCCACTGCGGCAGGCCGCGGTAGTAGTACGACAGCTGCTGGGCCACCGTCTTGTTGCTCTCCACCGCCAGCACGGCCTGCGTGCCCGCAATCAGCCGCCCCATGCTGCTCTGCGCACGCCGGTCCGCCACATGCCGATAGGCTGCCGCCAGTCCCTCTGCCGCAGTGCTCCCCGCCTGCTGCGCACCCGTACTCAGTTCCTGCGCACCCTCCTCCGCCAAGTCGCGCTCCAGCTCGATGCCTGCAGCCGCGGCCAGGGCACCCTCCTCCGCTTGGCTCACCCACCGCCGACGCTGGCGCACCGCCTCCTGGCGCGTCCACTGCCCATCTGCCGGGGGCACGTTCACAAGGCGCCACAGTACGGCCTCCCAGTCCGGCTGCCCCTCCAGCCACTGCACCAGCGCGGGCGCGTCCAGCTGGCCCACGCGCGCGGCCACAGCGGGCCACGCCTCCTCTTCCAAGGGAACGGAGTAGTCAATGGCGAGAGAGGCCAGCGGGTCTGGAGCAGAAGCGACAGGAATCACCATACAGTGCCATGAGCAACTTTTCTTCAACTTTGTGCGCTTTCTCCACTCGAGGACTTTCGCAAGCGTGTACGATATCACTAAAAACCCATGTACATCACCAATAATCAAGGTCAAGAATGAATGAAATGACCAATTACCTTAATCTTGCTCCATTGTGTTGGACTGAGAAAATCTGGGGACACCGCACCCTATCCTCACCTTCTTCAACCGGCGGCTGCTCCTCCCCACCTTCTTCTTGCCTGGCAGCCTCTGCAGCCTGCCCCTGCTCCGCCTCCCCCTGGTCATCGTCCTCCTCCTCCTCCCACTCTGCGTCCCCCCATTCCCCCCCATCCTCCTCTAGCTCCCCGTACTCCTCCCATTCACCATCCTCGTCATCCCAGCCGTCATCGTCATCCCATCCGTCCTCGTTGCCATCTCCTTCGAGCCCCGCTTCTCCGGCCCCCATTCCCACTGCTCCACCAAGCACGCTCCTCCGGCGGCCAATTTGCCTTGCCCCACCTGCAGGCCGACTGGGTGAACAGGCACCGATACAAGTGTGCACAGGCACAGCGGCCAGCAATGTAGCCGTGCACCTTGCCACACCAAGTCCCCACCAGTCTCCAGCTTCTCGTGCTCCTTGCCCAGCGTAGGGCGCCTTACACTGTCAACAACACAAACGGCCCTGATCATGATCTTAGAAGGAGCAACGTGTTACATAGGCTGCCTTGTGCCGGGACATATGCACTTTGCTGATGCACATGCTCTTGTCATATAAGGCCAGGTTGTCTCCCTAGCCAATTCTGGAGCCTTGGTGTGAGGCAGAGTGCCCAAGTGCCTCTGATGGCAGGGTGGTGCAAATCTGCGGTGGTGCATAGCTGTCCAGAAACAGACACAGCAGCAGGAACAAGCGCAAGCAGCCCCTGGAGCATAGGCGGTATCACCATGCCGGAGACCACCCCACAGCCCCAAATCAGCAATGTCGAAGCAGTGTTGGGGAAAAAATCATCCTGAAAAGGACAACTCACTTGCTGTTATAGGTCCTATAAATTCAGATATATGTTGACACAGTAGGAGGGCAATTGCTAACTTACCAGCATTCTATGGCAAAACACGGCGCTCTTGTGAAGACTTCCATGTGAATGGTTTATGAGCGCGACACCTGGACCACAAACAGGCAAGGCAAGTATTAAAGATTGAGCATACCAAGATCCAAGCCTTGCTCCTGCCAGGAGCTGATGTTGTACAGGTAAGGTACACAATGCCACCTAGTGAAACCCAGCAGGACCTGCGTTGCCTTCCTTGACAAAGGCTCACCGTGCCTGCTGGCCCAGGGGCTGCTTTGCGAGGGGCAAAGCATGGCGCTCCACCCAGCATGCTGACTAGAGCACATAGAAGTAGCCATTTCTTTACACTCCTAGGGCCGTCACCTACATCGACTGCAACACTGCAGCATACCGATTGGCATTGCAGTCTCGCGACTGTCGCGAGAAACAAGCGAGTCAGTTCGCGGGCAGATGAACCACCTTGCCTTGTCAAAGCTGATGTCAAATTATGCGTTGTTCTTCAGTACTTTGAACACGGGGCATCATGGGCATGCTTTCGCTGACCCTTTCCGAAGTTAGCTGAGCACTGGTTTCACTGTACAAAGTTCTCATGAGTCTTGACCAGTGCAGTGGAGAGTGACACGTGCTGTTCAAAGGCAATTTCACCCAAGTGACCTCCAGGGAAGGGGGGTGGGGAGAATTGGATCTCGTATCTCTGTTCCGCCTGCCATGGGGAAATTGCTCGATTCCATACTCGGAAGGGGCAATATAGGCAGGTACTCTAAACCCCCTGAAACCATGCGCTGAAACAGACCGCGGTTCACATCGTTGGGTTACGGCCGGTACCGACCACTTGGGTTCCGAGTGAGTGACGGCGGCCGAGACCGGTAGGTTTAATTCGAAATACTGCCCATACTTCATCGGACGGACAAGATGTTTCCAATCGAGCTCGTTTTGCCGACATGCACCTGTTGTTGAGCTCCGAACTCGTGTTAATGACTGCCTTGACTGGCTTGCAAGCTCGTTTCAGATTAGGTATTCCAATTCTCCCCACCCCTCCCTCCCAGGCTCCAGCCTCAGGTCAATGAACTGTGAACATGATCAGTTTGAAGTTGTGCATCCAGGCAGCCAGAGTACGGTCTACTTCGGTAACGGCAGCACTGCCTGATAATCATACCCCTACTCCCCGGTGATAATTCCGAATGGATTTCCTGGAAATATTTTCCAACAATCCGACCACAGCTGGTGAGTTATTTATGGTGATTCCGAACAGAATCCGAAGTTGGAACGCCTTATATTTACACTAGGAGAAGGGTTTTAACGTTTTAATAAGGCTGATTTTAGCGGTTTAATTGGCTTTCAACTCCCGTTTTAGATAAGTTTAACCTTTTTCCGAATTTGCACTTTCCAAATGCAAAACCCGAATTTCTGACTCTCCGAATGCAGATAATTTAATTCATTTATTCGGAATCATCACCGGGGAGAACGGGTATTTATTTTTCGAGAACACCTCAGGCCTCTAGGCTCTGTCTAAACCCGAGCGGTGTTGACTCAGCTCAGTCTCCGGCACGTAGCATCCAAGCCGGTAGGGTTCCGGCCTGTACCGCAGCCTTTGAAGTTTGAGCAGTGACGAAGTCCTGAACGGGCAGTCACCTGGTGCCAGTGTCCTCAACTTTTCAAAGTGGACTCGTCTGCTTGGGACTTCTGGGAGTACGGTACTGTACTGTTGCACACGGTAGTCGGACTCCGCTTGCATGTCTGCATATTGTAGCGCGCTCTAGCCGCCTCCTTCCGCTCACTGGCGGAGTCTCCAGCCTTTTGTAAGGCAACTTAGGTTGTAGCAGCAGTGAAGATGACGTCTGTAGCGCGGATGGTTGCTCAGGGGCCGTACACCATTGCCCCAGGTGCCATCGATGTCGGGCGTGGGTCGTCCTCTTGTCCAGCAGTGAGTCCGATTGTGTGCCGTGAGGGATATCTGCAACGGCCCCGAGCCCGATCGAGTAAGCCTCTTTCAGGTCTGCAAGGGGCTGGAATTGTCAGCGAGCGGCACACGGCCTTCCTTGGGAGTGGTGGTCAGTGGCAGCGTTCGACAGCAGACTGCAGATGCGGTTCTGCGAGAGTGCAAATGAGTGAACCCAGCTTGTATAAAGGGTAAGTCGTGTGGTGTTTGATGAAGCGCCATAGTGGAATGGTACCTGTAATCATCAGGTATCACCTTCAAGTTTGTACCTGTACTCATCGGATGTCACCTTCAACTTCAGCGGGTAAACATAGCAACCTGCACCTTGAAGGATTTTAAATTTATCCAGGAGGAATGCTTTTCTTCGGAACTTCAAAGCTGTTGTTGCCTTTTGGATACCTTCACGATCTAGTTTGAACTGGATCATTTTAATGCAAATTTTCTTTACCACCATACCATCATTTTGGCTTGATCAAAGTCTGAAGCAAGTGGCGCTGTGAGTAGAGACTTGCCAGATTGGTGACTCATCTATTGTGCACGCCTGGCTTGCGTCTAACCAGCGGGGTAACTTGGACCTGGTGCGTCGGATTCAGCCCCTGTATATTAACTGGCCGCAGGCATTACAGTCAGGTGTCTCAGATTGCTGAACCGCAATTGAGCTGCTAATATTTGGAGCAGATGTAGTCTGCGAAGGTTCTTTTTGAAAAGAACTTGCTTTTTTTTTACTTAAAGCACTTGTTTCTAGCTAGCTAATCTGCATTCTGGGGCCCTTAAACGCAGGGACAACGAGTTCTTTTTGACGGGATGTTTGACGAGTCCCACTTAGGCAGGAAGTATAGTGCATGATCGAAACCCATGACTTGTTGGATTGCTGCATCCACCAGTGCGCCACCGTGAGATCCCCTTGCTTGTGGCGTCCTCCCCAGGCTTAGCGCGCGGCTGATCAAGACGTTTGGCATGGCGGAGCTGGAGGCGCGCAAGCTCAAGTACGCCACCACCGGGACGGAGGCGCTCCTCATGGGCATGCTCACAGAGGGGACCAGCAAAGCCGCCAGGTTTCTGCGCACCAAGGGCGTCACGCTGTACGCCGTAAGTAACGGACTGCATCTGGGACAGTTGAAGACGGCAAAGAGGGCAGCTTCTGGATGTGCTGGAGATTGATCGAGTTTAAGCATACTTCCGCCAAGGCTTTCCTACGACTTCGGTCTATCACAGGCGTATATATAGGGCCCTCGAGGCTGTTTCTAGGGTGCCTGCCGAGCATAAGCTGGGCGTGTGCGTGGTGCAGGTGAAGCAGGAGACGGTGAAGCTGCTGGGGAAGGGGGACATGTACTACAACCCGCCCGAGCACCCGCCTGTCACGGAGCCCGGGAAAAAGGCGCTAGAAGCCGCGCACTCGTATCGGAAGACTCTGTCAGGTGGGTTGCTATGCTAGACCAGTCCTGCGTTTGCAACAAGAGCATGCAGCAGGGTGGCGCGCATGTTCAGCTCTACAGTAAGCTCGCCCAGAGAGTTCTGGCCGCAAAGAGTCAGGGACAACAGCTGGAAGGGTGAAGCAAAGCAGACTTGCAAGGATTGCAATCTCGTGTCAACCTCTCTCTTCTTGAAGTGGTTACCGAAGGCGGCACTTCATTGTCCACTTGAGACCCCTTGCCAACGGTGTTTTGTGCACTCGATTGTAATAGCTGGCTTTAGGGAGTTCCAGGCTAGAGGTAACTGAGAGCAGCTACCCTCGCAATTCATTGAGTTCGAGCAATTAAGGTTTCAGAAGCTCGAAGGATGTGATGTCACCTGCTCGAAAAACGGGTGCTACATCATGTATACAGGAACTTGTTTCAGTTGCCTAGCCCTTCTGCCTGTGGCCATTACTTGCTCAAAGTATTTAGGCCGGTTGCTTTTGAGAGCAGGTGGAGAAGGGGAGGTGACGACGGAACACTTGCTGCTTGGATTGCTTGATCAGACGGCTGCTACGGCTGCGCAAGTCTTGAAAACCCTGGGAATAGACGATGCTGCCTACGAGGAGTTGAAGCATCTGGTAAGTGGCTTCTCTCAATTCGCCTTTGCTCTTTTGCTGCATCCACTGCTACTGGCATGATAGTTGTTCTATTTTACCAAGCAGGGCTCTTTGAGGCAGATGGTCACCGAGTCAGACGCGGATGTGCCATATTTATGCATCGAAGCTTCTTTCTGTCACGTTTTTTGGAGTATGTACTCTCCCCGAAAAAGCTGATGTTTGTAGAGCTCTAAGTCAAGGTGTTCAAAGGTACATCGTTTCCCCGACAGGCTGCTGGACAAGCGACCACCGTTGCATAGAGTATACAGGTTCGCATTGCTGAACACGACACGACGTAAGGCAATTCAAGCTGGGTGCATAAGCAACAACACCAAACTCGTTTCAAGCATGCATGTATCCTTTGATTATACGCACCACTTTAGATGGCGCTGCAATTGCGCATTTGGAGCTACACCACTGTCAAACTCGAAGCCTCCAAGGCCGGGCATGGCAGAAAAAGTTTTCGCGAAGTGCTTCCCATGAGACTGAGAGTCTCCCATGATCTTGGCAAAAAACCGATTAATTGACCTTAGCGTTGCATTTGATGCTATGATTGGAAAAGTGCTAGTTGAATCAATGTGATCAAGAAATTTTCTGACAACAGTTTTAAGATTTGAAACCTGGCTTATACATATACTCTAGCACAAACTTGAAAGCGAGCGTGCAGTGCTGGCCGACTAGGGCCATTTGACTCACACATCCAATTACTGACCTTACTGATCTATTACGTATTCAATTACCATCAATCATCTGTACATATCAAAAAACCAAGCTAATTTTGCGTGATAATACATGCATGAGCTATATACATATTTCGGAAATCCATGACTGAATTTCACTAGGTTGTGTGCGTGCACATACTCAATTAATTAATGACGTACCGGTGGGCTAATGAGCTATAGGCCGGCGCAGCTATCTTTAATTTCATGCAACCTGGCATGGCTTAACTATGTCATTCTGTCATGCAAGTTTGATCAAGTTTGATACTTCGAATAAACCTGTTCTCGATCGACACTGACCTTCAAACTCATCACCAGGGTCACGCCCAATGCATGATTTCTTGATTTCTTACGCATGCATGCGTTTTTATAGCTCGAGCCTATAGATTTATCGATAGCTGGGCGAGCTTTAGCTGAGGGTATGGTCCACTAGGGCCACATGTCCGGCATGTGGGGTCCTCCCGGCAGAAAAGTTTGCTATATAGCTCAGTGTACGACGCCGCCGCTATTGGACGGGCCAATAACGTGGGACATATAAGAGGTCTTACAACCGTGAAATCCCCATATCAAATCTAGGGTGAACTTATCCAATTCTGTTGAATTGTAGAATAATTCAATGTACATTTGCATGCCTGAACTAGAAACTTGAATGTCCAAATTCATTATAAATCGCCTGCATGCACAATTCCAATTTTCCCGCAAACTTTAAAGCCGTGCTGCAGATTTGCCAGGTCGATCAAGCTCTACTGAAACCAAAACTTAAGGGGAAACTTATAACAACACCGGACTTTCCTTTAGCCTAACCCGTCGGCCAACGATGTGTAACTTAACCTAGCGGTTTAACGTACCCAGTTTTTTTGGGTATTACGCGTCATACATTGCGTTCTTTTCTTTGATGTGACCCGGGGCCTACCGTAGGGCTCTATACACCTGTTGAATTGCACTGTGGAACGTTACTCTTCGCACAACCAACTTCGGACGGTCGTCCGAACAAATATTCCTGGATTCCGACGGACACGGCTGAAATTTGGTCCGACACGGGCAAAACGGTATCGTACTATCGACATCGACTTACATGTGCCAATTCTCGGGGCTTTCAGTTCGACGATTCGCCCCTTCGTGATTTGAGTGCGTTCGGGCCTCCACAGACTGGTGTTGTCTAGCATTGGCAATGCTTGATCATGGCATGGGACCAGGAATCAGGAAGATCATGGCTTCCTTCCAGGATTTGTTTGCCTGAACTGCCTGGTGCCGATCTACCTATCCGTATGAGTCTGGTAGAGCATCGGGTTGGACATGGCATGAGTCATGATGTCTGCCAGCATCACTGAGCCATTTGTGCAGGCGTGCATTCAATGTATCTCCATGATAGATCTGAAGATATGCATAGCAATTGTTCGTCATCGTTTCGATTGTCAGTCTTTGCAGAAAACTAATTCAGTGCATTTAAAGTACTGCTTCTGACCACATTCGAATTGCTTTGTCAGTGTCACTATCAAGAGTCACAAGCTTCAGCAGGTTGACAATTTGATTCACCCCCAGGATCGAACTGGGTTGGCCGAAGCCATTGGTACCATCCACCGGTGAAGTGATCATCATGGAAAACATTTCTTCCTCACAAAGCCTTTACACAATAGTTGTCACCTTACTGAACCATCTGACAAGCTCACGGTAGGCTGCCAAAAACCTCATCTCAACATGGATGAGATGGACAGAGTTCTGGCTCTTTATGCAAGAGGCTTCAAACAGGTGCACAATTGCAGCTATCGTGCCAGGCCCAACCGAGCCTGAACCAAGAAGCAGAACTCTTTCAGACGCACAGTCGCCGGGGCAAATAAAAGACAGAAGTAACTTATGCTGTCTTGTCGAACAACTTGTAAAGTACCTTCATGACTCCTAGGTCAATCAAAGAATGCTGAGCGGTGCTCTTTGCAAAGTGCAAACCCCGCGAAACATCCAAGTGTGATCGTACGCTATCATCCTGACAACCCTCTGATCCACTACGAAGAGGCGATGCCGGAAGTGACACTACCTGACAAAGCTGCAGAGAACAAACTCTTTTAAAACCTAGACGTCTGGACAGCCTTGACTTAGGATCGATGCTATCCCGCAGTCAGCACATCCAGGCAGTATGCTACAAAGAACCACATTCAAAGTCCCCAGACAACGTATGTGCTGGTCCTCCGTATTTCAATCAAAGGACATGCTTGCGATCCCTGACAGATCTGCAAAATGCAGCACTCAGACCTCTGTGAACTTCCTGCAACAGCAGCGTTCTCCAGAACATCAAACCCTACATGCTTTGCATACAGGAAAGGGTCATAGCCCATGCTCACAGCCCATGAAGCATTTTCCTGACCAAAAACAATGGAAAACAACAAAGGCCTTCAATAAGAAAACCTTGAACTTACATCCTTGGTTTGTGGAATGCACTCTTTCAAGAAACTTAGGTCCAGCTGACTTGCGAAGAACACCCCAGGCTTCCTGAGCCTCCACATCCTATTTACTACTGCTGTTGACCATGCTAAAGACAAGGGCAGAAGCTAACATCCTCAGATGGGCAAAACAGAGGCAATGGCTGCTATTGGTGACCTATCTGCAGGAGCTGTGGTTTGAATCTTGCAAAGCTCTGCGGTGAAAGTGTTCAGAGTACCCTCCTGCCGTCCTGGCCAAAGTTTGGAGGCAAAAGAAAAATGTTAGGACTCTTTGCCACCGCAGAGATTGTCTGGGGGTCAGATTTGACACCATGGGAGCAGGCAGGCCATGCACCACTTCCACATGCTGCGTTGGCCAGGAAATCTTCTCCACTCAAGCCCACTGCAGTGTCAAGCTGATATGGCGCTTCCCTTCTAAGCTTCCCTGCTTTGATGGCCGAAATCACGTCGCTACCGGCGCCTTGTCAAGACAAATAGCTCCTGAATGTTGCTCTCTGAAGCAGGTCTTCTTGGTCATCTTCTTCCTGTCCGGGCCGGAGGGTGTCCGAAGTTCAATCTTTCGTTTTTCGGCCGTGTAAATCGATAAATAAAATTCTAGTCGGTTGGACGGTCTAGAATGCATCCCTCGGCTGAGTTCGTCAATCTGAGGGCGCAGATCGGTCGGACCCCAAAGGCTGTAAGTTGGTTGTGCGAAGCATTGTACCGGAAGTGACCAGCACGGGGTCCCTTTTTGCCCTCCCCAGCGCCCATGGGAGTCACTCTCGTCACTGTCAGAGTCAGGGCCGCCCTCCCACCCACACACATCGATGCAATATATTTCTTATATATTGCGCTCTACAATGAGGCGAGCTTCAGAATCCGTCAAGCGGATTCTTTTCGTACTCGTTTTGAAATCATATATAAACAAAACAAAAATCGCGAGATACTGATTTCAACATTTCAACATTTCCGCAATTTCCGGATCCGTTGCGTTTTTAGGTGAAAAAGAGAAG